GACTTGAACTGTATATGATACGACCTGTGGCGCATACTGTCTGGCACATGCCCACACGAACATGGACAAAAACACGGATGATCTATTACGATTTTACCTGGTCTCTACAAAGGAACGAACGACCAGGGCACGAGAAACTTGGGATTTGCATGTCACGAACAGGAGTTCTGGACATTTATTACTACCATTATTAGCATTGACATTTGCGACTTGCATTTGCATTTCAGCGACGGCGTTGTGGGCAAAACAGAACACCCAAGACGATAGATAGACTTGATTTGACTTGACTTGCTGGATATAGAGAAGACAGGCATTTGTACATAGTATTACTGTCAAACATGACTGGCACATTGCCTAGAGCAACATGAAAAGAATTAGACACATACTGCACTCAAAAACATATCAGACCTGATGCGAACAGTCCATGTTGACCAAGTCCACCTTCATAATGTGACATTGACCGAATAACTTGCCTCAAAAGACATTCACCATCATCTCACAATAACCAACAAATACTTCTGCTATGATCTGTTCATTTGTTGGTTCTAGAAGAAAATCGATGCCAATGTTCTAATATAGCCAGCCACCAAGCCAACCAACCCCTTACTGAGACGTTATAATTGAGACCTCGTTGGAGACCTCATCCATCCCTTTTCCCACCCCCCCCAATTCCACGAGGCGCTTCTATATACGTGGGTCTCGTCTCGTACTAAGGAGATTTTCTGCCGCCGTAAACCCCAATGCTCCGTGAATAATTTCGCCGCTCAGCGCCTGCCTGCTAGTTCATCGATTCGCGGCCGTTCCACCTATATGCCTCATTAGCAACGGATACCTAGGTGTCCAGGTACCCGTGCTGAGCTTGCGCATGCGTCTGTGTGCTTCGCCCTTGCACCTGTTCTGTCTCCGCTCGCCGGTGTTGAGAGCACCTCCCGGTCGAGTATTCCTACAAGAAAAGAGAAAAAAAGCGACCAAAATAGTAAAAACAAGAGTATAAAATGCAATTGCAAATCAAAGTAGAGCAATCTTTTGATGTGTCGTAGGACGGGCGTCGTCCAAGCCGGATCAGAAGGTCCAGTCATCCTCATCTTCGACCGACTTGATAGCCCATCGGAACTTGTCGCGGAGAGTCTTGGAGAAGAACTTCTCAATCGGCACATCAAACTTCTTGGAGAAGACGACGGTGAGGCGAGGATCGATGTAGTTCTGTGCTGGGTTAGCAAAGTTCGAATACACACATCAAAGGCACTTACAATCTTGGAAGTTCCAAGAGCTACTTCCTTGTTGCCATCACGGTCCTCAGCCTGCGTCTCGAGCACCTTGACACGTTCGTCGAGCTTCTCAATCGCCTTGATGAACTTGTCGACCGTGGGACCTCGGCCCTCAGCCTCAACCTTCTTGGTCTTGTTCTCCTTCTTGAACTTGGCCTCGAGCTCCTTGACAACCTGGAGTCGCTCCTTGAGCTCCTTCTCAGGCATCGGCCTCTCCTTGTTGGCCTTGAGCTTTTCGTTGTCCTTCTCGAACTTCTTGGTGATTTTGGTGCGTTGCTCCTCGATCAAGAACTGCTGGTGTTCCTTAATCCACTCCTCATCGAGGTCTTCGTCAAGCTCAAACCAGGCTGCGCCCTTCTTCTTCTTCTGGGTCGGATCAATGTCAAGAATCATCTTCTTTGTCCGCCACTGCTGGTACCGAAGGCCCTTGATCTAATCGGAGTCAACATGCTGTCCAAAAGCTCGAGTATCACCAAACTTACCCTGTCACCCAGTTTCTGCATCTGTTGCTCATGACCGGCACCGACTGTCCGCTTGTGGTTGCAGAGAATAGCTACTTCACGGTTGCAGTCGTTGTACAGCTTCACCTTCTCGGCGACGCTGCCGCGAGACCGAGGATCTTTGCTGAGTCCCTTCAGCAGCTCCGACATGGTGAAGGAGGCGTTGTAAGTACGGAAAACCTTGGCTGTCAGGCCCGGCATGTAGTTGGTCAAGTGCTTGTTCAGCTGAGTAGTCTACAGAATTATTAGTACGGCGTCCATAGACAAACACTAGTTTAAAACTCACGGTTAGGCGGTCGAACAAGTCATCTCCCTTGGTCTTGGGCGCCTTCTTGAAAAGCTTGAGGTTCTTGAAGACCTGAGGCTCGACATGGGCAGTCTCTCTGTATGGGATACTGTCCTTTCCGAGGAAATCGAACGTGACCTTGTTCGGAGGCTCGAGGGTGATGTGCTCGTACTTGAGCGAACAGCAACCCACAGTGTCGGCTTCGTTCTCCGTATCCTTTTCGTTTCCGGCTCTGAGAGCAAGTCTGTCGATGAGATACATGGCCGTGGCTCGCTGACGATCCGCCATAACCTCACTCTTCAGCTCCTTGGTGTAGTCCTTGCGAATCCTGTCGATGTGCTTCTTCAACTCTCGTGCCTTTTCGAACTTCTTGAAGTCGCTCTGTCCCTTGATATCACTGGCAGCACCCAACATCACATATTTGTAGTTGTTGTTGATGTTCTCCTGCCACATGGCGAGCCAAGTGGCTTTTTGATCATGCTGAACCGCCTTCCACTGATGACCCTTGGGGGGATCTGGGATCTTGGCTCCCTTGCCGATGTTGATGGTGATCTGCTCGGGAGTAACTCGATTCTTGACCTTGCCGGTCTTGGGATGCTCGCCACGACCACGGAAGAGACTTGGAGGTTCGACTCGAAAGTTGCCAACCTTCTGCTTCCTGCCGTCCCACATGCAGTGAGTGAAGGGAGCCTCGAGGGCTTCCTTCTTTGCCTTGGCAGCCTCCTTCTCTTCCTTGGTCATGTTCTTGGTCTTGTTCTGCTCGGCCTTGGCGAGCCAATAGTCGGCAAGCTTCGTGAAATCGCACTTATCCAGAGACTTGATCTGCACCTTTTTACCGTCGGCGTCCGTTACACCATACTTCTTGCAGTACTCTTGGAAATCCTCGAAAAAGTTCTTGCGGAAGACGGGGTTTTCCATATGATGCGACGAGGCAGGGGTCATCATAGCCACCCAGAACGTGGCGACTTCTTCGACCTCTGGAGCAAGGTTGACCGGCTTGCCATCGTAGATCAGCTTGATATGCTTGGGCATGGGCTCATACTCGGGTGGGAACAACACGCCGTTGTGCTCCAACGTGTTCCACTTGATGGAATCGTCCTCCTTCTTTGGCTCTAACCACCAAGCAAATTCTTCCTCCTCCTCGCCGCTCTCCTTGGCCTTCTTGGAATCTGTCTTGGAGTCCGCTTTCGCGCCCTTCTTGGCGGGTGCAGATTTGACCTTCTTGGAGATGGGAGCATCGGAATCAGACTCTGCCTTCTTCACGCCATTCGATTTCCGCTTCGCCGCGGTTCCGTTTGACTGGCGCCTGTTGGTTGACTTGGCGAGAGGCACATCATCGTCGTCCGACTCTTCCATGATGGACTTCTTGGGGGTCGGCTTCTTGGTCCGTTCCTTGGCACGTATCGCCTTGGCCTCCTTGTCGGCCCTGCGTTCGATGGCTGCCTTCTTTTGCACAAGCTTCTGTCCCAGGGGCTGGTCATCATCAGAGGATTCGGGTAGAGCAGTCTCCTTGTAGGAGGGCGGGAGCTTTTTGCCGCGTGCCTTCATGATTGGCTCGTCATCGGAGTCCGATTCGGCGACCCTCTTGTTTTGTCTTTGGCGTTTTGCCTGTGATACCATCGTCAGCAAGAGTTGGCCCCACAGCAGGAATTTTCTGGCACCTGGGGAGCACGAACCAGAGGAGCACCATCTTCCGAGTCAGAATCGTTGTCCTTGTAGTTGACCTTGGTGATGGAGGTACGCGATTTGCGCTTCGTGGCGCCGTTGGTTACGGGCCCGTCAACGTCCATCGGGTCATCCTGCACGGGACCGTTGCGGACCGACAGCCCAACGAGCTTTGCGGCGTCGCGAGGCATAGAACGGTCCATGGCATCGTCTTCGGCGCGCGAAATCTTGGACGAGGACACTATGTGGGAGAGAAAAAGACTTTGTTAGCCAACTCGCGCGCGCTTGGGGGAGGAGAGGAGGCCAGGAGCACGCCGGGGGAAACTTTGTTTTGAGTGCAGATGGAGATGGACGCCAATGATGAAGAACTGCAGCAACGCAGGGGCAGGAAAAAAAGGGTAGAAAAAAACGCGACTTACGTCGATTGCCGTTGACCCTAGCAAGAGGGCGATCATCGTCGGAGCTCGAACTCATGGCGCTGTTGGGGGTTGAATGCGAATGCAGTTGTCCGTTTCTGCGGGTGGCCGCCTGGCAAAGTGCGATGAGGTCAGGGACTAGGATCTCAGATGCCAAACCGTGACAAGGGAAACGGGAACGAGAGCGAGTCGATGCGAAGGATGAGGGTCGAATGAGACGAGGAAGCGTCAGTAAACGACCCCCCCAGGGCCTTGCAGAGGAGAAGATGATGGGGGTGAGGGGATTCGCGAGAGCGTGGGAGCGAAGAATCAGCGACAATGGAATCTGGGAGAATAAGTAGAGAACGGCGTTGCTTGGTTTCTTAAGGTCCAGGGCGACGGGCACGGGGAGGCGAGGCGACAGAGAGACAAGGCAGTGGGCAGTGGCACTGGAAGGAAGGCAGGCACGCCCCGGGCCGAAAGCTCACTGGCTGAAGAGACCCGACTGGGTCGAAGAGGTGGGCGACTTTTGGCGGTACGCTTCCCGGGGAAGGCAAGTGCGTGAGCAGGCCTCACAGTTGCAGCGACGCCAGCGACGCCAGCGAGTAAGAGATGGGTCCAGAGGAATGAAGGGGAGGATGTGATTGGCTGAGGGGAGAAGCAAGGTTAGGTTGGTTGGCTGCCGGGTCAGTTGGAAAAAGGATTGAAGGAGAGCCTTGGGTGCCTTAGTCATGGTTTGCTGGGGAGATGGAGATGGAGCTAAAATGAAGATTTCTGTCCACGTGACTTTGCGAGTACACGTGACGAGCCTTTTTCGAATGGAGCTCTCAGCGCGGCTGCCCGCTAATTTACCGGGAAAATAGCGACGAGAACAAAACGCTTTGGTCCGCAGCAACCAATACACCTCATTCCGACCTTACACGACCCCGACCGATTCTCCCCCCATCAATTGATCCGTATATCGTGATCAATTGGGCCACCGTTGGCAGAGGCTCCCATCTCACCGTCCTAAACCTCAGTCACGATGCTGTCGCGAGCCGCCAGACCAGCTCTCCGAGCTGCCGCCGCAGCTCAGGCTCGGTAAGTCCAAGTCTTTCCCTTCCCTCCGGCTGCCGGGAGGGACCCTCTTTCTCTGGCCCCCCAAGATTTTGTTGCCGAAGAAAGCTTGCCTCCGACCCTCGGCCACCACGCCGGCCTTCGACACCTACAATTACATGACGGATAGCAATTGATTAAAGAGATGGAACCTTGTTTGCTGACAACGGCCTTTTTCGCGCTTCCAGGGCCGCCGTCCCGAGCTCCGCCGCCACCTATGCGACCCTCCGTGAGATCGAGGACCGTCTCAAGTCGATCCGAAACATCGAAAAGATCACCAACACGATGAAGATTGTCGCCTCCACCAAGCTCACCCGTGCCCAGCGCGCCATGAACAACTCCCGCAAGTACGGCCAGACCTCCAACGAGGTCTACGAGTCGGCCGAGACCAAGGCTCTCGAGACCGAGGACAAGAAGACCCTCATCGTCGTCTGCTCCTCCGACAAGGGTCTCTGCGGTGGTATTCACTCTAGTCTTGCCCGATATGTCCGCCGCCAGGCCGCCGACCAGGACTTCGACCTCGTCATCATCGGCGAGAAGGCCAAGGCCCAGCTTGGCCGAACCAACGCCAAGTCGATCCAGCTCAGCTTCGCTGGTATCGGCAAGGACGTCCCCACCTTTGCCGACGCCCAGGCTATCGCCGATCAGATCGTTCAGCTTCCCACTGAGTACACCGACATCAAGATCCTGTACAACAGCTTCCTGAACGCCCAGAGCTACGAGCCCTCCATCATTGAGGCATTTTCCGAGGATGCCATCACCCAGTCCCGTGAGTTTTGCGTCGAAAACTGACGGCGTTGGAATGGTATATTGACAATTTTGTAGCCAACTTTTCCGCTTTCGAGGTTGATGACGAGGTCCTCTCCAACATGCGCGAGTACGGCCTGGCCAACTCCCTGTACTGGGCTCTTGCCGAGGGCCACGCCTGCGAGCAGTCTGCCCGACGAAATGCCATGGATGTGAGTATCATGAATGTCTCAGTGAAATGTCCCAATGCTGATAATTCCCGCAGAACGCCTCCAAGAACGCCGGTGAGATGATTAGCAAGTACCAGATTCTGTTCAACCGTACCCGACAGGCTGTCATTACCGGAGAACTGGTCGAGATTATCACTGGTGCCACCGCCTCGGAGGATATGTAAACAGTGGGAGTGCAAGCCGGGGTGTGACGCTTCCCTTTGTATCAATGCCAGCGGGTTCAACCACGCCGTCCATCAGTGTGTGGTTCTCCCGCCCCAGTGTATCAAAGCCTTCAATAAATTCCTTAGTAGCTCACACTCCCCAAGCGTGGTAGTGAGAAGAGAACAAAAGAAAAAGAGAAAGGAGTAATTGATGTTGGAGAGCATTTTTGAACAAGTTTCTAAAGACATTGCTATGTACACACTGCACTGCCTATGTGGTTTGAAGTCGTCTCCTAGAAAACAGACCTCGATGTCCGTTTAACGCCGAGCATCCACAAACACGGAATGACGATTCCACCTCCGAACCTGATATAGGTTGCCTTGCGAACAAGGAATTGAAATATAATGTATACCATGCGCCAGATGGAAAGGAAAAAAAAAAGAGACCCTAGGAAATGGGTATTGCCTGACACCTCAACTCGACTCACATCTCGCCCTCACTGTCACGGTCCTCGGCGTAGCTGACCCTCGCCCGACGATGCTTGTGCGAAGACTCACGAGCAAACTCGCCCAGCCCAGGAGCAGGAGGATGGTCCCTCTGGTACTCCGCCCGCAGCGAGGCAGCCTCTCGATCCCACTTTTCAACATCCCGGCTCCAGGTCTGCACGGCGTCAGCATGACCACGCCTCTGCTCCATTGCCTGGTCTTCGTAGGGCTTGCGCTCCTCGGGAGTTGCCTCCTTCCACATTTTGGACGTCATGATACGGACCTCGTTGGGCACGGCGCGGCCTGCCTTGCCTTTGCGGTTGTCTTCGCACTTCTTGCGGGCCACGTCGAACAGGGCCTTGCTGTATAGAATGTAGGCGTTCGCTGCCACCTTGTTCGGGCGAACGGGCCGCTCGCCTAGTTTAGAATGTACATGGCTGAGCAACTCCTGTTCGTATGCTTCTAGTTTTGCTCGTCTCGGGTCCTTGGTAGGTTCCTTGCGCTTCCTTAGTAGCACGGAATCCCGTGGCAGAATTAGAGGTGTTGGGACCTCGATGGGCCCGATCAACGTCTCCAACACCTCTGAAGCTGCCCTCAAGCCGGACAAGTAGGCACCATGAACCGTCGCCGGATGGGTGCCAATAGTGTGTTCGCCTGCAAAGAAGAGGTTGCCAACAGGCCGTGCCATCACATCGTAGTCTTCGGGTTGCATACCTGGAGCAGCTGACGAGTAGCTCCCTCTGGCAAATCGATCGGAACCCCAGCGGGTGACCATCGCCTCAACGGGATAGGGAACATCTGAACCAAAAACACGGCGCAGAACCTCTGTTGCCTCGGCGATGAGACTGTCGTTGCTCGAATGCTCAGTGTCGAAGCCTGCCTCACCAGCCATCAGGGCGATCAGACAGGGGAGACCCGTTGTGTTGGATACATTGAACCACTGGAAGAAGCGGCCACGGTTTGTTGCGTAGTCTTTCTGCGAAGTACTGTGCCGATTCGTAGAGTCTCTCAGCACACCAAAGATGTGTCGGTCATTCTCCCAAAAGACCTTGTCGTAAACAAGCACAACCTTGTTCAGGATGCCGAACCCTAGACGCTCCACAACGTCAGTCTTCCACGAAGGAAGAGGCGGGTTGAACGCTATGTTGTTTTGCTTCAGCACACCAAGAGGAATAGTGCAGACAACGGCATCAGCGTCGACGACTGATCCGTCCTCACACTCAATCGCCGCAGACGGCATGCCCTCTCCCACGTGGTAAGATATGCTCTTGACAGGGAATTTGGTCTTGAGGTCCAGTGAGGTTGGACATTGAACCAAGCCACGAGCCACGCTCTGATAGCCGCCGACGACCATTGTGTGACTCCCCTCCCACTCGTTGCCCGCATCGATGTCCCATAGGGGAAGACTGAGGTTGTGCAGACCAGTTGCATTACTGTATTCTAGATTGGCAATGTGCCAGTTGATGAGGCGATGGTCCTGGGCATTCAGCCCGACCATCTGCTTGTATTGGGAAATGGCAGAGTCCAGGACGGATCCTAGAGTTGCCCCCTCTTCGTTCACTGCTGGAACTAGGTCGATGTTATCTCCCTCGGCCGAGTGATCTCGCAGTGTCCAGCCCATCAGCTTTGCCTTCTCGGAAGCCTTGATCGTGGCCGGAGTCCCAGGCTCAGTGTGTACCCGACCCGTTAGCTTGTCTGATGACACCGGTATCATGTTGACCTTTGCTGGAACATTCTGCTGGGCCACTGGAGGAGCGTCTGGCTGTGCAGCGGCAGCTTCCTCTGCTTGTATCATCGTCTTGCTGCCGTCTCCGGGGCTGTCCCGGCCTTCTTCAATGAGGTCCCGCCTGCCCTCAATGAGTTTTGCCGGTTGGTTCTTGTGCTTGTACTCGCTGACTCGGTCTAGACAATCATTATATAGCTTCTCCACAAGCTGATCTCGGACAGGATCTACAGGTTTCCCATTGCTGTCGTAGATTGTAGTGTCTGCTGTAAGCGCGTGGTAAGGCAGGCTGAGCTGCCCGCGTAGAAGAATGTTGATGGGATTTCCTCGTTCAAATCCAGTGATGATCATGCCGCCCATCTCAGCAGTGTGCCGCTTTCCTTTGAAATCCGGCACGGGTTCTTTCGGTCTGGTCTTGAATTCGCGAGAATACACTCTGCCTCCTACCCGGCTTCGTCCCTCGAGAACCACCACACGCGGTGGCGGCTCACCTCGCTCGCGAAAACGGTCAGCGTACTGCGTGAGCAAACCTTCTAGTTGTCTGGCACAGCCAAGTCCAGAGATGCCGGCACCGATGATAGCGATCGTCTTTTGCCTCCTAACGACTGGTGCACCATTCTCATCGACCCCAGGCTCAGAGACTTGAACGCATCCATAGTTGATATAACCTCGACGAACAAGCCAATCGTAGCAAACACTTGCTGCATCAAACCAGCGTGCGTTTGCACACCCGACTGCCTCTGGTCGAGTAACACCGATCCAGGGCCGTTTCATCCAAAGGCGTAATATACCGTTTCTGATGTTTAGGTAGGTTGTGACTTGTGTGTAAGAGATGTGATGGCGTAGGAGAAGGTATTCCTCCGGGTGCAGGGCATAGGGGTTGAGTCGACTCGACTCTGCCGCCGCGATGCACTCTGAGGCATACCTTGACGACGAGATATCGGTGGGAATTGATGATTTCGGTCGGATGTTGAAGTTGTAGCGCTCTGCTTCGTTATGAGATGGCGATTGTTGGTGGGAGGAAGGTCGTGTGGGAGGCTGGTCGTCGACTGCTTGATCTTGGAGGCTCTCAGCTTCGACTGGCGTTGGGGTAGTAGCCTTGCTCGAATCAGTCGACGGTATTGACGAAAGGTCTGAGAGGTCTGCGAGGGAAGAGGGAAAGGAGTCGACGGCGGCATCGATGGTGTGTAGTAATGCCGAGTCATCGACTTGTGGTGTTTCGTCCCTATTGCAGAGTCAGTAATCGAAGTCGAGAACCGAATGCCACATCTTGAGGGGGATATCGGTAATGAGATGATGGCACTCACTCAGCATCAGCGGCGACACTCGACTGGTCATCAGACTCAGCGGCACTTTCGCTGTCAACCTCCATATCCCCAGTCCATACTACTATTTCGGGAGCGACTTCTGAGGCATGCTCTGTCGAGGTCTGCCGCGACTGAGGCAGCGATGCCATATCGGGTGTTGTTGGAGGTGACATTCGGGTCTGAGCACTCGGCAAGACGACCGTGTCTGAGGTAGGCTGTGAGTCGAAGACGCACTTGTCCCCAAGGGCTCCCTTGCGGTCACCAATTCCCGTCCTAAAGGCTCGCCCAAAGTCTGTCCCCATAGCGGCGTTGGTTCGCGAAGCAGTTCTCGGGGATATTGGTTGGTGGCGAGGTGTAAAATGACGATACGATACGATTATAGGGCGGGGTGGAGAGTATCAACTTCGACTATCGCCGCAAGGACTATCACGGAGTGAGATGAGAAAATTCGCATCATGCGCCGACATGGATGCCAATTAATGATCTGCACTAGTTCATCAGCCCATTTCCATTAGAGGCTTACAATAGGCATCGGGAGATGACTTACTGCACTCAGTGACAACCGCGTCAGTTCCAGTGTCAAGGATGATGGCCAGTGAGAGAGGAGACCTGGTTTGTAAGATGGCTATAGCTTCGGCGGTTAAACGACACTCGGCGAGAGACGATTAGTTCATGGCCAAAACTTGGATGTTTGGCCAAACAAATCGCCCGTTTCGTTCAATGACCGTCATCCGTTGTTGGTCCTTCTCGTCTTAGAGAAACTCCCAATCGTCAGCCATTGAGCCCCTCAGAATGCGGAAAGCAACGCTCGACTCTCGATCACGTGCGACACTACCACCGAATCAGATGCGCGTTTGCAGGTGGGTCTCGAGTTCATTCCAACGACATTGGCATTCATCGCCTCGACTTCTCACAATGACTTCAATGAGACTTCGTCTGTCCAAGTCCCCCCCATTGTCCGCGTTGGGTTAATTCCCGTTTTAGGAAATATTTCTATGTCGCTGGATTAGCCTATTATAATATCCTAATGCCTTTGCCACCGAAATTGCGCCAATCAGCCAGCCAGATGATTCCAGATATCGTATCGTACAGTCGCTGACGTCTCAGCTTGTCGAAACGGGCGCGGGCGCAGGCGCAGGCGCGTTCTCCTTCGCAAACGATTCTTTCTCGATCGCCGCATCCATCATTCTATTCCCGCTTATAATAGATGTAGTGCAAATCACGATATTTCTTCGTCCTGCCGAGCCGTTAGATATCGCACCCAATCGCGGGGCAAATTGAGAACTGTGAGAGTACTTACCTTCCTCCTGCTTCGCAATGAATCTGAGAGCAGCAATTTCAGTAAACGTAATGCCGCCGACAAGCACGACAAACACGGTCTGCTTGTTGCCGCTTCCCGAGAGCAACGCCCTCGCCTTGACCGCCTTGTCCTCGCCCTTCTGGTGCTCATAGAACGTCTGACCGCGAACGTGCTTGACTGCCTCGTCGAATCCCTGCCATCCTTGCGTGCCTACTCCAGGAGGCACCCCCGCCGCGCTCGCGCTGTTTCCTCTTGTTACAGAGAGTAGATACTGCTTTTGCAGAATGCACTGTACAAGTCGGATTGAAAGAGGCGCGTATCCACTATACACATACGAGATGTCGTTCGGGTCGTCCTCCTGAACCTCATCAACAATGAGACGCAATTGTTTGCGTAGATAACTGTAGTTGGTCTTGTTACCAGTTGCTCCCGTGTTGCCTGGGATGGGAATCATGCCAGCCAATGGTGATGACTTGGACAAGAAGAGCTGCAGCTTCTCGAGATTGTTGAGTGTGAGCAGGTGCTGATAGCCGTAGCCTTGGAGAACAAGCCGTCTGAATTGGTCAAACTCCTTGGGCCTGATGCCTCCTGATATGCACGAGTAGATGCAGAGCAGCCTCAACGTTTCCCGCATAGGGGCATCTCGTGCAATCAACTCCTCGATACCATCGAATTGGCTCGACGGATCAGCACCTGCAGCGAGGTTCTGTTGTACCTCCAAGAGCCCCTTGAAAAGATCCGTCCGAGTATGCTTGATAATCTCTTCGGCCAAGCCAGTGTGGATCCTTGCGCTCTGTTGCTCTTGTTGATACCCTGGTAGCTGACTGACAAAGTCCTTGAGCTCCGCAATGGTCTTCGTCTTATGTTTACTCTCGTAGTCGCTCTGCACCTTTTGAAGCCGCCTTGCAACTTTGTTGAGCAAGCTGCCAACTATTGCAAAGTTTGCGTCTCGCAGTTGTTCGTAGAGTTTATCGCTTGAGTCTAATTGAATCGTTCGCTTGCGGCTTTGTGATGTTGCTGCCGAAGATTGTGCTGGCGCGCCAACCACTGTGGTATCGACCTTGGTCTGGTTGTTCTGAATCTCAAACACCTCGTCGATGAGGCCCTCGTATGTGAGCTGAGTGAGTAGCGGTGTGACAAAGTCGACCTCACGGTCAATGATGATAACGCTCTCATTGGTTGTACTGGGGGTCAAGCCAGTCTTGTTGGCTTCTGTCGCATCCTCGCCGGCGAGGAGCTCCTGGCGCATACGTGCGAGTAGATCTGCGACACGCTTTGCATTGTCGCCTTTTCCAATGATGCGAGGAAATAGGCCATGGTTCTGCTGAATCTCCATGAGGGCTCTGGCCATGAGGAAGTTTGGTGTCACATCTTTCGAAAGGTAGAGGTCGCGGAATGAGTCGTCGAGCTCCAGGGACAGGACATCCTTCTCCAGAGGGAAGAAGGACAACGGCAGCTCAGAGATGTTTACATCGCCTAGCACGCCGGCCTCTTCCAGGAGCTTGTCGGAAACGAGGGTTCGTCGCGGGACCCAGAAGATGTGAAAGTCGTGCGCCGTCTGGCTCTCGCGCTGGACACGTTTGATCTGGGCTGAGCTTATGGTCAGGGTATTCTCCCAGTAATAAGAGTAGCTTCACAAACCTGCTATTGCCTCTGCATGACGGCCGCACTCGCCTCGGGCAATGAAGACGACATTGCGCTGGCTGGTGTCGACATTATCGTTCTCGAGGATAAAGAACTTATCAACGCCATACTCTTGAAGCACGGCGACTTTGACTATAATTCCGATTGGGCCGACGAGACTTCGATCAAGGACGACGTTCTTCTTTCCGCGAACCTAGATGGATCAAAGTGTGAGCTGAGGCAGCAGCCAGAATGAGGCTCGCGGGGCACGGCGGTGGGGAAGGAGGCTGCACATACACCTTCGAGGAGATACAGCAGGTCTTTCCGAGCCTTGTTGCGGATCTGCTCGGTGCTGAATTCCGTGCGAGGAGCCATGGAGGGCAGCTCGGCGCGGTTGGTGGGGGAGAGTTGAGAGACAGAGTGAGCGGTGGATGGGTATGGATGCGAGATGATGGGATCGAGGTCCGCCGTTGGAGCTTCCATCTGATGACGGCAATAAAGTGGGGAGCTTCCAGCCACTGCAGTCCTCGCTAGCGTCCACTGACCGGGACCTTCAGGCAGCGCCGATGGTGGGGCCGATAGCCGGAGATGCTTCATGTGAAGAACCTGGGACACCGTGTAGGTGTTGTAAGATCAAGATGGCTGTTGAATGATTTCTATGACTGAGAGGTTTGTTTCAGGTTTTCCAAGCAAGCCTTTCAGTTAGGAAAGTATGTGTCAAAATGCCAACACTCGAGGCTTGGTTCAAGGCCTACCCTGGGTCTATGTACGCTTTTAACAGCTAATAATCGAGTTCAGTATAAGAGCTAAGAGATAATGATAGCCTCACATGTTCTGATGCTGATAAGAAAACACCCAACAGGCCCGTAGGGTTCAACTTATTCTGTGCCTGATAGAGGGGTTGTTGTCAAGCCCAGCATCCATCTCTTGCTGGGCTCCCTGTTCAGTATTCGTGACAGTCCACAGCAACATAGCCAGTCAATTAACAAAACACAGCACAGAACGCTTCAGCATGCTATTGTAATGGCCTTGGAGCCTATTTATTCATTATGTGATCACAGTGCTTATGAGGCATCCGCTAGCTGCTTCTTCGTGATATCCATGCTCGGTCAAGTCCTTTTCACCTGACGCACTGTAGGTAGGTTCGACGCTCATAGACAGCCCAGCCGGGGCACGTATAAATCGGCTAAAATCTTTCAAAAAACGGCCGTGTTCCATCAGTAAACGAAAAATGCCATGCCTGTTTCCCTTGTCTCCGTCATCACACCGGTGGTCGTCCCAAACGCCAAAAGAATGCTGTGTAAATACCAAAGTCGGGATTTCTTCCGTTTTGCCCTCTGGGAGAGATATTCAACTCCTTTCCCCCCTCCTACACGGTGTTATCGTGGTAAAGGAACTCGATATCACGGGGTCGCAGCTTGTTGCCTCGTACAAAGTCCTCGTCACCCGGGGGTCGCTCGTTCTTGTCGTTGCTCGTCAGCATGCTCTGGATGCTCATGCAGACACTTTGGACGCTCTGGACAGGGCTCCAGCCCTGCTGGCCGAGCAGGTCGAGGCAGATGATGCCGTTGGAGTATATGTGTGGGTGCATAGGGATCGGACGGTCGGATCGTAGATCAAATGTGACTTCGGGGGGTTCTGGTTGAAGTGAGTAGGGTGTTTGGTGCGGGAGCATGGAAGATCCGTAAGCGTACCTATGGGGTACATCTTGGGGAAGTGAAACTTGAGCCGGTAGGTATGGCCCTTGTAGAGGGGGTTCTCGTCGAGGACTTGGATATCGAGGTACCAGTCGCCGGCAACGCTGTCGTCACGGTCCAGCAGCTTGATGCCGGGAGGCAGACCGTCCTTGTGGATCTGCGGGGCGCCAGATGAGCAGCGTCAGTTCGACTCCCAGTTGATCGGGCCAGGGAGGGAGGGAGGGGGAGAAGAGAACGAACCTTGCCCAGCTCCTTGACTAGGCGCCTGTCTCTTGTGGCTCCGGCCATGATTGACCGTTTTGGAATCTGCTTGGAGAGTCTGGGTATTGATTGATTCAGCGGGAGAGGCGTCGATGGCGATGATGTGCGGGTTGTAGGTGGGAGGATTTGTCGTCGGGCACGCTCTGTGGAACTGAGAAGCAGAAACACCACCTGCTGGGAGGGGCCGCTTGCGGCGCTGCACCCACATTGGATGCCCCAGAGGTACCTTTACGACCTGGCAACAGCCTCAAAGCCTGTCGCTTCTGCGTGGCTTAGCGAGGCTAAACAGTTGGCGGCTAGTCTCTGCAGAGGCCTCGACTCTGAATCTTTCGTTTGAAACATCGTCCATGTCTTGTTTGTACCGCCCTTTTCGCCAAAAGCTGCGTCCAGTCACTGTCACCTGGTGATATCATTCAAGCAAGGACTCGACCCATAAATCTGATCGTGTTGTACTATTGGATGGCGTCGATCATGGAGGCATTCAGTGAGACGTCCTGATGTGACATCCATTCACTGTTGGGCTCTCGCAACGCAAAATTACTTGCAACAGTGAATAACGTGCTTTACATTCATGCGAATAACATGCAGATGGTTACACTTTCAAGACCTTTGCTAGTGTCTACTCCAACTTCAAACAAGGCAATTCGCTGGCCCTGCAGACGCCAGCGGTTACAAACATGTTTGGGCCGTTTGTGACGTGGTCGGCCGACTTCCCTGCTGTTTGGTTAGGCATATACACTAGGAACAAGACTGCATGCTTCTAGCCCAGATGCATATGATCATCAGAGTATGTGGGAGACACTGATCATCAAGGAATCCAGATTCGTCTTTATTGATTATGTGCCAGGTGCAGCGACGTGGCAGAGTCGAAGTTCTGTGCCAGATATCACCAGAATCGAGCTTTAACGCATTCAAGCACGAATTCCCCGTCTTGAAGCAAGGATGGAGTTCAAGACCACCTACCCAATATACCCCGAACAATGGCATCTATATTCTCGCGTGCATACAATAGCCCGGTTTCACCTCCATGCAGCGAACAAGATGAGGCTTAGGTCGCTTGCTGTAGCTTGGACGCTCTGGGCCGGTTTCTCCGTTCGCAAGGAGAGACAAGGCAGGCGGATGAAGTGGTATAACTTAAAGCTCATGACAGGAATATGTGGTGAAATCATAAATTGCCCGAGGTTTCTGGACCTGCCAAAACGGGATCTAACTGCCTACTTAAATACTCCGGCAGATTTTCATCCGATGTTTCTAAGCGCGCATTAGATAGAATTACCGAATATGATACGAACAGGAGCACAACTGTAGCTCTTTAGTACCCAAAGAACGCCCTAAAGATCGAGAGGTGAAGGGCCATTCTAACGACTGCACGTCTCAGTTGCCCTCGAGTCGCTTATAATAATCCGCAGTATCACAAAAAAAAAATGATCTCGATGTTGCCCAAAATGAGGCCTCAAGGGTAGCCATGACCTGGCCAACATGAGTGTGAGATGCTGGATCGTCTTGCAACACTCACGAACCCAAGGCGTGAGATATACTATTCACCATTCTAGATGAACCTGAGATATGATAAGAGTGTACTATGAGTTTTCGACCTGAGCGGGTGTTGAAACGCTGACTGTACTGGATGGGCAGTTCCATGCAAGTTCCGTGGAGCCCATTGGTAGATGTGCGTATGCGCTCCATTACCCATGATCTTGGCCTACTGCGGGTAGATATTGCCAGGAGCAGTCAGAAGTCAAATAACAACTTGACTGATGCTGCGCTGGACGGTTTCCCAAAAGACTCGAGAGTTCGTCAATGACCTGGACATGCCTCGACAAGGCAACATGTCTTCGATTGACTGAGGCCTCCGTCAACATGGGATATTCAGAGTCATGAATAGCCATGCCAAGCTAGACAGCCTCGTAGGGCTGGATCCGTCTGATGAGGCATTCCTCCTATCCCCAATTGGAAAAGACGCAAGAGGCGAGCAAGGAACTCGGCATCCATATCCATCCATAGGATTGTACGAGCGTCGGTTGGGTCCAAGGGCTTGCGAACCTGGAAAGACAAGGTGCTCAGCCACACGGCGTTTGGCGAGAAAATGGATCCCGTTGCCATCTCGAAGCGGACCCTCTTCAGGTTTCCATTTTTTCACATGATGAATACGGAGGGGCCAACAAGGAGGAGACAGGACTGGGGAGGAAACTCTGGAGGTTGCCGGAATGCTTCATTGGCAGATTGGATGACAGACAATCTGACATGGCGCGCTCAGCCTCTTTGTGCAACGGATCGTTCGTTTCGCGGCTGCATTTGCGGCTGACTGAGCCACAGGCGTAACTGGCTCAGCCTGACGCATTCATCCATCCACCCATCCACATCCACATACCATGAGCGGGCTGGGATGGATGGAGCGAACGGGACACACTCCATCCCGAGAATCCTTGGATGGATGGAGGTTCGGTCGCCCCGCCAGGGCCGCACACTCCATGGATGACCGGTTCAGGGGGCGCTAGTGCTAAAGTCCCCTAACGTAACAACGGGAAAATGGTGCGCAAGGCACCTAAACTTTGCTGACGACCAGCAGCCCCAGCCCGGGCGGGCAGGGCAGGGCCACTGAGGAGGGGAGGCCGCTGCAGGGAGTCCGAGCAGGTCCATTCAGTTCAGCTCAGCTGTCGCAAGCTCATTAACAAGGACCTCCCATCCTCGTCCCCTCCATGCCCGTCGATATCCATCCATCCATCTCACCTACTTAGGTCCTCTCCCTCCTCCCTCATCCCCAAGGCTTCGTCGCCCTCTCCTTGGACTCTCCAAACTCCATTGTCGTACGGCAGAGCGCCTCGGCTACGGATACCGACATCGCATCAGCTTACGGGCTCGCCGTTTGCTCCCGTTGTATCTTTTTTTTTCAATCACCAAAAGCCCAACGGGAACTGGACGCTACCCCGCCATAAGTGCCACCATGAGCTGTAAGTTGCGACTATCCGCAGCCTCATTCCTCTCCCCGCTTTGGCGCCGTCAGCTTTTCTTCTTGTCCCGCCTCTCTTGCACTTGACATCGTGTTCTTGTGTTGGCAGTTCGGACCTCGTCGTCGCTGTTCCTTTACACACCTTCTGTTCCATTTGCTGACCATGGCTTCCACCTCGATAGTCGCAGGCATGCTGAACAGGCTTCACGGCCAACCCGAGAGCTACGATAAGAAGTACGCAACCCGAATTACCCTCCCTCGCTCCACCCGAGTCCAGATCCAGATCCAACAGAGCCTAACAATCAATCTTTGCGTATAGGGCCAAGTACAGATTCGGTCGAACTCTCGGTGCTGGAACATATGGTGTCGTTCGTGAGGCTGATGGCCCCACGGGCAAGGTGGCCGTCAAGATTATCCTGAAGCGAAATGTCAAGGGTAACGAGCAGATGGTCTACGACGAGCTCGAGATGCTCCAGAAGCTCAAGCATCCTCACATTGTCAAGTTTGTCGACTGGTTCGAGTCGAGGGTAAGCTCCCCCTCCCCTCATCTCCCCTCCACTGCGCTGCCACCTTGGGCACGTACCCCTCGTCCACCCACACATCAAGCTTACCCACCTTTGTTTTGCAGGACAAGTTCTATATCGTCACACAGCTCGCGACCGGCGGTGAGCTCTTCGATCGTATCTGCGAACAGGGCAAGTTCACCGAGAAGGATGCCGCCGAAACTATCAAGCAGGTCCTGCTTGCAGTCGATTTCTTGCACAAGAACCAGATCGTCCACAGAGGTACAGTACCGTGATGCGGGGCAATCATGATGTACCACACCAACTGACGCGGCTCAATAGATCTCAAGCCCGAGAACCTGCTCTACCTGAGCAAGGACCCCGAATCCGATCTCGTCCTTGCTGATTTCGGCATCGCCAAGATGCTCGATGGCAAGGGTGAGTCTCTCAAGACGATGGCTGGCTCCTTTGGCTATGCCGCCCCCGAAGTGATGCGCAAGGAGGGCCACGGCAAGCCGGTTGATATGTGGTCCATGGGTGTTATCACCTACACCCTGCTTTGCGGCTACTCTCCCTTCCGAAGCGAAAACCTTCAGGACCTGATCAGAGAGTGCACTGATGGTACCGTCGTCTTCCACGAGCGATACTGGAAGGATGTCAGCAACGACGCCAAGGACTTCATCCTGCACTTGATCAACCCCGACCCCGAGCAGCGCTGGACCAGCGAGGTAGGATGACGCACGTTGGCTGTGAAAGATAAGACGACTGACTTTTCACAGGAAGCCTTGGGTCACATCTGGCTCAGCGGCAAGAACGCCACCGACCACAACCTGTTGCCCGAGATCAAGTCGTTCCGCGCGAGAAGCCGCTTCAGGCGCATCATCGAGAAGATCAAGCTCCAGGCCCGAATCCAGAAGCTCAGGGATCTGGAGGAGGACCCCGAGAACTCGGATCTGTCGGCCATATTCAGCGAGGTCGCCAGAGCCAAGCTTGCCGACGACAAGGAGGAGAAGGAGGTGCTGCGCGTCACCGAGGAGGTCACGAAGGAAGCCAAGCGCCGCAGCTTCCAGGCTTAAAGAGAATCATTGCATTTACAAACTACGGGCGAAAGGCCGTGCGGCTGCATGTCATCAGCCGGATATTGAAAGGATTTTTGGGTCTATAGTTGATGCCGCCGGAACGGGCTGGTATGAGCCCGCTCGAAAGCGGACTGGGTCAGCAAGATGAGATGGATAGGAAGAGGCAGGTCATTACAAGTGATCATATCGTGTCGATTTGATTGGAAGCGTTTTGATTTCAGGCAATGCTTTGAAAAAGGTGACAATGAATGAGGAGGTGGTGAAATCAAGTCATTCATCTTTTTGAATCCGTTACTCGTTGTTGTTGTTCTCTATATAGAAGTGGTATCGTTGAAGCAACCAGCTACTCGCCCAATTTTTGCTGCCCTCAAGATCCAGTCTTTTCCTATGGGTATAACTAATCCTTTTTTAATAAAGATCCAGTCTTTTCTTGCCAAACCGGTACCTATACATATCCTATCATCCAATTCGACGCTCGTTTTCCTCTCCATGTTTCTTGCAAATCCTTCCTCGTGATATCGTTGAACTCTTTTTACATACACACATCCATACATACATACATGATTGAATAGAACAAGAACCGTAACCTCCAAGACATATGCCAACACCGAAAAGCATGGGAGAACTAGTGCAGTGGGCAAACTTAATCTACCAAGTCTGCCACGGCGCTCTCACGGAGCTCCTCATAGCGCCGGGCATCGAACCGCTTGCGTTCCCACCCCTTGGCCCGCAACCGCTCTATGCGAGCCTGCAGTTCCGGTGAGCGGCCTGCATCGATGGATGGATGTACGGGATGCACCGCCATGATAGAAACAGGAGATGGCGGCGTTACCTCTTGAGCGACAGTCTCAAGAAGCTCCGACTCGATAAAGGTAAGATGCCGGAAGACTTGTCGCTGCAGGCTGGTCAGAAGAGCGCTGTAGCGATGCACCGAGCGCGCATGGCGGAAGGGGTCGAATTCAGAGTCGGAGTATGAGACGGACTCTGCCGGGGCAGAGCGTGGGGTGAGGCATGACCGTGGGAGAGGGCCCGAGGGCCGGAGCGGCGCCGGCATGACGGACGGCTCGGCGTCAAGGGGATCAGGCGACGCTGAGCGGGCGGATCCCAGCAAGCTGCCGAGACCTAGGGTCGGTGAGTCGGGGCGCTCGAGGAGTTCGATGGGCATCTCGCTAAAAGTCACACGCTTCTTGCGCTTGGGGCGAGGCGTGTCCTGGATCGACGAGATGGACGAAGCCGGGGAGGCTCCGTGGGATGAAGTCCATCCCGATGAGGCATAGGAGCTGACCGAGCTGTCGGCGGAGTGAAGGCTGGGGAGGGTAGTGGTGGTGCCAGAGGGTCTGCGAAGGAGGGCTGGGCCGACAGCTGAGTCGGCAGCGTTGATGAGGGTGGAAGCGCGTTGGTAGTGATCACGGGCCTGGTGAAGGAGGGAAGTGCGTTTTGCAGAGCCTTGGTTGAGAGCGCGGGCGAGCATCTCCAAAGAGCTGGCAGCGTAGAAGTGAAGGTAGATGAGATAGGCAGGCTCAATGACACTCTGCATGATGTTAGTCGCCTATATGATGATGATAAATTTCAACAGTGACTTACAGAGTCCTTGATGTTATCCAAGATTTCACAACATCGAGTCGCACAGGGACGGTAGCGGCGGTTGAGATACTCCCTCTTCACGTCGGCGATAGCCTTGGACCATTCATCAGAAGTGAGAGGCATGCCATGTAGCGACTCTGAGAGCGACTGAGGGAGGTAGTCGGGCGACTTGACCTCGGCAGCCGAGGCGCGACAGGTCTCCTGGCGCATCGACATGGGCAGTGAGGTAGATCGAGACGGCCAGGTCGGAGTGGTGGCTGGAGGGATTGCGTGAGGCAACAGAGCAGCCATGACGGTGAGTGATATCCTACACAAGAGCAGGAAGAGGACTCGTATCCGGGGCTTAGAGGTCGAGACCTAGAGGCAGAAGTGGAGGCAGAGGCTGTTCCGGGGGGCGTTGCGATATAAGAGTCTGGACTGAGGGCGGCGGCGCGCGTGGCGTGGCGAAGGTTTGTGTGGCCAATATGCCAATATGTTGTTGCCCGTGATGGGTACAGTAGGTGGTTTGTCAATCCTTTCAGCTCTTCGTGGGTCGATCCTATGGGGGGGATAGATGGATGACTGGGGACCTGATGGGTAGGACAGAGTCTAAAGGCCTGTGACGTGCGAGATGTCTCTGCTTAGGCACCCGTCTCTCGGGGCAAGGAGGGGAGGGAGGAATCCGCGTCTGAGTCGTCCGGCGGGCTGATTGGTGAGACAATGTGTCAATAAAGGGCGGCGACACAAGGTGTAAGTGAGAGCAGGAGGTGGTGAGAGGGCCGGGCCGAGCTTGAGTGCGTGTTGTTGCGTCAAGAACCAGAGAGGAGAAGCAACGAGTGTGGTCGACTGATGAGCGGGCAAAGATGAATTTCTGAGAAAAAAAAGTCGATCTGTGCGGCCAAGGTGGTTGCGGGTAGTTAAAGAGATGACAATGGAATTCATAGACATCCGAAAGCGGTTGGTGTTGAGTATAGGAGCGCCACTTGGGCGAGCCATCTAGCCAGTCCAAAAAGTTGACCAGGTGATGAGTACAAACCAAATACTTCTAGCGTCGATGCCACTCTGTCGTCGGGAATACCGATCTCTGGGGAACGAAGATCGCTCCTGGGCTTGGTCTCGTCCTTGTGTCAGCGGCGCCGAGCTCTTGGCTGGTTGCTGGGTGGTGTTGCGACCTTGTCGTGATGACGATGATGAGTCGTTTGTTGGTGTAAGTGAAGGCTTAGTGTAAATGAGGGCGAGGCGAGAGGAACACTGGAAATGAAAGGAATTCTCTGAGCCCGTGTATTCGAACAAAAGAAGGTCAGGATTCAGGTCGAGATGCTATGAATCCAGGTTGTCATACGTTGGCCGTCGAGTAGGCAAGCAGAATAACACAAAGACATGGACACAATAGCCAGACACCACGCACACCACGCTCTCACGGGCACACACACACAAACCCGATGATGACAAGTTTAGCCTCTATTTTCTACCCTCACTCGAGGGAGAAAAGTTGGTCTTATCATTTTCTCAGCTGTGCCCCATCCGACGTGTCGGGTTCAAAGAGAGACACCGCTGCAAGGGATTTTGCACACTAGTTTCCTTTCCCCTGCTCCGATGGGGAACACCATGGCTAGCAAGTCTCGCATGAAAAAAAAGGAAGACGATCAAAAAGAAAAACCCACGATCTTTGCGGAGCTCGACTGGTCCGGCTAGGGCCTAGGTGCGGCGCCGGCCTTCCGAGAGATCATCCTGACCTTCCTCTCCCCGCCGCGCGCCGCCCGTACCCGGCAGACCCACGCTTCGCCTGAGCCCGTCCTTGTCTCCAGGTGGGTTTTTTGCTCTCCCTCTCCTCAGGCTTGGGCCGGCACTTGCATCAGGAAGAAGAAAAGAGCCCCTGGAGTTGGAGGTCGGTGAGCCATGAGGATTGGCGGTGACGCAGAGAGAGGTGGAACTCTCTGGACTAAGGGAGAAGAGAGCAGAATGACAGAAGAGCGGACAATAACGAACAAAGAGAATAGACCTCATGTTGGTCTACTCTCGCCATCGGTCCCGCGAAGGGTGGCGTAGTAGACGAAACGCCAACCTGTCGGATCCAGAGGGTCGGGATGGCGATGGGCAACCCCAATAGCCAAGGTTCAATTCCCAAGCCTATTCAGGACAGAGCTTTGTGGCACGGACAACGCGGGACAGTGACACGAGAGAAAACACACGGCTCATCCCGCTCGACGTTGCAGCTGTGGTTGTAATTGCAACTCCCTTGCCCAGCTTCGGTGCGTGCCCATCATCTCGTTTGAGCTGGATCTTCGGGTATAACTGCTGCCAGCGGCGCACAACTTTCATGGGACCTGCGTCTCGGTTAACATGAGCCTCAATCCGCCAAGTATCCATCACGCGCGCTCCCCGCCTCTTGTTTTCGGGGTCTCCATCAAGCCCTCATCGCTCGAGAACGTCGGATGGGACCGTGGGCTGGGGGCTGGGGGGCCGGGGGGGGAACGTTCTGTACCGCATTGGGCTGGCCGGCTGACTGGCCATCTCAGGATGCCTACGCGTTCTTGGTGCCTCCCTCCTGCCTGGGAGACGCGATCAGAAGCCCCGTCGTTGGAGGCTCTGTGCTTTTTGTCACAGACTGAGACCTTGAAGCCTCGTTTGGTCGATCAAACAAGGAATCCCTCTCTGTCGCAGGGAGAAACTGGAGTGGCGGCGCTAGGTTAAGAATGGATGCCACGGCACGACGTTTATGATAGCGTATCACGGAATAACCTCTCTTTCCGATGCGGAGGAGTCGGCAGACTCTGGCAGGTCCAGACAGAACAGGTACTTACCCAGATAGTATTGAGGTGAGATCCTTCCTTTCCTTCCATTTTATCAACAACCCCATAGACTCCTCTAGACTGGCTGTTTACCTCCATCTATCAAATAACATAGAACGCCTTGACTATCAATTCTTGACCATCATTTCAACTGTTTTTATTTCGTCATTTCCAACCTATGCGGTGGGATTTGTAGGCGTTTGTTCCTCTGCCGCAGGCCTCGCCTCAGGGGCGGTAGCTTCAGGAGCGGCAGCCTCTGGTGCAGCCTCGGGTTGGGCCTCAGTCTTCTTCTCTCCATCCTTTACCTCGTCACCCTTGATGCCGTGGACAACTCGCAGACCTTCAGCTTGTCTTGTCAGGTGGTCTAGCTCTCGCTTTCGCTGGAGTCGGACCTTGACCTCCTTGGCCATATCTGCGAGAGCCACAAGGATACCCTCCTTTTCAGGGTGACCATCCTGGAGTCCCATCTCCTTGATCTTGACCTTGCCTGACGCAACCTCATCGTCTCCAAGGAAAATGGCAAATGGGACACCGTTGGCCTCTGCCGCCTTGAACTGCGCTGGCAGCTTGGGCTTCACCTTGTAGAGGAACTCGGCCTGTAAAACCATGTTAGTACTTGGCTTTTGCTCATAAATCTTGAGTCATGTGTCATCAACCAACCTTGATGCCAGCCTCCCAGAGCTTTGTGCAAACCGCCATGCGCTCCTTCAAGAAACCCTTGCCGAAAGCCATGACGTAGACATCAACATCGTTGCCACGGACAGCGGAATTCTTCTCGGCTGCCATCCTGGCCTTGGTGATGGAGAAGATTCTGTCAACACCGAAAGAAATGCCAACACAAGGGATCTGGTTCTTGCCAGAGAACATGCCGACAAGATTGTCGTAGCGGCCACCAGCAGCAACACTGCCTACACCGACTGTGGGATCGCCGGAACGGTCATCGTCGTCAGATCCCTTCTTGCCCTTCTTTTTCGAGGGCTTAGGGGCCTCGTCCTCGTGGCCGGGCGCCACTTGGGGAGCAGAACCCTCTGTGACAACCTCATAGATAAGGCCGGTATAATAATCAAGACCACGGGCCAAACTGAGATCGAAGGACACCCGGTCCAGCACGTTGAAAGCCTCGAGGTATTCGAAGAGCAGAGCAAGATCTGCCATGCCCTTCTTCATCGACTCGTTGGCTGCCAGGCTTTCGTTGTTCTGCAGCTTCTCGAGGAGGTCCTGCTTGCCCTTGAGAATAACCCACTCGCCGATTCGGTCAGCCACCGCGCCGTCAAGGCCCTTCTCTTCTGTCATCTCCTTGCGAACATCAGCCCATGGCAGCTTGTCCAGCTTGTCGACAGCAGAGGAGATAGTGCGAATCTTGTCCTCAGGCACGCCGCAGACCTGGAAAATACCGTCGAGAATCTTGCGGTGGTTCATCTTGATCGTATAGCCGCCGTTCCAACCAAGTCCCTCAAACACCTCGGAGATGATGCGAATGACCTCGGCGTCGGGCAGCATAGCGTCGTAGGTGCCGGCAATATCGAAATCGCACTGGTAAAACTCTCGCATTCGGCCCTTGGTCATGGCGGGCTGATCTCTGCGGTAGACCTTGGCAATGTGATATCGCTTGATGTTCTGGATGTCCTTGTTCATGGCGAGGAAACGGGCGAAGGGGACGGTCAAGTCGTATCGGAGGGAGCAGATCTCGCCGCCCTGATCGGCGAGGTCGTAGATAAGCTTGCTGTCCTCGCCATACTTGCCAGCGAGGATTTCTCTGAGCTCGAAGACGGGGGTATCGATGGTGACTCCGCCGTGGCGCTTGAAGACTTGGGTGATGGTGTTGAAGATGTGGTCACGGATGACCATATCCTTGCCCTCCCCTCCGCGCAGTGTCAGGACTTGCGATTCGCGGTCGGATGTATCATGGAGGGGACAAACTCACAGTCCTTTGTACCCTTGGGGGTCTTGAGCTCGAACTTGTTCTTGGGCGCCATATTTTGTGGTTGTTGGGATCTCGTGGGACGCGGGGCAGTGGTGGAGGAGGAGGAGGAGGAGGAGGAAGAAGAATGGCGGGGCTGAGAAAAGCCTTTGATGGAGGGGCCAAGGCCGTTGACGGACAGACGAGGACGTCGGCCCAGACAGGAAGGAGGGCAGTGGGAGGATAAATATGATACAGAAGAAGCAGCGGAAATGGATGCCAATGGCCGTGAAAGGTAACAAGACGCAGTTGAGGACGCCAATGTTGATCTGGCCAGAGAAAATTTGGCCGAGGCTGGCTTTGGCTTCATGCCTTGACCTTTTGGTGGGAGGACGTGAGGCTTCTCTGCCAAACTGGAGCCCACTCTATGACTGGTACACGGCTGTAGTCATGCAAGCGCCGGGCGATCCAATGCGTCACGCTTTTTCTGACCCGACCTGGAGCAGAAGCCAATTGTGCCTGGTCCAGAAAATTTTCCACGGCAAGATGACTCCCGTCCATCCATGGCCCAAAGAGAAACGACTTGGCGGGGCGTCTACTGTACGGGCTCGTTGTGGCCTGAATTATGGGCAGCCAATGCCCTGTATCTAGGCTTGATCCCCTGTGATGGAGGGGTGTGAGGGGCAAATGCGAGGGGCAATTTGTTTAGGTAGATAGATGGTCAGGGTCCTGGTCAGCGGGTTTGTCGTGATGAGGTCTATCCGACAAGGCTGGCGTATCACGACCTCCCTTTTCACTCATGCTTCAAGCCTGCAGGACGATCCATGAGAGCTTACCTGTGTATTAAGCGAGGTATGCGTCCTCAACTATCTGCAAGGTAAACAACAAGCTTAAGAAGACACGGTTGCAAACATCCAGCTAGCTAATTTGCGAGTCAAGTCAAGGGGCTTGAAACTGCGCCTCGATGGCTTGTTTTTGAAGTTATCACCATAGCGATGCTCCAGAGATCTAGAGAAAGGATTTTCAACCTGCCTTGTGAAGGAATATGATCTTTCTTTCATCGGTGACTTCAAGTCGTGCCATCGTAGACCGAAATGCTTGAAAGAAAATGTGCCCGGCCTTGTCTCCCCAAGTATTGCTACTTCCTTTCAGCTCCGGATGTGGGCTCTGGGCGTCCGTCCTCGAGCCGTGCCCCCGGTTCCGTGGAGCCGCGGGTCCTTGTTCTGTAAGTGAAACGGCGTGTGGATGGACTTCACCAGGATGGCCCCAAAGCAATCCGTCCCGTGTCGGAGCAAAAGGCAGACTCAACGACGAGCTAGCTGAAGAGGCAACCACTGCTGAGTAACGCCAGCATTTCGCGTCGACTCTATTGGCGAAGCCAAGACATGGCGCATCTGCTTCTGCGGTTTGGCTTTTGCGGGTTTTCAGCCTCGACATGTGGTGAAATTGCATGAGGCCATGAGGCGTTGACGTCGTCACCACGGGGTCAAGTAATTTAGGTGCCTTGAGGCTAGTGTCACTTGGAAGGCAGACGTTTAGGTTTATGATACTTTTGTTTCCTGATACGAAAATGTGTCTGGTATTACTGTTGTATAGATCTATGTACTGTACATTTGTTTCAGGCGTCAGACAGAATTGGTGAATCGGCGCGCCGAGATGGTTGCCTGTAGGCACGAATACTTGCTTGGCATCCAATGGAACCGACAAAAGTCGTCAATATTTGATGATTTCCTAGCCAAGTTGAATCATTGTAGCTACCAATGAGCCTGCAATTGAGATAATATCTATCTACAAGCAAAATTTCATGATGAAAAGATAAACAATTCTATACGCGGATTCGGGATTTTGTAAAGATCCATCATCCTTCGGCCTCATGGTTGGTTGCGCCGTACTGTACATTAGATCTCGAAACATATTGCAGTCCCACTAAACATGCATATTCTCACCCGTTAATTGGCTTGGTTTGCTCGCTTTCGTCGGATTGAACAGCAACCCGAACCCGAGTGCTTACCCGTGGGTCTGCTGGGATATCCAAATGACCCTTCCGCTATTGGCTCGTGGCAGATGAAGATGCAGCTAATGACTTGCCAACGGCCTCCCGCCCCATGACGATATCCACGCAGTCATGATGGCACTGCGAGCTCTATTCCTCACACAGCAGAGACACGGACGCCTGTCGTCTTGGCCCAGATTAGGGAATTTACGCGATGTGATCCGCGGCCGTGCCCCGTATTGTGTCCTGATTTAGGAATCCAGGCACCCATGATGCTTGATTGCTCATCGCTCAGCAATTCCTAACATCATCTCTTAAGCGAAGCTGACTTGGAACCCCCTTTGCGCGCTGTAGGACCATCTCGACGATCACTTAAGGACTGCCTCGAGGTTCGAGTCTTTGAGTACAAGGCGCAGCTGCCGTCCCGTCACGTTTCTCTTTACATGTTGAAGACGTTCGATATTCTCCACGCCCACTCAGTCCCTGAGACATACCCTGCCATCGTCCATTTAAGGTCTTGTCGCTTGCTGCAAACTAACGCTATTGACTAGCGTCGTATTTCGTATCAAGCGGGCTTCCATCCAGACCCCCTTGTTTGTACTTGCCTCTTTAGGGGACACCCTCCCAAACGCTCCTGTCCCATCTCAACGTCTCGACTCGGCTTGAGTGCATCATTCATTTATCCTCACATTCTATCATCTTCCATTCTGCCATCTGTAATTCTTTTATTTCCCATCGCTCCCTTGTTTCATCATTTTTACACTTGCAATCTGTACTGCCTTACGACGCTTTTGCTTAACCACATGTCGATGCGCTCATCACCCACGTCGCCACCGAGATGAGTGCCATGGATCGTGAACATATCAGCGAGAAGCCGGCTACCTCGTCGTCCTCAGGCCCTCAAAATTCGGTTCTACAGAATGCCACGGAGGAAAAGGCCCAGACAGAGGCCAAGCTTCGTCCTGAACGGACGGCAACCTTTAAGGATTACACGGTACATCTTTTGTATCCCGGCGCGTTCTTGTGGTATGCTGACAAGTGGTCTATAGAGGGTTTTCACTTATGCCACAAAATGGGACTTCCTCGCGTACGCCGCTGGAGTGATTGCTTCCATCGGTGCCGGTGTCGTATGTCTGCTTTTCCCCAAGCAAGTTAGGTTATGAATCACTGACACTATTCAGACCCTACCGTTGCTGAATGTCGTTTTTGGTTAGTGGATCTACAGACCTTGCAACTGATCTTCTTTCTAATTATTACACCAGGCCAATTTGTGGGCGAGTTCACCAGCTTAACGTCCAGTATTAAGACTACCCAGAGGCTCGCGTATGTTTGAATGCTGGTCCAAGTCAACTATTGTTAACAGTTTCCCGTTAGGCTCTACATGTTCTTTCTGTTCCTTGCCCGTTTTATTCTCAACTCTATTAATAAAGTATGTCGTTCAAACCTGTGTGGAATCCATCAATACTTATCCAAGTTAGTTCGCCTTCCGCATGATCGGCATCAGGCTGTCTTCAGCCATCCGACTACACTACCTGCAACGCCTATTCGGTCAGAGCATTCATGTTCTTGACTCTATGCCCCCAGGTTATGCTACCAGCACTATCACTTCTACTGCCAATGTTCTGCAGCTCGGAATCTCTGAAAAACTGGGCATTTTTGTCGAGTACAATGCCACCATCATCGCGGCTCTCATTGTTGCTTTCACTAAGAACTGGTCTCTCACCTTGGTAACAGCATCGGTCGTCTTGTTCTTGTTACTTGTTCTTGGAGTAATTCTTCCTTTCATCTTGAAGGTCAACACACGGGTTACAAGGGTAAGCAACTGGACATTCTTGAAGAGCCACCTTGTTGACAACCTTCCAGGCCGAGGGAAAAGCGGCCGCAGTTGCCAGTGAGGCACTTGCGAGTATCAGGATGGTAGCCGCGTGCGGTGCAGAGACACGCATTGCAAAGAAATACGCTGCATTCGTTGAGGAAACAAGGAAACACGCCCATGTCCTTTCCCCCCTTATCGGAATCCAAACTGGTTTGATCGTGAGTCAACTGACGGGATAGAGAAGCCGTTCGCTCGTGCTAACCCGGCCAGTTTTTCGGACTGTACGCTAGTTTCGGCCTTGCCTTCTGGTACGGGGTTAAATCTCTTGTCGAAGGTAGGGTGGGTAATATTGGTGACATTCTTGTGTAAGTGTACTCTGTGTCCCTATGCCGGGGATCCATACTGATGAGACCAGTGTACTTCTCTCCGTCATGATGATTGTCATCTCCCTCGAACGAACCTCGACTCCTCTTATCGCTGTTGGAAAGGCAACTGTCGCCGCCTGCGAGTTCTTCATTGTCATCGATGCTCCCCAGCCAAACAAAGGCAGCCTGAAGGAGCCCGATGTTTCATCCACAGAGGACATCGTTTTCGAAAACGTCACGTTTGCATACCCGAGCCGTCCGCATGTGCGAGTCTTGGACAATTTGGATCTGCGGATTGAGGCTGGCAAGATCAATGCCGTGGTTGGTCCATCTGGCTCTGGAAAAAGTACTATTGTTGGTCTCATCCAGAGATGGTATTCCCTACAGGAGCAACATGTCCTGGCCAAGGCTATTGAGAAGGAGAAGGAGAACGGAAAGAAGAAGAAGAAGGATGATGAGGAAGACGAAGACGGCGCCCCTGAACCCGAACCCGAGGAGACAGGACCCGCGATCGAACTTCGTGGTCGGGTTTCCACGTCAGGACACCTCTTGGATGAGATTGATCTGAAATGGTGGAGATCCCAGATTGGACTCGTTCAACAGGAGCCGTTCCTCTTCAACGACACGATTTACAAGAACGTTGCTTATGGGCTGATTGGCACCCAATGGGCGGACGAACCTGAAGACAAGAAACGGGAGTTGGTAAAGGAGGCGTGCAGAGAAGCCTTTGCGGATGAGTTCATCGATAGGCTACCTGATGTAAGTGCTGGCCTAGTTCACTGGCCACCCCCGTGCTAATTCGTTCCAAGGGCTACGACACTGTGGTTGGCGACAGTGGCGCCAAGATGTCTGGTGGTCAACGACAACGGTTGGCCATTGCCAGATCGATTGTGAGGAAACCGAAGATCCTAATCCTTGACGAGGCTACCAGTGCTATCGATGTTCGCGGCGAACGAATTGTACAGGCTGCTCTCGACAAGGTTGCCCAGAATCGAACCACGATCACGATTGCCCATCGACTCTCCACTATCAAGAAGGCGGACCGTATTATTGTCCTGAAGAAGGGTAGAGTCGTTGAGTCTGGAACACATGATAGCCTCATCGCGATCGATGGCGGCGTTTATTCTGGCCTTGTTCACGCTCAATCGCTGTCGCTCGGGGAGCCTACTGATGCAGCCGAGGAGGTTGTGGACTACGCCGACAAGGCTGAATTGGCTCGTATCAAGAGCATCGCTGCCTCCGAGGGCGAAGCCGACAAAGAAACACCAATCGAGAAGACTCGAGGCATCTTGAAGAGTTTTGGGCGGTTGTTCTTCGAGTCCAAGAACGTGTGGCCATTCTTTGCCATCACAGTCGTGACTGCGGCTTGTGTAGGAGCTGCAATCCCTCTTCAGGCGTGGCTTTTTGGACAGATTATTTCCCTCACTGGAGAACTCGACATCCTTCTCAAGATGAGAGACGAAAGCGGAGGTACGAACGCGCAACTCAACTCGCAAGTGGAAGACAAACACTCGGATGGTAACTTCTGGTCCTTGATGTGGGTTGTCCTGGCTTGCGGAGTTGGAGTCGCGTACTTTGCCGTCATTTACGTTGCGACTCACATGTCCACCATCATCCGCGCCAAGTACCAGCAGCAATATTTTGACGCTGTCATGTTCCAGAAGACGTCCTTCTTTGACCACGAAGATCATTCGCACGGCACCATGACATCTCGGATCGGGCAGGATCCGAAGCAGCTCGAAGAACTCATGGGGATGAACATGGCAAGCGTCTACGTTGCTATCTTCAACGTGGTAGGATCCATCGCCATCGCATTTGCTTTTTCGTGGAGGCTGGCCCTTGTGGCCTGCTGCGTCGTGTTGCCCGTCATGCTCGCATCGACGTACTGGCGTTTCAAGTACGAGATGCACTTTGAGAAGATGAACAATGAGGTCTTTGCTGAGAGCTCCAAGTTTGCGTCAGAATCTATCGGTGCTTTCAGGACCGTTACTGCCTTGACATTAGAGGACTCTATCTGTACGAGATACGAGACTCTGCTCAATGAGCACGTCGTATCAGCCTACAAGAAGGCCCGATGGGTGAGTATCATCTTTGGATTCTCTGACAGTGCAAGTATGGCTTGCCAGGCTCTCATCTTCTACTACGGTGGCCGGCTTGTGGCGGAGGGCACTGTCGATGCTCTCGCATTCTTTGTTTGCTTCAGTAAGCTTTCGATCACAAGCATTTTCATCAATACTCTACTGACTCTTATCTTAGTGGCTGTGATGCAGGGGGCAGAGGCATCGGGTCAAGCTCTCGGTTTCGGACCCAATGCTGCACAGGTGACGGCGGCAGCGAATCGCATCCTCAACATGAGAGAAACGAGGCTTCAGGACAAGGTGTCGACCTCACAAGAGATCCCAGATACGGAGGGTGGAATGTCGATTGAGCTGGACAACATCTACTTCAAGTATCCATCCCGAAGCACGCCCGTGTTCAAGGGTCTCAATCTCACCATCCAGAAAGGCCAGTTTGCTGCCCTAGTGGGCGCATCTGGATGTGGAAAGACGTCGATCGTGTCTCTTCTTGAGAGGTATGACTCCTGACCATGATTGCTCATGCTGTTACTGACAACGGATGTGTAGGTTCTACGACCTGGACAAGGGCCGCATTCTTCTTAACGGCAAAGATGCTACAGACATCAATGTGTATGAGTACCGAAAGTACTTTTCCCTTGTTGCGCAAGAGGCCACTCTCTTCCAGGGTACCCTTCGCGAGAATATCTTGCTAGGAGTCGACCCTTCGTCCATCACAGACGAGCAACTCCACAAGGTCTGTCGCGATGCCTCGATTCACGACTTTATCGTTTCACTACCCGAGGGCTATAACACCAATATTGGATCCCGTGGAGTATCTCTCTCCGGAGGACAGAAGCAGCGAGTGGCCATTGCGCGTGCCCTTATCCGCGACCCCAAGGTTCTCCTGCTCGACGAGGCCACCAGTTCCCTCGACTCGGAGAGTGAGAAGCTTGTGCAGGCGGCGTTCGAAAGGGCTAGTGAGGGTCGCACGATGCTCGTGGTGGCTCACAGATTGGCCACGGTGCAAAATGCGGATGTCATCTTTGTGTTGGGCGATGGACAGCTACTGGAGCAAGGAAGCCATGCTGAGTTGTTGAAGCAACGGGGGGTTTATTGGCACATGGTGAGTGATTCTTTCTTGTCGAGATTTCTGGTGACCGTGGTGCTAACTTTGGTCAACAGTGTCAAAGCCAGGCTCTGGATAGATAAGGCGAGGTGGGAGTTGATGTGTAAAGAGCAGCTTGATTCTCTAAGATCTAGTGCGAAGGAAGAAGGGTATTTATACCCTGACTTCCCTAGGCAGCAACTATGCCTAACGCAGTCACATAGGTTTGCTCTATAGCAACCTCTATAACAAACATAAATAGCAAATACATAGGTTTGCGGGTAGAGGCATAAGGGTCTCTCCAACAGTGGGAGTTGAAAGAATTGTACGATAATCGAAGGCATCAAATCACCGCAAGTCTCGCAGAAGACGTTTCCTTGGTGACTAAAAGTTCATATACTCTGCTCTGCATCAGATCCTCAGAATGCCCCAGTGGTAAGAGAAAAACAGGGGAAAATCATTACCCAACTCCCTGCTGGCGCCTCTCTAAAAGGTTCCCCTGATATCTAATCCTCTTGTGACGAATGACGGTAAGAAACATGACCCATATCTTGCATGAAAGCCATTATGCCTTGACGTGCCACATGTCATCAATCTCTCGGAGAATATCCCCCACGTGCGTCATGACAAAGTCGTGGCTGCCGGGCAATACACGCCAGCGCACATTGTCCTCACCACCAACCAGAGGCAGCGCATCCCGACGGTAATCTTCAACGTTGATGATCTCATCGGCAACAGCCAGAAAGATGGCAGTGGTGCCAGGGGCACGCTCGGCTAGCTTCTCCCACGCCTGGTGCTGCTCAGTCAGGGGTGCAAAGCGAATGCTCGACATGAAGGCGGGGACGAAGCCATGGTGATTGACCACCTGCCAACGAACGTACTCCATCACACGCTGCTCCAGAGGCGTAACACGCTCGCCAGACGCGGGCACGACCTCGGCTTCAGCAACGGCCACGGGCGTCGGAGTGGTGATGCTCTCGATGGCCGACTTGTCGGGTTGTCTTGCCGAGGCAGCGATGGGCTGCTGGAGTCGTCGGCGTGTGGCTACAGCGAGGATACGCTCCGGAACCAGACCAGTTTGGAAGAGGAAGCGAGAGACGTGACCAAAGGAGGCGGCACGGATGAGACCCGCAGGAGCGAGAAGGACAAGATCTCGGACCAGACCAGGAAAGGCGTTGGCAAAGTGCACGGCAATGCCACCACCAAGGGAGTAACCGATGAGACGGAAGGCGCCGGTACCAGTCCAGGCCAGGGGGCTCGAAGCCAGGGCGAGGAGCATCTGGGAGACGTAGAGGCGGGCGTCATGGGGGAGGTCAGCTACACCATCTGAGAATCCACGGCCAAAGAGATCCTAATCATGTTGTCAGTCAAGGTGACTGGGGTGAGAAAAACAGGAGGACTTACAAAGAGCATCACACGGTAGCCTCGCTTGGCGAGAGCGTTGGCCAAAGGTGCAAGAGTGACACACGGGGTGCTGATGCCGTGAACAAACAAGACCTTTTCTCCATCCTCAGGGCCAAACTCATAGACTCGTATGCTCCCATACTTGAATCACGGTGTTAGCAGTGGTCATGATGAAGTGGCTCCGGTGTCCGGGGCGGATGGGGCCCACTCACCGGAGTCTCCACGTCTCGGGCTCCGGGAAACTGATCCGGCTGGTAGACAAGGCCTCTGGTCTCGTCGGCACGGCTCTTGGCGTAGACGCCCTCGCTGAGGGGATTTCGGATTCTGCTTGGGCGGGCAGGGTAGAGAAGAGCACGAGCGAGTGCGAGGAATGAGACTGTAGCCAGGACTGTGGTGGTGGCCACGAGGGCCGGGCTGGCGACGTCTTGGGAAGACATTTTTTTTTGGAGTAGGTTTTTGAGTGCAGGAAAAGAAAGAAAAGAAGAGTGAGATTTGTAAAACGTGCTGAGCTGGCAAATCGAAAGATTGAGTGTGTCTCTCAACGAGTAACACAGACGGGTTCAGTTTCCAAGCCACCTTCTCTCCCCTTTGCGTAGGGGTAAGGTAGTAAGCAAGCCCTCTCCTCCTTTCTCCTATCACACGCTGATTGTAAATGAGACAAGCCACAGATTGCAAAAGCCACTTGGATTCGTCCAACGCACGGAGGGATCGACAGGGACAAGAAGGAAAAAGAAGTAGAGAGAGAGGTTCAAAGTTTTGTTTGCTTGGGGCTTCAAGGATAACGTCACCGTTATTTTAGTGGCTTCCCGGTAAGGTCGGCAAGGAAGGATGGAACCCAACTGATGCACGCACGCTGGGAAGGTGCGATGGATGGCGGATGGTGGATGGTGGATGCACTGCAGGACGGGTGTCCCCGCTCTGAGCCGCCTGGGCCTCAGGTGCAGTTGCCCTGTCGGAGGCCAGTAACTGTCCAAACAGGGACTACCCTCACTGGTAACCCTGCCACTACATCGCCATATCCCACCCACGTGGAGCATCATGTGTTGTCTGTATAATGCGCATCCGTCCACATGGCAATCAATGACAATATCATGTCTGTCTCTTGTTAAATTCAACTGGCCTGTAAATGCAGGTATCAATTAACGCAAATCCCGGGGTATCTCGCACATGTCCCATATCCAGCCAACCAACCTTGACGTATATCGTTTACATTATCCCAACCCAACCGCCCACGCAGCGTTTCCCAGCTGCCTTATCAACACACACAGATTCTCGACAATGGCCGGAGCTGTGCTTTGCCCGTTTGAGAAGTTGGTCCTTAGCACCTCGTATGCTGCTTCCATACTTGTCTTTGGATCCTCGATCGCCGCTTCGGGTGCTCCCTCACGTCCCGCGGGTCCACGGATGATAGGCCGACCCTGCCCAAGTGTGATGAATCTCTGCATCACTATCGACTCTGGGTCATCGAGGTAGACCTTTTCCTGCGGCAAGGTCGCGTTTTGCCGACGACTAGCCCGGGTCACCACACCATAAGTCCACAGGGCGAGCGCCGCGTGATGGACCCCAACTGCATAAAAGTTCTTCAACTGACCAGCTGGGAATAGCTTCGCAAATCGCAAAACCTGGCCGGCGCAACTAACAGCTGCGCGAGAGTCGGTCGTCTCAGTCCACTTCTGTAGCACCGGATAGACTCGCCGTGCCTGATCCTCTCCCTCCTTGCCCGCGAAGAGCTGAAGGTCATCCAGGGACACGTGCAGGTTCATCATGAGCTGGTTGAGCACCAGCCGCTCCTGCGCAGAAATCTCAGGCCAGGTGGCTGTCGTTGACTGAAAGGCCTGAAGATCCTGGACCAGTTGCTGGTGCCGCGAGCCAAGCAGTGAGCCGTAGCCTCCGATGGCGCTTGTCGTGTAGGTTCGCGTTCTACAGGCCGAGCTCAGACACCTGAACTCGAGAATGAGGGCCCAGAATGCGTGCAGATAGATTGCTGTCGAGAATTGCACGTCTACACGGTGGCGGTTCGCGGGAAGAAGGTTCACGTCATAAAGAAGATCGCCTACTGATGGCGCCCTCTTAGTCTGTCCCGCCTCCCGCTCGAGGTAGATGCCTTTCCATTCCTTTGCCGTTTTGGCATACCAGAGCTCCTTGGCAGCTGGTAGAGGAAGAGTCAGCTCAGAGTAAGACATGACGGGGTTCGTCAAAGCTGTCATGGACTGCTGGCTATCTCGGAGGAAGCAGTGAAAGACAAGTCTATTAGGACAAGTTAGCACCTCGCCATGAGACTCAAGATTTGTATTTACCGTTTCCACTTCTCCAACTCGATCCAGCTCCTCCATTTCTGCTCTAGAATGGCACCTTCATCTGCAGGGTCGACCGAAATCAAAGGGTAGGAGGATCTCTGAAGCTTGCCACGATATCGCATCATCTGTAATACGTTAGTATATTGCTCAATTAAAGCGCTCGGCACTGGGTCATACTGTGACGGGAATGTTGACGTGGCATTCGGCAATCTCCATCTTTCGTCGATTCCCACTCCAGAGACCGGCGTCTTGGCCAAGAATGATAGCTTGAATTAGACCTATATTCAAGATTGTCTCATTGTTCATCTCAAACTACAATAGTTAGCTGCTGACCAAAACGAAAACCAGATTCAAGAGCCGTAATTCTGGCACATACTCGGTTGGGCATAACGAGGCCTGAAAAATATTGTTAGCATATCTTTGCAGTGCCATGAAGAGCATTCTACTTACGGACGGACTCTTGCAGAGCGTATCCAAACTTGCGTAGTGTCGATATTGGCGCCAAGACGGCACCACCTACTGCTGCACCAGCTATCCATTCCGGCTCTTGTTCGTTGAGCTTGAAGGTCGGAAAGTGTATCCATTCCGATACTTGATTAGTGTGGGAGTTGAGAAAGATGTGAACCATTGTATCCATGACATCTGCCGAGGGAAACGACGAGGATATGCGATTCGACATGGAGTCTGGTCGACACGCACTCAAGACCACAGCCAAGACTCGGTCGCGGCATGACAGATCCAGTTTCTGGTCAACCACTTTTTGCAGTCCCTTCTTAGCCGCTTGGGCTTGTATGCTGGCAACATCTCTGTTTGGGACGGGCAGATTTGCCTGCTCGCCATAGGCGTTGTCGTTGGCCACGGGGTCCCATCTCCAGGGAGACACGTCCCAAGCATTGACCAAACTCTGACGCATCTGTGCAATATCGACAGAGTTGTCCGTTTCAGGGGTCTCCTGTTGGACCGGCAAGGTGTCAGTCATGCCATCGGTATTCCAGTGATCCAGCAGGCCAAAATCCATGTCCGAGAGCTCCAGGTTGCTGTCATCACAAAAGTTCAAGACAGCAAGTCCTTGGTTCTCGGCCATTTTGGTAGAATGGTCAAACTGTTGTTGTTCGTACAACACATCTCGGAGGAAGTCGCAGAAGGGAAGGCGGTCCACGGGCATTGGCCCCCCTGCGCCAGGCTCGAGTTTGGGTGTCAAGCCATCTGAAATGGCGTGATCTCCAACTGTATCTGGGGTAGATAGTTGGCCAGAGTCCGAATTCAATGGAGGAGTCTGTTCAAACGGGGAGGTTCTTTCAACAGAGTGGTGGACCTGCAGCGTTGAATCGGGCATACCAGCAATTGGATAATCGGCGGAGAAGCTCGTATTTTCGCGTTCATCGCCGTAGGGCGTGCTTGAGTGCCCGTTGGCAGATAAATGTATCAAATGCATGGCGGCGGCTGAGCCAGCCTCTGCAGAGACGCACGTCAACCCCCGACGAACGCATCTCTGGCAGGGCTTCTCTTCCTGACATTTGACACGGGCAGAAGCGCATGCTTTGCAAGCGTGTGTTACACGACCAGCGCTCGGAGAGGTTGTGGCACGGCGCCTCTTCTTGGACGAGTCATTCTCGTGATTTGTCTCGTGCCGCTTCTTCAGATCCGCGCGCGCAAACGTCTTGCCGCAGACACCGCAGGCGAAGCGACGGCCAAGAGTGTGCGTCTGGACATGACGCTGAAGATGCTCAGGTCTTGAGTAACGGCGCCCACAGTCCCCGCAGGCGTAGAGAGATGGCCCTGTGTGCGCTCTGTTCACAGCAGAACCAGGCGCGGCTGAAGCCGGATTAGGAGGCGTGGTGGTGGGCGCAGACGAGGGTTGTCCGATGGCAGCGGGGTTGAAGGGCCTCACACTGAGCCCAACAGAAGGCGGAGGCGGATACGACTGAGACGAAGCAAAATGAACCGGAGCCGAAGCAGTGTTCGGAGCGGAAGTGGGATCGGGGTTCGGACGCGGAGGATCGAGAATGTGGGAGAGGCTCGAGAGCGAGGGACCAGACATGGCGCAGTCAGTCAGTCCAGGGCGGACTTGAGTGTCCAATTGACGGGGGTTTATAGCGTCGGCATCGGCTGGCAGCGGTAAATCTATACGGGGAGGGGCCTTTAATAGGGCCAAGCGGGATAGAGAGATGAATACGAGGCGAAGCAGTAAGGTTAAGTGTAAGTGTAGGAGAACGAGTGGTAGGGCTGGGATGAAGTGGGAACGGCAGTCCGGATAAGGGAAGCCTGCCTCTTGGGGGTTTGATGGATATAAGCAAGGGTAGGAACGACCGAGGCAGAGAATGCGACAAGAGCGACAATAGAAATGAGAGAAAGAGCGAGAGGGAGAGGGAGAGAAAAAAAAATACCGAAGGAAACAACCCCAAGGTCAGACGACGGCAATACCCGACATAACCATCGACTAAAAATCAAATCACTGCATGCATGATTTCGCCTCACAGACAAGACCGCGATCAATTGCGTGGTACCGGGGAGCAGGAGTTGGGGACCTGACATTAGCAGCCCGCTCAAGACGCCGCGATTTGGGGCGACGTCCGATGTCGTCGTAAGCTCCGTCCACAAGTGGCCGGGGTTTGTGATGGGGATAGCGTCAAAGAATTGACCCTGCGCTGCGCTTAGGTGCGCTGTGTGCTTGCGTGCGTACGTACCTGGCCCCATCCATCACCCATGCTATTGACTCGACTTGACCCCGTTGATGAAACCATTACGCGCCCTTGAGTTGCGTACGTTAAGAGCAAGCCCTTCCTTCTCCCTGAAGTCTTTATCAGATTCAGTATCATCTGAAACAGGACCGGCGCGTCTACTCAGGCCGTTCAGCCGTGCCAAGACCTCAACTTGATGCTCGACAGGATAGGGTGCTTCTCTTGTCTGAGTACAGCTTTTCTCTGCCCCGGTCACGGCGTTGGCGAGTTCAAGCCAACGCCATCCCACCTCACTAACACCAATCAAGATCCGCCATCAAGGAGCCAAATACCTTATTGTCCGCGTCACCTGGGGGGCCAATTTCAGACATGGTCATGTCCATTCTGCGCCCTATCACGATGCTATTCTGAACGTCGGCGCAGTAGTCGTCTTTGCACAGCATTGTTCTCAGGGGACGGAAGTTGAGATACTCAGCCCAGGGGCGATTATCGTCACCATAAACATCACCATCACAACCTGCGCCTCGCAGTTCGTGCTATTCTCGATCAGAGACGCCACCCGCTAACCTCCGCAAGCACCCCCTGTCCTTTTCTGTGCCGGGGCCTTAGTGCTATTCACACCTTCTTGGCAACGCGGCTTCAAGATACTCAGTTCCTGGGCCGCGGTAAAACTCTTCTGCTTCTATTCCCATCAAAATGCGTATTTGACCTCATCATAGCCATCATGCCCCATTAAACCTTATCGATGTAACGACCAATGTCTCCAATGGCTTTGACTCGTGACGACTGGGCCGTCGCTCCAGACGCCTCCGTCGACACCGGTGCCCGAGCAACTCGCCGACACGCGCTGGGAAACGTCCGCATACGCAACCAAGAGACGAATGCTCTGATTTTCATCCCCACACCGTCTTCGGACCCGAATGATCCCCTGAACTGGTACTGACATCCTGCTCTCTTCTCTGTCTGTGTCAGAGGCATCCGATACTCATCAGTCCTCCCTTAGGTCGCCATGGCGGAAGTACTACACCGCTGGCCTGGTCTGTTTGGCCATGACCATGTCCAACTTCCTCGCCGCTGGACCTTCCATCGCCATCGTCCAGACTGCACTGAGCTTCTTTCCTGACGCGGCCGTCAACGACACTCTAACAAGCTCCGCTATCCCCAAGATCGCCTACTTCTTCACCACCACTAGTCTCCTACTCGGTGTCGGGTGCTTCTTCTGGGTCCCCCTCGCGAACAAGTATGGCCGAAGACCCGTCTATCTTGCCAGCTACACCGTCTACTTTGCCGTGGCCGTAGCCCTGATCTTTGTCAAGTCTTATGGGGGCTTTCTTACTTGCCGGATACTCATGGGCTTTGGAGCTGGTGCCGCAGAAACGATTGCCCCTATTACGATTGCCGACATTTTCTTCCTGCACGAGCGGGGAGCAATCATGTCCTTCTACAACTGCGCCCTATCTGTAGGTGTCGCCTTGGGCATGGTCGTTTCAGGCCTCATCACTATCGATTACGAGTGGAGAACCATCTATCAAGTTGGTTGTGCTCTCGTGGGTTTCGTCCTGGTACTCATCTTTTTCTCCTTCCCAGAGACGGCCTATAACCGCCAGTACGATCAAAGCGACGGGTCTATTACTGGCGTCGAAATCGAAAAGAAAGACTACTTGGGCTCGGATCCAGCAAACGCAGGCAGGCCTGCAAGCGTATCCAAACAGAAGCAGCGAGGAGAGACAATACTTGGCATATCCCACAGATCATTGACCAATGAGTCTTTGCTAAGGATGTTCCTTCGACCCTTTGGCCTTATTATACTTCCTCCTGTGCTTTGGGCCGCGCTCATCCAGGCAGTCACCATTGGTTTTCTAGTTGCTGTCTCGTCCAACGTGGACACGGCGTTTGAAGGAACCTACGGTTTTGACTCATATCAGGTCGGCCTCTGCTTCATAGCCGCCATCATCGGATCCCTGGTTGGCATCCCTGCTGGCGGTCATCTTGGAGACGTAGTGGCAGATTATTTTACCAAAAGGAATGGAGGCATTCGGGAGCCCGAGATGCGACTCCCTGTCATGGCGTTGTCCTTGGTTACCACACCGCTTTCTTTGACCCTGTACGGAGTTGGGATCCATCATCAACTTCACTGGATTGTCCCCACCATTGGCCTGGGCCTTCTCAACTTTTCCGTCACGCAAGCGTCGTGCGTATGCTTGGTCTATGTGATTGACGCCTACAGACCGGTTGCCGGCGAGGTCAGCCTAGCTGTGCTGGGCTTCAAAGGTGAGTTCCCCCTTTCCCCAACTTGGGGTTTGTTCGAAGCTAACCAGCCATAGCTCTATTCGGTTTCCTTCTGTCGTTCTACACCAACCCCTGGATAAACAACTCCGGATACCAAATCGCATACGGCACGATGGCTGGTATCGCAGCCGCCATCCTCATCCTGTGGATACCTTTGTATATATGGGGCAAAAGAATACGGTATGCAACTTGGGACTGGCCACTTGTGTCCTATATCCATTGGTATGGCGACCGTGAAGTGGGAGAATAGGTCGTTGAAGCTATGCGAAAAGATAAATGCAAGGGGTAATCACGTCTGGCATGGTATACCTCGTATAGTTCTAGTTACATAGGTATTTAAAGTGACATGCCAGCATCAAGCACAGCATTCACTCCTGTGACCGACTTAGACTTGATAAAGCAGAGAACCTGCTGAGCAACATCGTCAACCGTCACCAGACGTCCAAGTTTCGTCCGATCTGTCATCTCCTTTATCTTCTCTTCAGGGAAGCTAAGGCCCCAATCCTAGGCCAATTAGCACAGAATCAATTGTCAGCGGGCGATTGTGTCTTACCGTTAGCATGAGTCCAGGGGATACGCTATTCACCCGGATCCTGGGGCTCGCGGCCAGTGCCAGACCCTTGGCGAGGTGAATCTGCGCTGCCTTGGTGACGGCGTATGCCTGGCCACGTCAGCCTCATCTCTTTACGCTATTGGGTCGATTTTGACTCACCAGAGAGCTTCCGCTCACTTTCACGCCAGCGAAAGATGCCGTGGTAATGAAGACGCCTTCTGTCTTGTCCAAATGCTCCTTTGCAGCATGCATGAGGAACAGATGAGATTTGACGTTCATGTTGAAACATCGGTCCCAGTCTTCCTCATTGACATTGTCATCCAAGTCAGTTATATCCCGGATCTTGGTCCAGCCTCCATTGGAGAAAACGGCATCCAATCGTCCCATGGCGCCCACAACCTCGTCCACAAGTTTAATCAGGTCTGCCCGTACTCCTAGGTCGGCACGGAAAGACAAGAAGTTGTTCTCATCATGAGGTAGCGGCGAGAGGGCGTGTAGCTCCTGCACGAAGCTGGCGGCACGGGTTGAATCAGAGTGATAGTTGACAGCGACACGCATGCCATCTTTAGCTAGGAGGCGAGCTGTAGCAGCGCCGAGACCGGCGGTGCCGCCAGTAATAAGCGCGACAGGCGAGGGGGACGACGACATGATTTACGGATTCTGGTGATATAGTATATATTACTGAGATTCAGTTTCTGGTTGTGAAGTTGGTTACTTTCCCCTCCTCTTATCTTGGCAGAGGCTGTGATGTCCTCCGCTGCCCGGGATCCGGCGGGGGCGGGCCCGGAGCGGGGAAGCGGGGATCTGGTTGGAGATCGGAGCCGGGACCGGAGTACATTCGGCCGATAAGCACCAAGGTCATCCCGACCTCGGACAATTAACTAGGTAACAAAACATTCTTTTATCTTTTCAACCTCAATCATTGCGTCGCATATTCTTTCGGATGTGAGGCCCCATCCACCAGTATGACCGTGTATAGTGTTTCCAATAGATTCCTTTCGTACCATGGCGTCTGTTGCAGTCTGCATTGTTGAATGGCTTACCGCAACCCAATAAGAAAGGCTTCCCACGCGAACTGCATGGAAATGTTCGCTGTAGCGAGGATGACATGTGGCCTCACAATTCAAGATGCACCAACTACCTCGGGAGGCGTGATAGTCATCTGTGCAGCCAATATTCTCGGGTCCCGGTGCTCCGAAGTACAAGGGAATGTGGGAGCAGCGCATCAGGCATGTGTGCCAATTAGAAGATGCGCTGAATGTTTTCGTTGCGATTATTCATATTCATAAATAAATGCCTCCCCCTCTCCACGTTTGTCTCCCTGGGTTGGTTGCGTATCAAGGTTCTGGTGTCCAGTTCCCTTTGCATTTGCAAGTTGAAACACGCACATACATTATTCAAATCATGACGACGCAGAATGGGGATCTGGATCACTTGCCCTCCATCGAAGACAACTCAGCTTCAACTTCTCACTATGGTCCACTCCGAGTTGCCATAATAGGCGCAGGCATCGGTGGTCTCAGTGCTGCTATTGGGCTCAGACAACAAGGCCACCAAGTTGACGTAAGTAATCCTTTCTCAATAAATTGCCGAACTTGTATAAAACCGTATCAGCTTTACGAAAAGTCAAGCTTCGCCGTCGAGTTAGGTGCCGGTATCCATCTCACCCCCAACGGGAATGGTATCCTACGACGATGGGGCATCTTTGCCGAGGAGTTTGGCGGCACTCTGCTAAACCGCCGATTCGAGTTCCACTACAATGGCGAACCTATCTTGGACGAGGACCTGACGAAGCCTAATCTTCGCTGGGAGCATCCTTGGCATCTCGTTCACAGGGTTGCGCTACATGAACGATTGAAGAGAGCCGCGACTGGAGAAGATGAGATAGGTTTGCCAGCTATCCTACACACATCATCAGAAGTTGTCCATGTTTCACCAGAGAGGGGTAAAATAATCCTCGTAGATGGCACTATCATCGAGGCGGATGTCATAATAGGGGCGGATGGTGTTCATGTAAGTGTGTTCCCATAGGCACCTAGTTTAACTCCATTTAACGTCAGCCTCTAGTCCAGAAGTCGACGATTCATTTGTGACTCGATGCCCGGAGTTATCAGCTCAGGAAAGGCAGCGTTCCGATTCTTAATCCCGAGATCGTTGGCAGACGAGGACCCAGAAACACGGCCTCTTGTCGAGGCTCGAGACGCTGCGTACATGTGGTTTGCTAATGATAGACGCGTTGTTCTGTATCCTTGCAATTCGAACAAGACTCTCAACTTTGTCTGTATACACCCCGAAGAAGAGTCCCACTCAATGGCGGGTGATGGTCTGCAATTCTTTTGACGCATGTCACAAACGGCCGTTAACGTTGGCGCAGGTTGGGACAAGACTGGCTCACTCGAGCAGGTCCTCGAGGTATTCAAGAGTTTCGATCCAGTTCTTCTTCGACTATTTCGAAAGATGGATCCCAAGGAACTCAAAGTGTGGCAATTGCTGGACATGGAGAAGCCCCCGACCTGGGTGAATGAAAGGATGGCTTTGCTTGGAGATGCTGCTCATCCGTTCACGCCTTGTACGCAACCTGTACATTTTTCGCTCTTGTGTTGCTGACCAGTGTCAAGATCAGGGACAAGGGGCGAACCAAGCCATAGAAGACGCAGCTACTATTACGGTCGTGTTGCCTCGCGGCACCTGTCCGGCAGACGTGCCAGAACGCCTAAAGATGTACGAGAAGATCCGCTACGACAGAGCTCATAAAATACAGAGTGATTCCCGGAGGGCGGGCTCGGACTGGAAGGATGGAAGGCCTCAAGTCGACCGTAAGTATGGCATTCTAGAAGCGCGAGGTTAGGCTAGCTTACAGAAGTCGAGCCGCGATATTTGGAAGCTTCAACTTTGCCCACGACGCCTACCACCATGCGAGTATCATTTTCAAGCGGCATCTTTGGAAGAGCACACCAGGTGCCAAGTGGAGAATGCCTGTTTCTTTCGGGCCGTCTTATGAGTTACGCAGCCACGACTCAAGCGACTCTTTGCAGACTTTCACAACCGCTGCCGTGAGGTTCAAGGCGTCACGGACGTATCTCGAGTCTCTACTCCCGACCGAGTCGTACACTTTTGTCGCCGATGACACACTCTGCGAAGTAAGCTTTGCTATCACCACCCGGAAGAATGTGCCGTGTCTAGGGGGCGCAGACTACAGTCGGTTTGGCCTCTACCTCCATGGCGTTCAGTACAAGAGGGACGACGGCTCAACCGTTCAAGGCAGCTTTGTGCCTGTGCTTCTAGAGGATTCAGCGGACATGGTCATTTCGACAAGAGAGGAGCAAGGGATGCCTGCCCTCTTCTGCGATATAGAGGTTATCTCAACCCCACAGACCTATCAGATGAAGGCATCGTGGAGGGGTGTGGATTTCATAGATTTGGCCTTGGAGGATCTCGAGGAGGATCCTCGAGCTGCAGAAAGCACGGGAGATGATGTATCGGGCCGCGTTCTCCTATCACGTCACTTGAGGCCGAAAATTGGGGTCCCTGAGGAGCCAGGTGAGACATGCGACATCAAGGGGGGCATTGCGGATGCATCTTGCAGGGTGACCCAGAGATGGCGGATCAAGAAAGGGTCCGTTAAACTGCAGAGTCGCAGCTGGGAATCACTTCCGACGCTTCACCATGTTGCAGCAGCCTTAGCGGATATGGCCATGTATGGGATTACATCTGCCGAGGTGGTGAGTGGAACTGGTATTCCTAACAAGAGGAGGTATAGCAGAATCTAGAAGACATCGTATGCGTTGGGGTTCATATGGGCTGCTTGAGAGACCCATCTGCTAGGTCCATCGGGAAGATTAGATGCAAGGACGGAACATATGCAGAGTGAGCTGGCCATATGAGGCCGTGTTACTGGACACGATATATGCCGTGATCTGAATCCAGGTGTCAAGTCCCACTGCCAAGGCAAAGTTGAGGCCGGGTTTCACAGCAACTGAGATGGACAACCTATCGGAGGAGTGTCTGGTGAAGACGGGATGTAGATGGCCGCGTTGTGTCGATCAAAGAGGCGAGTGTCAAGTAGGTCTCATATGAACTCCATCTCCCGCATCAAAACGAGTTAGTTCAGTTCAACTCGACTCTTGCACTCCTCAACTTGTTCGTCCTCATAGTTGACACACAAGTTAGCATTCACCATGGCTGGCAACCAACTTCCCATCCCGAATCGATTCATTACTGGCCACAATCAAGCTGGCAAGGCGATATTCGAAACCTGCCTCCCCGATGCGCTCGTCAGGACGAATGTCGGGACTCATGACTTCTTCCTTGGTTATGTCACCAACGAGCACCCTGTCGATCTACAAGACAACAAGGACATTGACGTCTACAAGCAATACTTAACCCAACCTCCAGGACTCGCCGTCTCAGGAGGCAGCGTCCTTCGATTCGTCGACTTCCCACCGGGCAAGTCGGCCATGCATCGGACGGTGAGCATCGACTACGGCATTGTGCTCGAGGGCGAGATGGAGCTACTACTAGACTCAGGCGAGACCCGTCATATGAGACGCGGAGATGTGGCGATCCAGCGCGGGACGATTCACCAATGGATAAACCCTAGTGGCAACGAGTGGGCACGGATGGTGTTTATGCTCCAGGAGAGCAAGCCGTTGGTTGTGAATGGAGTCACGCTGGAGGAGGAGCTCGGCGAGATGGAAGGCAAGCTACCGCCTTCAAAGAAATAGTGTCCGGCAAGAAGGATCGAAAGGAGAAGGAGGCTGTAGAGGCCGGGAAATTGGCGTAATAAAAGTGTCAATGACAGACAGACGAGGTCTGAATGGTGCTAGAAATGGAAGGGTCCAGATCAAAGTCCCTGTCAACTTGATAAGCCGGACTTGGCGCGTGCCCTGTGGGTGCCTATTTCCATGGGATGGGTCCCGTCCGTCCTAACAAACGTGGCTGATCCGCCGGCCGCGTCTAGTTAGGCGCTCGCTCCCCCACTGGCCCTGTACTAACGCCCCCAGTTCGCCCGAGCTTGGTGATGCAAGGATCGCGTGGGCGAACTGGAGTGAACTGATCTCTACTGGACAAGCCCGGCCAGGACCGCCTCTCCTCCTCCTCCACTGAACTTGCCCCTCAGGCAGGGACTGACTCCATGGATGCCAGGACTTGACTCGACGATTCTCTTCTTCTCGTCACCGACTGCGGCTTGACTCTGCATCTCATTTTGGTCGCCTTTTTCTTCTCCTTTCCTCCTCTGGCCGCGTTTCATCCAGGTACGTCGGCGCGAATCCCCAAGGTTTCAGCCCCAATCTTGATACCTATGTCCGCCTGTTATTATGCATCATGCGAGATCGGGCTCAGCCAACCATTTGCTAATCGCACATTCAGTCTCAGGTCAAATCATCCTCTCCTGCATCTCGCAACCTTGTTCAGCCTCAAACTTTTTCTTCCATCGCAAGCTTTCTCCTATAACAAAACGATTCCCTCAAGCCCCCGGCCAACGAGTCAAGACTCCCGCCTCGATCGATACATACACATGTCGCGCTAGAGAGGAGGGCTTCACGTCCCGCCTCAGCTTTCTCTCTATCCTACATCGCTGAGCCCGGCACGGATGTACTACCATGGCTAGCCCCTCGGGTGCTTCTGGCCATTTGGCGACTGAAACTGCCAGAGACTACGACGCCCTCGTGTCGAGCGACTCTGAGAGCTCAGGTTCAGGCTCAGGCTCCTCCTTCGATAGTGATAACATTGGATCAGACCAGTCCGAGGGTTGTCCGTGGCGAACTTCTCGATTCTACGACCAAGAATGTTCACGCTACTTCGACTGCCCATCTCACACCGTCGAACGAAGCCTATCAGATAACGGATCAGTGCATCAGGAGTCTATTAACGACCCCGACGACTCCGAACCACTGCACCCCGCTGACGATCGCGACCAACAAAACGAACACGCCTCTCGTTTCTCAGACGCGGAACTTGCGCAAATCGGCATTTTCAGAGGCCCTGCGCAACCCGTACCCACGACTGAGGCTTACGCGGACATGGAGGCCACTTCTCCGGAAAGGGACGCTGGCGCAAGCGCAGGAGGCGACCCAGATTCGACAACTCCTGACGATCAAGGGGCTGCTTTGACGACAACGCAGAGGCCGACATCCGTGGAAGAGCCTGGGAGCAGTTCTCGAGACAGAGTGCCCGCGCAACCTGCAACCCTAGTTATTCCCCAGGACGATGCCGAGGACCAACCCAGTCCAACACACCGACCATCCGGCTCCGCACGCAATTCCGAGTATCGACGTACCTGGGCAGGCCCATCCCGCGAGAGAATGGATGCTCCTCTGCCCTCTGTCAGATCATTAGAAGATGCTCTACCGCCACTCCCTCGATCCTCTCGGCCATCGATATCTTCAGAACCTCCCCGACCCAGATGGCAGCCCGATAACGAAGTCACGTACTGCCCGATATGTCGCACCCAGTTCAGCTTTTTTGTACGCAAACACCATTGCAGGTAGGCTCACATGTCCCGGGATGTCTTAGGGATCTGAAACTCACGATTTTAGAAAATGTGGAAGAGTTGTCTGCAACTCGTGTTCCCCGCACAGAATCATCATTCCATACCAGTACATCGTCAGGCCACCTGGCTCAGACACGACCATGCACCAAGCGCTACTAATCGATGGTCTCGGGGCTGGATACTTTGATGTCAACGACATGTCAGGGGGTGAGCGGGTGAGGCTTTGCAATCCATGCGTTCCAGACCCCAATACTGCACCTCCGCAGAGTCCGAGCCCCCAAGCAACCCTGTCGCCTCGATCTGCTCACCAGAGATCGCGGAGCAGTATCGGCAGCGCCTATGGCACATTGCCGCCGTCCAATAGGCACGGTGCAGTCTTTGCTCCAGGCGCCAGTGGTGATCCTTATCGATACCTCTCCCCCAGGATGAGAAGCGTCACCATGGTTTGTGGCCCTTGTTTGTGTCTCCGAGTCCACACTTGCTAACAACTTTAGGTCCCTCCTTCATCTGGCTCATCATCTCCTGGTCCGTCCTATCGACAACGTAGTGGAACACACCAAACCCCTGTTGAACGTCTATTGTCTGGCGTTCAGTCCTCGTCACCTTCTTCATATCCAAATCGATATAGCTCACTTGGAGAGTCATCCTCGAGACAGAGGGCACTGCCACCAACACCTCAGATTGCAGAAGAGGACGAGTGTCCTATCTGCCATCGCGAGCTGCCCTCACAGAGTCTCCCCAACTTTGAAGCCCTTCGAGAATCACACATTACGTCGTGTATCCAAAACCATAGCACATATGGCACACCCCGTGGGGAAGGCGGAGCGCCGCCTGCTCCACGACGGACTGGCATGTACACTTACCTGGCAACAGAGAAGGACTGTATCGACGACGCCGAGTGTACCATCTGCCTGGAAGAGTTTACGGTTGGAGTTCCCATGGCGCGATTAGAATGTTTATGTCGATTTCACCGGGCGTGCATCTCGTCATGGTTCGTCAAGCACCCAGGGCGTTGTCCAGTACACCAGCATGATGGGTTTGGTTATTAAGCAAGCCTTTGTTCGCTTGGTCAAGAGTCACGGTTCACGGTTGAAGATGAGGGGGGAGTTGATTGCATATCAGACGGCGTCAAGGTTGATATTTTTGTCTGGCGGTCAGCGTGTTATTTTTACTACTACTATCCATTACTAGACACGAGCAAGCATCTCTAGGCACTCGGCACTTTCTTTTATCCTGGGTTTGGATACCTTGTTTCCAAGAATAGCGTTCGAATGGGGTTTCTATACGATGATGGGTGGGTGGCGGATTCAAATCTATATCCACGGTGTAGCAGCAGTAGTCGAATGTTGAACGACTCCTCTCTTGCTTTTCCCATGATAAATTTCCCTGTTTGAATGCCGTGCGTAGTTGCATTCCGGTGCAATAACGGAGAGCCCCCTTGTCTATAATACATCCCCTGGTCTCTGTCATGGCCCCGGTCCCACGGTACGAGGCTTGCGACAGGGCGTTTGTCAAGACGTCATTCGATCGGCACTGCAAGTCAGACTTGGGTAGTACGAGGTTGCATGAGTTTATGGTGGCTTCCCAATGTTGCTGTATTTGGTGTTGACTCTCATAGCCTGATGGTTTGATCATGGCAAGGATGAGAATACAGTCCAGACGTTGATCCCGAGATGACAACACTTCATTTACAAGGACATATTTGGTAGACCTTCTGCCTTTGCTACTATTATTTTCCATTAACAGTTAAGAAAGGCCAAAAAGGTTTACAACAGAGTAGCAATTAACCACATTCTACGTATGATACTATCTGGGCCATGACCATCCATAAAATAGGCAAGCCAATATGCCAAACATCCCGCGACTCCCATTATTTCCCGTCTTCTTCCAACAAACGGGGGACTCAAGAACGCCATGTACCAAGTAAACAACTCATGCCAGCATTCAAAACGGCTTCTCGGCATAGGTAGTCTCCTGGGCTGCCGGCAGCAGCATGGCCTTCCTCCGAGCTTTCTTCGCCATCATCATCTCATGACAAGTCATGCAAGCTCTGCCCCGGGTGCTTCTGGCATACTTGAGATCTCTGATTTGCTGCTTGCAGGCAAAACATACAAAGCATGAGGGGCAGACAGCAGTGCCAGGCCCAAGGACAAAGACGAGATCTTCGATCTTGCTGCCACAATCTACGCAATGCTGCGAACACTCATTGCAGGTAATAGTCCCATCTTCCTGGAGCATGAGTTTGCCATCTAGTTCCATGATGCAGCCGCACATACTGCATCGGAAGCAGTTTCTATGCCAATTAAAGTTCCCTTGAGTCTGTTGTTAGAAACTGCTAAAACAAACAAGGGTCAACGTGAACAGAAATCTCACCCAGTCTGAATGCTTCATCCTTTTCGAGTGGCTATGTTCACAGTTTGTCAGCAATCCTGGGAAACAACACTGGTGAATTTGCTAGCAACTAACCCCTCGGCAGCCAGTGCATTGGCATAATTCGTCACCATGGTCCTTAACACCACTTCCTGACTTATAGGCTCTTATCTCGTCGCATTCGTCCAGTCTGTTCGAGTTGGAAAAGGGAGTCTGTGTCCTCTCAGAGGCTTCTTCGTCCTCCATCATCTCAGAACTGGATTCACTCATCCAATCCCTTAGTTCTTGCTCTTCTTGGGAGAGCACGTTCCAGGTCGATCTCATGTCCTTGCTCTCGGGGCAAGGCATGGTGGGTGCTTCAGAGTTCGATAGTGAGTCGAATTTGATCTGTTTGTCAAAATCCTCCGGTGGCCACTTCAAGCCCTCCTTCAGGCTCTCGGCTTGGTAGTGTTCCCCATTCGCGAGGTCCATAGTCGTGAGAGGCATGGCGATGACTGACAGGATAGAGACATCTGCCAAGCTAAAGCCTGAGAAAATAGACCAGGTATGAGATCGTTCTGCGGAGCTGATGAATGAGCAGTCGCATGAGTTGCGCTGGTTCCGTTTATAAACCCATGACTTCTCGAGAATTCTCTCAAAAGGAAGTCTCAGCACTCTGGACTGATGTCCATTTTTAAGGTCATCTTTCTGGCTGCCGCTCCCAATACTTTCTCTGATGCGTCCTCCGATACTCCCCCTGATTGTTTCGGTGTCATAGTCGTCGCTTGCCCAGATTGTCGATCGGTCATCTCCTTGCCGCTTGGTGAAGGTGCTCCGAGCATCAAATGAGTCTTGCGATTCATTCATCATCTGCCTCAGTGTTTTGTTCTCTTGCATGACGCCTTCGATCAATGCCTCGAGGCGTTGTTGAGACTGCGACGCCTCAAGCTGAGTGTCACTGTCACCTGCTATTAGTCTCGTTCGGTTTAATATTTGAGGCTAGCAAATACCTTTGTAGGATAATTAGCATCAAGGTTAGGGAGGTCTTGTGTCTTTGAACCCTAGCCATGTGTTCTTCGATGTCTTTTGCGTACTTGGGCCATACGATAAACGCTTTCACCCGCGCAATGTTTTCCAGGGTGAGGAGAAGGGTCTGAAAGTCGGAGAATGCAATCATAGCATCACTTAGGGTCACTCTCAAGTCATCAACCTGGATCATGGCCGTTCGCTCAGGATTGAGGGAGGCGAGGTTGTCCAGATATCGTTTGAGGGAGCACAGCGCCGATTGGGCATGTTTGACTTCGTTCTTGACATCGTTAACGGTCGTCGGAGAGTTTTTGACAGAAGAAATGAAATCGAGGAGGCTATAGATCTTGCCTGCGGCTATGATAAGACCTGCTACAGATGAAGCAACACTGAAAGGTTCCATTGACGCGGAAAGACGGTGGGATCCAAATTGCAAAGAAGACGTCCATTGTAAAGAGGCTCGCGGTATCAAATAAGGGGATCAGGGCTCGCATTCAGTCCAGGAGCTGTAGAAGCACCAGACGCCCAGTTTCGCTGCATCCCCCCTTGTCGAAACTGCCATACATCGTTTCATGGAGACTAAGAGGCGAGATGCAGCCAACGATTGGAACACGGTGCTTTTTGGTGGCAGAAGCTCTCCTGGTTGGATGACAGATCATGTTTGTGTGAGGTGAGTTATCACCAACGCCTTTGAAAGGAAAGCAAAGGACGGTCACGGGATGGGCGGCTCACAAGCCGCGGCGGGAAAGAACTGTCGACATATCATCTCCAGAGTCAAATTTCGTTTGGCTAGTGTTTCGATATTTGGTGAAAAGTCGACTATGAGGTCGAATCAAGCCATGTTGCAACTCAAGCAAAGGAAGTTCACCTAAACTCTTTGTTGTGCATTTGCCTCTAATGTTAGAGCAGGGTTCGACAGGATCCTTTCAGGTCAAGCAATCGTCATGATGGGCACACGTCGTCTCTTTTAGCTCTCTCGAGCCGACTCTGTGCCACTTAACAAATTGGGCAATGGTCCGACAACTTGGAAATGAAGATCCTTATCTGGCCTGGGAGGAGGCGCTAAACTTGGTGGACAGGGTTGCAACATTATAGCGATTGGACCAAGACACACAAAAACAAGGCAAAAGCAAACAAGATCAGGAAACACTGCGATATTTTTTGTCGATTATCAGCCGGTGGACGGATATGAAGTCCGTTTTCTCCATGGCTGTATGCCCGTGCAGGGGTCTCAGGAGGGGATTCAAAGAAAGAAGGTTTAATAATGCTGGAAGTTCAGGTCGACGAGAGTGGCTGTGCATCTGCGGGTGGAGGAGAATGGGGATGGAGGTCGGAAATGGAGGCCGGAGGGCCGTGTGAAGCGCTGAGGCTCTTTTGCAGGGATGCACTGTATACTTCGTGAGTAGAACACTGACGAGAGCACATCACAGTGTACGACAGTCGCAACAGGCGAGATTGCAATGCAAGGGATTCACGGCATCTTGGTTCACCTTTGACACAGTTGGATTGACCGACGGTCCAACAGCAGGCGAGCCATTAAGGACAGGTCAGTGCAGCTGATAGCTCCCGAGGGCAACCCATGGATGGCATGGCAAGGCGAGCCATGGCGGGCGGCCTCATTGCAGCAGTTAGACGCCGTGCCACAGCAACGCCCCCCTAGACAAGGTGAATCAATCACGGGCAGTGACATTTGACGGCGTCACCGTGAGTCTGGAGTCGTGTCGTGTCTGGAACCGTTTCAGCTTGCACCTCTCTGCTGGAAGCCATCGCGAATGGAAGTAGACGCCAGCACAGCACGGTGCGCAGCCATGATTGCGACAGCAAAAGCAGCTGAAGAGCAAACAGGAAAGGTCCCGAAAAACAAAGGCATCAGGAACAGGGATTGATTCCCAGGGACCCAGCCGCCGGCGTGCACACTAAGACGTCTCTGCTCGCCTGGCGCCAGATCTTGGATGGGATGTCACCCTAGGGTCCACCGAACCAAGCCCATTTACCAGCAGAGAGTGGACGCTGGAGAGGCCAGTTCGAGTCTCCCCGGACCATCAATTACGTAGGTGCTGCTCAGCACCACAGGGGACAGGCCAGAGCCTTGGACAGCTGAGCGATTGGCCGGGTTGGGAGACGGGGGACAGGGGGCTTACGAAGGGTGGGAATGGGTTTCTTGGGATGGGGTGATAGGGTGACTCTGCATGTTTCTCCTCCTCCTTCTGGATATAGGGAAATAGCCCGAATTTGCTGGTGGGCTCATCCACGCAATAGCTCGGAGGCCAAGCGACGCTTGCTCCAGCTGTCTTGGGGTCCTCAGCTCCAGCTCCAGTTACCAACGCCGTCCTTCGGTCAGTAAGAAAAGAAACAACAACGACTTTTGCAGTGGGATGGAGATGGATGTTGTCTTTCTGTGACACGGATAGCTGCACGAACACGTACAGAGAGTTGCGAATGCTACAAGCTGTTCCCTTGACGCTTCTATGCAATACAATCATCATCGGCATCATCATATTCATGCTTCTCCCTCAATGACTCTGATGTTCTGCCAGGCCTCGCAATCACCACAGCAGAAAACTCAGGCGCCAGACTCAATTATTTCCCAGACGGGCAGCTTTGACCCACTCGCCCACCTGCCGTCGTGCGCGCCCTCGGCCCGCCCATCACCACCACTCCACCCACTGCATCATCACTGGTGTCATCCGCTGTCTGGGACTGATGATAGCTGGAGAACTCTCCGTTGCTCCAATTTCCCCCCCAGCCACAAACCAGCTCGGCTTGCGGGACCCGAGTGGTACACCAGCTGACGCCTGCAGTAGCCCGTCTGCCAAGGTACCTGCGCCGTACTGCGACTCTCCCAGAGACACCCCAGCTCCCTGACGATCGGGAGGGACCTGGCACGGCCGGGCAAGCTGCACGAGCTTGGAAGAAGCCAACCTACTCTCTCTCTCTCTGCTGCAGCAGCTGCTGCACCTTTGACCTGCACCAACCGACCTTGTGCCAGGATTTCCTCCACCTTTTGTCTCTCCCTCTCGCCGTCTCCGATAACCCAACCCTGCCTGCGCCAGGTTTCCTTTTGTCGCCCTGCATTCTTTCTCTTCTTCTCCTTCTCCTTCTCTTATTCTTCCCTTCGACCCCGTTTCAACTCATCTCCCGACAGACCTAGAGCTGCCTTTGGCTGCAGAGTCGACTCCTCCCTCGTCTCAGTCAGCCCACGACTCGACTTGACTTGGCTTGAATCGAGCCAAGGCTAGCACCTAATCCGAGCCGCCCACCCCCCGTCGTCACCTGGCACCACATCCCTCGAGAATCGGTCCCACGGTCGTCGTTTACAACCGACGCCCTACCTCTGGATGCCTCGCGACGCTCATCATAGCTTCAATTGTCCCAATTGATCACACGACGATCCGCAAACACCATCTTCGAAGCACCGACTTACAGATAGCTGTCGCGGCGACGCTGCAACGGCGTCATGTCAACCGCCAAGGAGGCCAACGAGCTGAAGCAGCAGGGAGCTGTTGAAGCCGCTGCCAACCCCGAAAGCTCCGTTACCGCCGCAGATGCCCAGAAGGAAATCGTTGAGGCTTCCCGAAATGCCGGCGTTGCTGCCTTTACCTTTGATCCCGATGCGAGCCCCGAGCAGAAGAAGGCTCAGGCCAAAGCTGTACGCTTCTCACTCTCTTGGCCCCGCGACCTCGACTAACTAAGCTTGTACCGTAGGCTATCCCACCCGAGCTGCAACACAGCAGACGGCCAAAGGGCACCGCCATCATCACCGATGTTGACGATGGCACCGGCCCTGTCGAGGACCTCCCAGAGCCCAGCAAGGATGGAGTCTTGGATGTCGCACGAGACGAGCAGGGAAAGCCTCTTGCTGATGGTGTTGACCCCGCCTCTGAAGAGCCTCCCTACTCGCGCACAGGTTGGGCTCCGAAGCTTGGATGGCCAAGCGATGAGCTTCTAGAGCAGGAAAGCTTGCTCGATCATGGGACCTGGGTGGAGGGAAAGCTCCCAGATACCCTCTACGGCGGTAGGTTCTCCATCATTTGCATATTCTCAAGCGTAGCGGACTAACATTTACAGACTGGTATCACAACACTGGACTTGTCATCTTTGCTTGTATCAGCTCCTGGCTTGTCGCTGTCTTTGGCGGCGGTCTTGCTTGGGTTATTATCATCATGGCCATTTGCTCCACCTATTACCGAACCTCTCTACGACGAGTGCGACGCAACTTCCGCGACGACATCACTCGTGAGTTGGCGCTCAAGAAGCTCGATAACGATAACGAATCCCTCGAATGGATCAACTCATTCTTGGTCAAGTTCTGGCCCATCTACCAGCCCGTTCTCGCTCAGACCGTCATCAACTCTGTCGACCAGGTTCTCAGCTCTGCCACTCCCGCCTTCCTGGATAGCTTGAAGCTCAAAACCTTTACTCTGGGTTCTAAGCCTCCGCGCATGGAGCATGTCAAGACCTATCCCAAGACCGAGGACGATATTGTCATGATGGACTGGAAGTTCAGCTTCACTCCCAACGATACCGACGATATGACTTCCCGGCAGCTCAAGAACAAGGTCAACCCTAAGATTGTGCTGGAGATCCGAATCGGGAAGGCCATGATCAGCAAGGGTCTCGACGTCATTGTTGAGGATATGGCTTTCTCCGGTATTATGCGCCTCAAGATCAAGCTTCAGATCCCCTTCCCCCACATTGACCGCGTGGAAATGTGCTTCCTCGAGCGACCTACCATTGATTACGTCTGTAAGCCGCTCGGTGGTGAGAACTTTGGTTTCGATATCAACTTTATTCCTGGCTTGGAGAGCTTCATTCTTGAGCAGATTCACGGTAACCTAGGCCCCATGATGTATGCCCCCAAGGTCTTTCCCATCGAAGTTGCCAAGATGTTGGCTGGCAACCCGGTTGATCAGGCTGTCGGTGTTGTTGCAGTGACCCTTCACGGTGCTCATGGCCTGAAGAACAGCGACAACTTTGGTGGAACCATCGATCCCTACGCATCCATCAGCTTGAACAGACGCCAGGAGCTCGCCCGGACTAAGGTCGTGGAGGACAACCCCAACCCGAGATGGAACGAGACCCACTACATCATTATCACCTCTTTCAACGATTCCCTTGATATCCAGGTTTTCGACCACAACGATTTCCGCAAGTCGAAGGAGCTCGGTGTTGCCTCTTTCCCCCTCGAGAACATCGAGGAGCTCAATGTGTACGAAAACGAACGACTCGAGGTCATTACTGACGGCAAGGCCCGTGGTGTGGTTTCTTGTGATCTCCGCTTCTTCCCTGTGCTCGAAACCATCAAGAACGCCGAAGGACGAGATGAGCCTCCGCCCGAGTCTAACCAGGGTATTCTCCGTTTCACAGTGGAGCAGGCCAAGGAACTGGATGGCACCAAGAGTATCGTGGGAATGCTCAACCCGTACGCAGTCATGTTCTTGAACGGTAAGGAGGTGCACCACACCAAGAAGCTGAAGCGCACCAATAACCCCATCTGGGACAACGGCTCAAAGGAAATTCTCATCACGGATCGCAAAAAGGCCAAGCTCGGTGTCACAGTCAAGGATGATCGAGATCTTACTGGAGACCAGGTGCTCGGCAAGTATCAGATCAAGCTCGACGAGATGCTGGAATGCATGGAACAAGGCAAGGAATGGTACAACCTACATGGCGCTCACACCGGTCGTGTCAAGATGATGGCACAGTGGAAGCCGGTGGCCATCTCTGGTGTGGCCAGCACTGGCGGCTATGTCACCCCCATTGGTGTGATGCGATTCCATTTCAAGAAGGCTACTGATCTCCGCAACTTTGAGGCCTTTGGCAAGTCGGACCCATACACTCGAGTTTTGCTCTCCGGTATTGAAAAGGCACGAACTGTCACTTTCCGCAATGACCTCAACCCTGAGTGGGACGAGGTGCTCTATGTCCCCATCCATTCTGCTCGCGACAGACTCGCCCTGGAGGTGATGGACACGGAAAAGGTCGGCAAGGACCGAAGTCTGGGAATGATCGAAGTCTTTGCTGCCGACTATGTTGCCCAAGATGAAACTGGAGAGTACCTGGTCAACGATAAGAAGCAGCACCGCGAAGACGGGCTGCGGCTTCACAACAAGGGCATTGCCAAGGGTACTCTGCACTACACGGTTGCCTTCTACCCCTGCCTCAACGTCGCCGACCCTGAAGAGGAGGAAGAGGAAGCAAAGGAAAAGGAAGAGGCGGAGAAGGAGAAGGCGGAATCTGGAGAGGAGGGCGACCTCACTCCGCAAAGGTCAGCAGATGCCGGCAAGTTCAACGCAACCCTGGACAAGCCCAAGGAAAAGGACGCCGAGCCACCCACTCCCACAACCGTTGGACGCCCCTCCACCACACAGAGGCCTTCGGTAGACGAGCCCAAGGGCCCCGCCAAGATCAGACTCACCCCGGAAGAGCTACTCAAGTACGAGAGTGGTCTGCTCATCTTCAGACTCATGGAGGCCGAGATGCCAGAGAGCCACGGTCTTCTCGAGGTTCTGGTGGACGACATGGCGTATCCCTCCTACGTGTCTTCTACTGCTCGCAGCAAGTCGCACAAGTTTGAAGAGATTGGAGACTGCTTCATTCGCGAGCTTGACTTTTCACGACTAACTCTCAGGGCTCGAAAGAAGGGTGATGACCAAGATGATCTCATGGCATCGCTTTCTGGCAACACTCTAGAAACCCTCAAGCAGTGTCTGGTATGTCATGTCCAGCTTTTTCTGTAAGATCACGAAGCTAACTTGTTCTAGAACAATCCAACAACCCTCAAGCTCAAGGGCGAGGATGGCCGTCCCGCTAGTGTCAAGGTCAGCTTGAAGTACATCCCCGTCAAGATGCAGCTCGACCCAAGTGAGAGTATCAACAACATGGGCAAGCTCCGTGTGGATATTCTGGACGGTGCGGACCTGCCTTCGGCCGATCGTAACGGCAAGAGTGATCCTTACTGCAAGTTTGAGCTCAACGGCCAGGAGATCTACAAGACCAAGGTGCAGAAGAAGACGCTGCATCCTACTTGGAACGAGTTCTTCGAGGTCAGCGTCCCATCGAGGACTGGGGCCGACTTCAAGGTCTCGGTGTGGGATTACGATTTTGCAGACAAGCCCGACTTCTTGGGCGGTGCAGACATCAACCTGGAGTCTCTGGACCCCTTCAGGCCATCTGAGACTAGATACATCCTGGATGGCAAGTCGGGAACCGTCCGGGTTCGACTCTTGTTCCGACCCGACTACGTTGTACGAACCCGTCAAGGTACATCGACGTTTGGCGGAACATTCTCGAGTGCTCCTGGACGTATCATGACTGGCGTCGCCGGTGCGCCTATCAAGGGCGGCGTGGCAGTGGCTGGAGTCGTCGGTCATGGTGTTGGAAAGGGTGCCTCGTTCCTCCGTCGCGGTCTGTTCAATAAGAAGGAGAACGGCGACATTGAGGAGGAGACGGTGCCAGAGGTGGTAGAGCCCCCGACTATGGCGTCCAACGGCAGTGCAGGATCCAACGGTGGTCTTCGACGGCCCCCTGCCATTGTGGAGGAGGGTGACGCGCCTGCAATGGGACGGCCATCCACCAGCAATGGCCACTCCCGGTCAAAGAGCATTGGACAGTCGTCGGTCCATAGCACACTCCCTGGTGGTGCTCAAGGCGGTACCGCGTCCTTCACTGTGGTGGGAGCGTCAGGATTCCCGCCAGCGTCGGATCTGTACATCATCATCTCGCAGATCAATCCTAGGGAGAAGACGGTGGGCAAGACCAAGCACTTCAAGTCGTCGTCAGGCCAGTGGCAATTTGACGAGACGTTCAAGTTCCCCTGCACACCGGACGCGCAGTTCAAGATTGAGGCCAAGGGGCAGCACCTGTTTGGTAGCGATGACGACCTTGGCGAGCACATCTACTTTGTGGATGAGTCTGGTGCTTCGACAGCCAAGGATCTATCTGTGGGCAGCGGAAGCGTGACGCTCAAGAGCACCTTTCAGCCTGCGGAGCCAAGCCTGGCGCCCGAGAGCCCCAAAACTCAGCTTCGAAGAAGCTTCCTGAGCAAGCGAGAGGGACGGACCAGCAGGGAGGTGACGCCAAATCCCTAAGCTGGGTGCCTCGTCTTGTCTCTGCTTGACACGCGTGATGTTTCTTTGAGTTCCTCTTTTTGTGTTATGATGCGACTACTACAAATCTCGATATTGTTTTCCTGGATTGTGAAGGTTGGTGAAAGTTAGGTCACCTAGGGAATGGAGGGTGTTCTCTTATGGGCGGAAAGGGAAGAGGACAAGACGTCTTGACTGCAGAGACCAAAGTGGTAGCTTCATTTACTTGAGTTTGATATCCTCTGGAAGTTGGGTTCGGTTCCTTGGCGCGGATTGGATTCAATAGGGTATAGGTAATTAGGTAGGAGATTAGTAAGATGCCCGGGAAGGGGTGAATGAATGAATTGAAAAGCATTTAATCAAAGAATATTCATGTTCCATGGTTTGAATTGCTAAGAACCGCCTATGATAGAGAGGTTGGTGATGCTTCTAGTTGATAATGTTGATGTCTGATATCCAAGGCACCAACAAGGCATCCACTAGGCCGCACAGGGGAGCGTCACCTATGGCAGGTACGTACCCCACCAACTGCCAGCAGGTGCTCTCAGTTGACGCGCGCAATGGGAGCTGCCTGAGCCTCAGCTTGACTGGACTGGAGCTTCTGCCAATCCACACTCAAGCACCAACCATCACCACCACCGCCGCCATCGCCATCACCTCCTCCACGACGACAATACCCCAATCTCGACCGCGAACAATAATCGGCGGCCTTGATTAGATAATCTCGACTCTCAAATCTTGTCTCCTAGACACTCCCAAGAGCTCTCTACTGCCGCGGCAAGCGATCCTCCATCGCCAGCCAGTTCCAGGGCGTCAACATCGTCATCGACGAGCCACCACGACCTTTGTAGACTTGCCGTCACTTCATCACAGCAAATATGGACTCCCTTGTCGCAAAATACAGCCGGCCGGCGTACCAGCAGAATGAGTCCTTTGAGGACCAGGATGATCTGTTGAATCCCATGGCCGACCTCTCTATCAAGTTTGCCATGCCTCCCGTTGCTCAGGTTCGCCATTAACCCTCCTCTGAGAGCTCCAAAAGCTCTCCCTAATCTAAATATGCTAACTCGAATCTCCAGCCCTCATCATGGCTCCGAGCTGCCACCGATGACCGATCCAACCCCGACTGCCCCATCAAGATCGCCCACGGAACCACGACCCTGGCTTTCCGCTTCCAAGGCGGCATCATCGTCGCTACCGACTCGCGAGCCACGGCCGGCAACTGGATCGCCTCGCAGACTGTCAAGAAGGTGATTGAGATCAACAGCGTCCTCCTGGGCACCATGGCCGGTGGCGCCGCCGACTGCCAGTACTGGCTCGCCTGGCTGGGCATGCAGTGCCGCCTGCACGAGCTCCGACACAAGCGCCGCATCAGCGTGGCCGCCGCCAGCAAGATCCTCGCCAACCTCGTCTACAGCTACAAGGGCATGGGCCTCAGCATGGGCACCATGTGCGCTGGTGTCACTAAGGAGGAGGGTCCCGCCCTCTACTACGTCGACAGCGACGGCACCCGCCTCGCCGGCAACCTCTTCTGCGTCGGTTCCGGTCAGACCTTTGCCTACGGTGTGCTCGACGCCGAGTACCGCTACGATCTGACGGACGAGGAGGCCCTCGAGCTCGGCAAGCGAAGTATCCTGGCCGCCACCCACCGAGACGCCTACTCTGGTGGCTTCATCAACCTGTACCACGTCAAGGAGGAGGGCTGGGTCAAGCACGGCTTCAACGACACCAACCCCATCTTCTGGAAGACCAAGCTGGAGAAGGGTGAGTTCACCAACGTGACGAGCGAGCTGGATTAGACGGGACATTAGAGGGACGTGGATGATAGAGGGTTGGTTCTTGTACCGGTTCAGCTGGAGGGTATAAAGCTCCAGATGGGCCGTGTAATATGTACAACAAAGGCTTTTCTGTTGTGAAAGGTTCATCTAGATTCCAACGCCTGCCCGTGATGTCTTTGAGAATTACAATAGTATACAGGGCGAGCACACGGCTCATGCTCACATGAAGATTTAAATCATGACTCTCGTCTCACCCAACCTTCAACGCCCAATATGCCCTCCCCATGCTCCGGGTCCATAGGCCATTTTCCAATCCCCGTGATGTTCACCTCAGACTCCCAACCGGCCTGGAACATCTCCATGCCCGTCCACGCAATCATGGCGGCGTTGTCGGTGCAGAGCTCAACAGGTGGTGCTACGATTTGTAAATGTTCAAACCCACGAACTGCCAGCATCCGTCGAAGAACGTGCATGAGGAAACGATTGCTCGCCACGCCGCCAGCCACGACGAGTGTCTTTGCCTCACACAGCTCTGGTCTATCCTCCAAGGCTACGCATAGCCGACCCGCGAGATGTGTAAACGCTGCCATCATGGTGTGTTGTGCCAGTTTCTGGCGCTCAACCATAGACATAGATGAGCCTGATTCCGTAGCAATATTGTGCACATGCGTGTATATACTGCTAAAGGAAAAGGCAAGCTTACGACTCTGCCTAAACGGTGTCGGCACAACCCAGTCATGCCCTGACGGAGGTGGTTCCATCTCAGCAGCCCGCGAGGCTGGCGGCGTAAAGACAGCTTCGTAAGCAGACTCCATGTCCTCGCTCGGAGGAAAGGCAAAAGCCTCAAGGAGACGACCGTACATGACGTGGTCGCTCGAGTCAAAGACGTCCGCGGGGAGTATGTCGCGGGCTGTCTGGTCGAGCAGGTTCCCGACGGCAATATCGCCGCTCGTGGCGAGGATGGCGTGATCGGTGAGACCGGAGGAGTAGACGAGCTGTGTGTGTCCTCCGGAGACGAGAAGAGACAGGAAAGGAAACTCGGGTCCAGATCGAGTCCTCCCTTCCGTCTCCTTCTCTCCCATGCTCATACCCAACGCTCTCACCAGACGAGGTGTCAAGGCGTGAGCCTGCATATGATGAACCCCCACCAACGGCACACCCCAAGCAACAGCAAGTCCCTTTGCCATATCAATCCCAATCCCTAAATTAGAGCGCATCCCAGGCCCACGCGTCACCGAGACAAAGTCCGGAATCTGCTTGCGAGCACCACCAGGCGCAGTGCAATGCCTTCCATCACCGACATGGTCAGGCAGAGCGTCGAGGGCGCGGCGGACGAGGGGTGCCAGCGCAGAGCTATGGCCTTTTACGGCGACCAGTGGGTGTATTCCCTTGAAGGCGCGGTTGTCGGATGATATGCGCTCGTTGAAGAGGAGCTCGGTCGACTTGGGTGTGTGTCGGAGGATGGCGACTCCAGTGTCGTCGCAGGACGTCTCGATGGCGAGCGTCACGAGGGAGCGGCTACGGCGCTGGAGGATGGCGACGGTGGGGAGGCGCCGACGGCTGCATTGTAGGAGGGAGTGCATCGACGGAGCACGGTAGACGGCGGATGGTGGGTTTCGGTTGAAGCTTTTGAAAGCGACGCCGGTCGGTAATTTTTAGTTTACGGCAGATGGCGGAACCGGACGGCCCCACTATCCGGTGTGGGGGCCGGAGCATTCAAGAACCTCACTCACATAGGCAAACAACTTGAAATCACAGTTTATGAATTCAATCTAGCTTTTTTATAGACTAATCAAGGATCCTAGAAGCTCCGTTTTATCCAGACGCCCCGTCCAATGCATCCGCTACATGCTCCCATTAATCAGATTAAGTACTGTGCTGTATTTTTTTTTCACACCCAGTTTACCCATTGGCATTTACATCCTCCGGTCCCGCCGTCGAATCCGCCAAACTTCTCGTCCCCGTCTGATCGCTTGTTGATCCATGTTCCACCGTAGGCAATGTTGTTGGCCAGCAACTTGGGATTGCCCTCATCTACCTGCTGCCGGTTGTTAATCGGCCACGCCCACACAAACTTCTTCCCCCGGTCTCCGCCGTGTGTATCCATGGTCACTGTCACCGGGTACGGCATTGTGCCTGGTCGGATCAGCTCCGTGGAACCATCGATGCTACCCATGCCCTTAGGCTCGAGTAGCGATGATGTGTTGCTTGCGAGCTTGCGTGTCCAGATTTGGACCAACAGCCGTGTCTCGCTCCAGGTGGTGAGGAAGTCGGCCTCAGTCTCCCCGCAGCCGCCATCCTCGTCCAATGGAATGTCACCCTCATCAGTGTTGTTGAGAACCGTTACCGATTTCAGGTAGATGGTTCGCTTGAAGTATGTGTAGAACCCGTAGTGCTCGGTGGGGAGACCACGGTCGTAGAGCCGCACCGGTTGCTGCACAGGCTTTGGCAGCAACACAGCTGGCTTGGGTTTGCCGTCTGTATCTAGCTCAGGCGGCGGAAGAGCGTCAGTCAGGTTGACCTTGACTTCCGGTGAGCTATCACGCTTAACCAGCTCCTTGGTCTCCTGGGTCTCGATAGAATCCACCAGGCTGATGTAGAAAGGCGTTGCTTCACCTGCCTTCTCCTTCGACTTGATGTCGTCAGTCGTATTGCCCAAGAACCACATCTCCTGAAAGTTTGGCTGGTCAGGGCTGGGTTCAAAGTCGGTTGTCTGTCGCTCTCGGATCAAGCTGCTCGCACGCGCCGCAATACCCATACTTCGGCGGTGCTTGGCTGAAGGGGGGTCTCCGTTGGGAACCTTCCACTCATTGCGTGTACTGTTGTCCCACTGGATCTGCATCATGATGGTCGGCTGGGTAGGCTTGTAAGGGGAAACCGACTTGTGCTGCTCCTTGGGGAGAGCACAGCTCCACATGGTCGAGGGCTCAGTGCAGCCAGACTTGGCCACAACATTGTCTGGTCCAACCACCGTCAGACCTCCTGTGGGCATAGGAGGGAAATCTGTCAGGTTGACCCAAATCGAGGGGAGTTCCTTCTTGTGGTGGGGGCGGCTCAAAACAACTCCTAGTGTGATCGCCAGAATCATCAGAGCAATAATGACGCCAGCCACAATCATCCAAACCCGTCGACGTTTGCGTCCCTCCCGACCAGTTCGACCAAAGCAGCCCTCCTTAGGGATACATCCCCTGCCCCTCCAGAAACCACCCAAGCGTCGGGCTACCACGTCTTCCTTCTCGTGTCGACGTCGTGTACGCTCGACCTTGGTCATTTGCGTCCCATCAGCAAGCGAATGTTCTTGGGGTACAAAGGTTCCAATCGGCCGTGTTGGGAGCGGCATCTGCGAGAGTCGAATATTGTCCCGAACGTTCTCGCGAGGAGCAGGCGTCAATGGGACTTCTTGCAAATGAGTACCCCTCTGAGAGGACATGGTTGAGGCAAGACCCGGGGACATAGGCCCGGGAGACGTGGGTCCAGGAGATGGTGGAAATTGGGTCTGGAGAGCATGTCCAGGTGGCAGCACAGCCGCGTACTTGATCGGCGTGCCTTCAGTCTTTTTTGGCGGAGGTGAGTATGGGGGTGGCACGTCAGACATAACCTCTGACGTGATGACAATCCGCGGCTTCATAATGCTCGAGGTTGCGTTGGGGACTGGGGATGACCGGGCGGTTGAAGGGCCAGAAGAAGACTCAGCTATGCTTTCGATACGAGGCGAGGGCGTTCGACGTGGCATGGGCTCCTTGACGATGGGTGTCTGGAATGGACCAAGCAGCAGGTTCGGCGTGAGGTACAGGTTCGGGTTTGAATTCGGGTTTTGGATTTGTTTCGGCTGGGGCTTGTCCTCAACCTTGTTCCACCACTCATCAATGCGAATATCTTTGGGTGATTCAAAGGTCTGCTTCAAAGCGGTCGTAAAGGTGAGCCTCTTGTCCATGAAGGGAGTGACAACATGATGATCCCACCACCCGCGAGTCTTGGAACCAGCGCTGTCTGGGGTCACTCCGGGTGACTTGGTCTTCAACTGTTTCTGTGGGCTTGAGGTTCCATCCTCTTCAAAGAGGGTGCATGGGGTCCCGCTATCCGAGTCCTCGGGAGCGTTACCGCCCATGTCGATGCTAACATGCCGATTGTTTTGTGCCTTCTTGAAGTTTTCTGGAACCGCTGGTACTGGAGGGGCGTCGCTATCGGGGGGGACTGGGAATTGCGAATAGATGCTCGAAGCATAGCGGATCGTGCTGAACGAGGAGGCAGTATCGGGGGTATCAGGCGACCATACTGACTTTTGTTGAGCAGCAGTGGGAAGTGGCTTGGAAGTAGGAGCAGGAGCAGCGAGGTTATCAGGCGCCGGTTGTTGCCGAGGAGGTTCGGGATGAGGAGTCTCGATAGGGGTTGGTGAAGTATTGTAGCCTCCCACGGAACCATTTGCCTCTTCAGACGAAAGAGAAATGCCAATCACGATGGGTCGGTCATCTGGTGAGAGCTTTGGGTCCAGAGTTCGTGCTGACTGGGCCGATAGTTGTTGAGGCGAGGCGGTCGCTGGACTTTGATCCTTGCCCCTCTTGAACCAGTTCCAGTTTCCTACTGAAGCCGAGTTTGGCTCTCCTTCCAGAGCCCTCAGGGCAGCAGCATCAACGAATCTTCCAGTACGACCCACTGGTGTGTGCCTGGTATGGCCGAAGTTGGTCTGGCGTCGGAAAGTAGACATGTCGGTAATGAGCTTGATACCTGCCTTGGCATTTTGGGCCTTTTGGCGTTGTCGAGACTTGACTCGTGTGGCTCTAGCAGCGGAGACTCTCGATGATCGTTGTCCGTAAAGCTTGGAAGTTCGAGATGATACACGATGCGCGGGGGTGAAGCCGGTCGAGGCCTGCTCGCCGGCGTGGATTGGCGCAATGTGGTCATCGTCCTCCCAGTCTTCCCAGTCCTCCTGTACTCGCGGTTGGGCTGCTGTATATGGAGGAGGGTAAGGTGGGAGTTGAGACTGTGCGGAATAGTTCATGGTGTGATGTCGAAGTGTATTAGATAGAAATAGAAAGGAAAGAGAGTCGAATAGGGAAAGAAAGGGAGCAGCAACGGGTCATCAAACATGCAAGGCTGGCTCTCGAATGTTGACAATGATCATGTGTTTTGTTGGTAAGGACTTCAACAACGCGGTCGGTCGAACGGTAAGTCGTGGCGTAAAACGAGACAGATGATGCAGACAGAACGATCAACAAAGAATGAATATCCCAAACAGGTCAATGAGGGGGTTGACAGACAATCAATGAGGTATTGTTCAGAACAAAGGAAAGGAACTTGACCAAGGAAATAGATGAAAAGGGAATAGTTTGCCCGTGGCCAAAAGACTGACAATGAGCAGTGAGAAAGAAGGAAAAGGTCAAAAGGGCAGATTCTAAAGAAAAACAATGGGCAACGCTACGTGAATAGGAAAGTTGGGCGAATGTGAGGATGCGGCCGATACCACCACCGCCCGCCACTGCATACTGCACTGTCGGCCTGGGACAAAAGACCCGCCAGAAATGGGCTGGGCCAAGGGCGCAAGCCCTCTTGATTGGGCTAGGCCAGGAGACTTGCATCGATTCGCAACATGGCTAAATAAAGCCTCTTGAAGCCCAGACGTTAAACAACGGCTCATAGGCGGGGGGTTGAATGAGCTGGCGCAACCAGATGTATGGAATAGCCGCCCAGCTTTGGGGTTCGGCTCTTTGATTGGCCAGGTGTAAGCGCCGACGTATGTTGTGCGTGATTGGATGCTTGTCGCGGGTCGATGGATTGGCGACCACATCCCCAGCATCCAACGCCGAACCAGAGCGCGAGATACAGGGACCAGGGGAGATTGCTCATCAAACAGAGAAGGAATGTCTCTGATGGTGATGCAGACGAGAGCTCGATTGGTGCATGTCGCGATGATTCGGATCCGGATGCTCCCATCCGGCAGCCGTTGATCTGTTGGCAGTCCCTGGTAGGTAGGTTGTAGGCGTCAGGTGAGTGCTGGAGGATCATTTCTCCTGCCTGTATGCAGGTGTAGTAGTATTTGAATGCGGTCGCTTGGCCAATTCGTCGTCAGCATTTGACGAATTCCGACACGAATATCTGCATACTGCAAGCCATAGTCAATGCCCCATTGGAGTGAAGACATTTTGAATCTCGGAAGTCAGATAAATCTCATTGTGAGGGTGATTGTGTTTTGGATGAGGTTGATGGTAGGAAGTGAGCGGATGTGGTTCAGCATCACACGACAAGCAGAGGCTCCTTCCTTAACACAGCGCAGCAGAGCTTCACTTGAAAATGACTGACGCGCCGGCTTGACTCACACAATCTCCTGACATGCAAGTCAATATTCCTTAAGGATTCATGGGGCCTTCTTTGCGTCGAGCAGGTTGCAGAACTGGCCTGGCTGGTGTTGCTGCCGAGCCTACCCTGGGGCGGAGCGTAGGCCAGAAAGGTCGAGACCCAGTGGCCGAGTGCTTCATCTTAAATCGGCCCCTCGGCCTCCGGTTTCGACGTTGTATGGTGAGAGGCCGCCCAGAAACGACTCTTAGAATGACATGAAGTTGTCAGACTGAACCGAGATGTCCTGGCAACAATGAAACCGGGTGTTGGCTGGCCATGTTAGTAGAGGTGATTATCTCCCAACCACGTGACACACACATCTTCGTTGACGCAACTTCAGGGTCCCTCTTCCACTTGGTCAAGATAGGAAAGGTAGGAAGAATGACAGCCAAGTGGGCGTTCATTGGAGATTCGGGCAGAGATGACGGGTACCAACGACAGGGCTAGGCTTGGACCATCAGTGAGTTGATGCAACCCCGTCAGGAACAGTCAGCAACATGGGTCACCAAGGATCCATTGACTGCGTGAAAGATGTGCCTGAATGAGGCTTCTGTCAGCCGGCATAATATCAAGTTACACACAGGGCCATAACACCAGTTGTGGCGCTGATACTGAGAGCCAGCGTGTGAAATATTCGACATTGTCGATTTTTCTTCAAGTCTTCCAGAGAGTGTAGTACGGAGCAACCCCTGGCATCGTTCTTAGCGGGTGAACCCCTGAACAAGTGAAATTGAGCGACCTGAAAGTGAATCGACAGACGGATGTGGGGGTCCATCATGACCATTGCGGGCACAGGAATGACAGAGTACAAGAGCACAAAGAATGGAGAGGGTTTCATGATGAGGAATCCCTTGACGACGACTGAGCAAACTCCCCGAGCGATGGCTGCAGTTGCCATGCGCGTCAAGACAGGCATCAAGTTCTTTCCCGGGGTCGTGATTCGAGGCTTGAAGATTCCCCTCATATTGCATGTTACAGGTTGAGGTTCATGGGTCTCTTGGTAAATGACTCTGACGTAATTTCTGGCGCAGAGAGCGAAAAATTAAAGAAGAAGAAAAGAAAAAAAAAAGGCGAGAGAGCACATCTTGGGCGTTGCCAAGACACATGCAGGAGATGGCCGGCCACCATTGGGTCTGGCGTGACATTTGAAGCTGTCTGCGGGTTATACAAGATGCAAGAGGCTGGCTGCAGCTTGTCATCTCGGAGCGTCCAAACAAATAGTTGCTTGAGCAATTGTCGATTCGGCAGGTTGATTTCATGTTGCATGGATCTCGGTAGCACATGAGATGGGATGGGAGAGTCCCTCCCTCCACATGCAAAGGATCCGGTCCCTCCTCATCTGATGGGATTCCTTGTCTGGAAATTTCTCCTTGACGATTGCCCAAAAGAGGGTCCCCCTCGAACCAAGTACAGCATAGCGATTGCTTGGCTGCTGCGCTACGCTGCGTCTGCGTCTGAGTCTATCCTCCATGACCTGGCCCTTACTGGCGAATCCCTACCAGCATCAATTTTGATTTGGCGGCTCGAGCCTTTCCCCTTACTGACCGACGGCGGGTTCGATCCTCTGACAGGAAAGGGGAGGGGAGGAGGCTCAGCCTTGGGTTGCATCGTGTCTACTATAGTCTTGGTGTGTTTCTTTGATTGATGTGGCCAAATTCAACTCATTCCATTTTCCCTCATCCCACCTTTTCTCCCCTTCTCCGTTTTGTTCTGACAACAAAACAACCTTCTCGTATCGACGCCACCACCACCACTGGCAGCTTGTACTGAGGGGAACATCCATCACGGGGCAACACGATACGATCACACACACATACACAGATACACTCCCTCGCCTACGAGACACACGCCCAGCTGATTGCTTGATACCCGTATTGCATCGTGTCGCATAGCAACGATAGAAGCCTCGATCGCACTGTTGCTCCCGCTGTCGCATCACATCACATTCGCGACGAGTTTCGCATCCAACCATCAAATCGATCGACGGACCGGACTCGGCTCCATCTCGCACTACCTAGCGAGTTGACTTCGCACCACACGTCGGTCACTTCCAGGTTGAGAAGAGAATTGGAAGGCTGGGTTATCGACCCAAGATACGCTATCGCAACGGCTGATTCCATCATCCACCACACGCCGGCCGGGCTTACCTGTCAAAAAAAAACTCTCGATTCTTCGTATCCTTTTCCGACCCCGATTATCCATACCATCCAGTCCGGGGACTCTGCGCCACGTCTTAAGGCTGAAGCTGTGTTGAGCAGTTTATTCCTGGCTTTCGAGTCTCCGTTGGTTGGTCGATTGATCAACCCATCGGTCACTGTGGGCTCTCGTCCAGCCTCCCTTGCCAAGGTGGAAGCCGGATCTCTGGTGGCGCCGGTTGCGTTTCTCGAAGCAAGCTTTCGTTCCTGCGAGGCTCGAGTAGCATTTCGACCATCCACCATCCATCTGCATCTGCGCCTGCGCCTGCACGCACCTCAGCCCCGCCTGTCTGCATCTACACGACCTACCGAAGAGGCTAGGGTATCTCTAGTGGGTGCTTGCAACCTCACCTCACCGCGGCATAAGCAGCCATCGGGCTTTCTACTACGTCGCTATCTGCGACGTTGCTCAAGCTGGCTCCTCCACGACTCAACGGTGGCTCTTCGAGCTCCTTTAGCGACCGCCCTCCCCGCGCCCATCATACTCGTCAACGTTCCTCGGTTAGCCATATCCTACACGAACAGAGTCATCAGCAGCAGCAGCGCCCCGGCCTGCTGTCTATCGATACCCACCAGGCTCAACAGCCTCGTAATACTCCTCTCTCCCCGGTTCCAGGTGTGTACTTCACGTTCTCGGCCTTGCCCACCCAATGTCTCACTGCCCATACCTTGAACCCTCTTGGCAATTGTGCCCTGCCTCTGTTTCCGGGCCTCGCTGTCCTCCCCATTCACTGTCTCTCCCTGTGCTGCCTGTCTCTTTTTATTGCCGTCCTCCCCGCCCCAGCCCGCCCTAGATCTATTCTTGATCAAGGTGGTGCAACTCACCTTGGCGAATCCAGACACTGCTCCCTTACCTTCTTCCTCTTCCTCTTGACGTTTTCCTCTTTTCCTTGCGTAAATATCTTCCCTCTACTGCAGTTCTCATGGGCCACACCCACAAGTGACATTGTTCGCGCGGGCTAATCGCTGTGCCCGCCTCCCTCCAGATACCCCAGGGCCTTCCATGACCCTCTCGCGCAGCCCTTCACCCGTTCCCGGTGGTGGCTGGTCAAGTCCAGGCTTGACCCTAAACAGCGGCAGATCGAGTCCAGCAAACGTGAGCGCCGGCCCTGTAATGTGGGAATCCGCCAAGATGAAGCATTACAACCCCAGCACATACCCGTCTTTTTCGACCCAGAACAAGGGCTTCTTCTCCAGACATATACGCCGCCTATCGAGTACCCTTCCGCGATTCAATTCCCGCCAATACGGAGACAAGGAGAAGCTCGGTCGAGGCCGGCGATGGATTCAAAGGGTGCCTCTGGTTGGCAGGATACGGTCCATCTTTGGGCGCATGGGAAGGAAGCTTAAGATGTGCCTGCTATTCATCCTGGTGCTGATCCTCTGCTACACCATATTCTACACAACTCGTAAGCTCTGACTGGTCGCTGAATTGCGCAATATGCGATTGCTAACATGCGCGCAGCCCTCGTATACTACTGGCGAAGATCATCAATCGGCGGCGGCGGCAACAAATTCGTCATCATCCTGGGCGCAAACGTTGGAGGCGGTGTCATGGAGTGGAAGGGTGCTCGAGAATGGGCCATTGAACGAGACAGCGTGCGGAATAAGCGAAAATACGTGAACCGATGGGGCTACGACCTGGAAATCGTCGACATGAGCACCAAGAAGAAGTATGCGCACGAGTGGCGGGAGAGCTGGGAGAAGGTTGACTTTATCCGGTCAACTCTAAGGAAATACCCCAAGGCCGAATGGTGAGATTTCCTGCCAGCGACATGTATAAAATTGGGAAGCTGACTGACTTGGATAGGGTGTGGTGGCTTGACCTGAACACATTCATCATGGAGCCCTCTATGTCATTGCAAGACCACATCTTCAACAACATCGAAAAGAACGTGGAGCGCGACGTCAACTACTACAACCCCCGCAACTTCTCGCACCCATTCACCGAGACGTATCTTGACAAGGACTCGCTGAGCCCTGTGGGCGATGGAAAAGGCAACTCGGTCAATTTTATCATGTCGCAAGACTGCGCGGGGTTCAACCTGGGATCCTTTTTCGTTCGCCGGAGTTCCTGGACTGATCGACTCCTGGACGTTTGGTGGGATCCAGTGACGTACGAGCAGAAGCATATGGAGTGGGCACACAAGGAACAGGATGCCCTCGACCAGCTCTACCGTACGCAGCCGTGGGTGCGTAAGCACATGGCGTTCCTCCCACAGCGAAAGATTAACAGTTTCCCGCCGGGAGCGTGCAACCCTGAGGGCGGCCCCAAGGATCCGCATATCCATTATGAGGAGACGGAGCGAGACTTCATGGTCAACATGGCTGGCTGTGAATGGGGCCGCGACTGCTGGGGCGAGATGTACTACTACCGCGAATTCAGCTACTGGCTCAACCGCAACCCGTGGGAACGGTTCAAGGAGGACCTGATAGCGGTGCTGTGGTTTAAGCTCACCGGTCAGAAGGTGAAGCTGTAAGGGAGAGGTTGATGAGCGTCAAGGATGGCGTGTTGGGGATGATCTGGGTGCTGGACAAGCAACCCGTCAACCTGTCGATGTGAATGATATACGGAGGATGACGGCGACTCAATCGCCACGTGTTGGGACTATGTTGATGTTTGCGTTTATGTTTGTACATGATTTGATTTTTTCGTTGGCTGCATATACCCCTTTAGACAAGGCATTTTAGAAAGAGAGAAGAAAGAAGGGTTGGCAAGGGGTTCAGACCCTTGAGACTTTTTTTCAGTTGAAGATTTTTTTCATATGAAAGAAACAGAGGAATCACATTTCACTTTATCGGATCTTGTTTCGAGATGGATGGGACGAACTGGTCTTGTCCACATATGAAGAGGGGTTCAGGGGGGATGCTGCAGTTTCATGCGTGTGGTTTCATGTGGATGCATAGGATGAGGGGACACCACACTCGCATTACCTGTTTAGGCCAAGATGAAATGTTTGGATGAGAATTTGGATTGTCATGAATCGAATTGATGAAGTGAATCCTTGGTTCGTCTCGGACGAGATCCTCTGTGAGAGACTTTGAGTAGGATGATGGCTGATAGGGCTTGGACGATGAGTATGATGCTACAAGAGGAGGATCAAGTTGATACACGGCGCGTATCGACAGTAGACTACGTAAGCATGTGAAGGAAGAACAAGAACAACCGCCCATGAGCAGCTGTGCCTCCAATCTCAGATACTACCCGAGTCCCACCCCGTTGAAAGGATGGACGATCATCAACCCAACTTGGAATAGGATTCGCTTGAACGGTGATCCACGGACCCCGGATCCCGGCACACGGGTTTGATAAACGAGGCTTCAACGCTTGTCATCTGGCGGATGGTCCGGGAGTTTGGGGAGAGGATCAATATGTTTGAAACGGGTGAGAGTTTACAGGTGGTGCCATGGATAACGGCGGGAAAGGAGGTGGCAGAGAGGTTCAGCAGAAGACAGATTGAAGTTGAGGCCTGAGCAGGTAAGCAAGCAAGGAGGTGTACTTTGTATGTTTGCCCTACCTTACGTCTGTCTGCGTTTCAGAGCGGTCAAGGTGGAAACATCCATTCATGGATAGTCATCCATCCACCTGGATTTATGAGCAATCCCTTTTTTTTCAGTGGCGATAAAGTTTGTCTCTGTCTGCCTCTTTAAGAACGCGCGTCAAGTGAGTCGTCCAGGCAAGGAAACAAGGGAAAAAATGTCTCTGATGAGGAATGATCCAGCCCGGATTGGGTATTAGACCCATTCACGATGGCTTCACTACAAAAAAAGGCTTGGCAACAGTTTTTTTTTTCTTTATGGGGTAGGCCACGCAAACCTGGCTCGGCCCTACGCATGCGGGTGATGGATGCAATGGATGAACGATGGCGCGCGGTTAATACAACAGAGTTGATGTGTTTTTTAATCTATCTGGAAGCGCCGCAGCCTGAGGGATCCTCGAAGGACGACTGGGGTTTGGGTCCCATGGGGAGAGGATCTGACGATCTAGGTATCATTCACCTGAAATCGAGTAGAGGACGAAAGTTAAGGGATTTAATTGACGGTAGACAAAACGGGATTGACCTTGTTGTTCTCTTTTTTTACTCCTTTACTAGATAACAAAGAAAAAAAAGGACACAATGCAAAAAAGAAATCAATAAAAAAAACCGCTTGTTTCGTTTTCGTCGAGTGTTTCAAACATCAGCTGAACTCGAATACGTTTCGGCCACAATGATCCGGAAGCGCCCAGCGGGAGGGCTACAGCGGGTCCCAGAGGGGGGCAGGCCATCCCCTTTCCAGGGCACTCTTCAGTGACCTTCTACCCCCGGCCGCGCAGTTGAACCCCCTGGGCCACGTTTGAAAGAGGCCACCCCGACCAATCACGGCGCGTCATCGGAAGCCAAGCTTCGAACTGAGCCTCCTGCCAGTCAGTGCCAGGCACGCTAAGAGTGGAAAGCCCGAACTCAGGGGCCGGGTGCTACCTGCCGTAGTAGGCTCTTCCAACCCCCCTGCCTCGGCGCGTGATTGGCCACGGGTGTCGATTGCATGGCGCGGCGGCTGAGGAGACGGGCCTCGCGCTGACGAGCCACCATCGAACGGCCGCCCGAACCAGAGGCATCAGGGACTGCTTGAGGGGGACGTGATTCGCTGGTTTGCATATATGACGGGATCATGGGTGATGGGTTTGGGATGGACTGTTTCGGAGGGTTTGCAGACTGACAGAAGCAAAGGGGGCCTAGACCGAGTGACCGACAGATCCAGCTGTATCCAACAAGGGTCTGATGGATGCTTTGGGTTGCAAGAGTCAGTTGGACTCTGTGGACTTCCATCAGAGACATATAACCTCGCCCGCATTCCCTCGTGAGGCTATCATGACCTCTCCACCCTCTCTCCTTCTCCTTCTCACTTCCGTCTTCAGTGTCTGGTACTCTCGGGACCTCTTGGTGTCTAACACGGACTCTCTTTCTTTCTTGTCCATCCACTCATTTTCTTACAAACACCCGCACACTCTCTTTATTCTTGCCTTCTGCATTCGTCATCTAGCCGTTCAATCCTTTCGGTAGCTGGCTCGCCGTTTTATTTTACTACCCACTCTCTTTTTTACTCTTCAAATCTTGGCCCTCCCTCTCTATTGATTAGAGACCTCCTTGGCTCCCACTTGGCAGTGCCCGATATTTGCCCCCTTGTCACTGACAATACAAGCCTCCCTCACCTTGCCTTGGCTCCAGCCCGCATATTCATCCGCTTCGGGTGCTTTCCTCTTTCGGTCATTGTAGACAATAGCTTGCATTGTATATCAGCTGCCACCTCACCCTTCCCACCCTCATTCAGGAGAATCATTCGACCTATTCGGGAAATCAATTGCCAAATCTCGAGATACCCCAAAAGAGTTTCAAAGACACAACGACTTTCTGTCCGGTGTGCTTTTTTAAACTTCGTCACATCCACTCTTTCTCACGATCACGACGAAACTCGAGCGACTTCAAATTGCAAGAAAGTGACTGGCTTCACATTCTCTGCAATCTTTCAGCCCAGCAAAGACTTCAACTCTGCTCTTCGGAATCTCTGATCAGATACTTCATCTTCGGTCGACGACTACGCCAACACAAAGACAATGCGTACCTCCACCCTCGCCTTTGGCCTCGCGGCCCTCTTCCAGGGCGCTGTCAACGCTCAGTATACCCTCAGCACCACATACGATGCTTCCAACTTCTTCACTGCCTTTGACTTCTTCAACGAGGAAGATCCCACCCACGGCTTTGTCGAGTACGTCGATGCCAACACGGCCAACGCAGAGGGCCTCGCCGGCTTCGTCGAGGGCGCCATCTACATGGGCGTCGACTACCAAACCCAGAACCCTCAGAACGGCCGCAAGTCTGTCCGCGTCACCTCGCAGCAGTCCTTCACCCATGGCCTCTTCCTCGCCGACATTGCCCACATGCCCGGCAGCATCCCCGGTGTCTGGCCTGCCTTTTGGATGTTTGGTCCTGAGTGGCCCACCTCGGGCGAGATCGATATCCTCGAAGGCGTGAACACTCAGACTGAGAACGCCATCACCCTCCACACCGGACCCGGCTGCTCCATCACCAACGACGGCACCGCCCAGGGCACTACCCTCAACAAGAAGGACTGCAACGCCGGTGACGGTCATGAGGGCTGCGGCCAGCAGACTTCGGACAACCAGAACTACGGCGATGGTTTCAACGCCATTGGCGGCGGCGTCTATGCCACCGAGTGGACATCCGACTACATCGCCGTCTGGTTCTTCCATCGCGACAGTATCCCCTCCGACATCCACTCCGACTGCCCCAACCCCTCATCCTGGGGCCCTCCCCTGGCCAAGTTCAACGGCGGTCAGGGCTGCAACATCGACGATCACTTCAAGGACCACAACCTCATCTTCGACACCACCTTCTGCGGTGATTGGGCCGGCGCTCCCGATGTCTGGAACAACAACCCCGAGACATCGGCCCTGGGTGCTTGCGAGGACTACGTCGCTTCCAACCCGGCCGACTTCCAGGAGGCCTACTGGCTCGTCAACAGCATCAAGGTGTTCAACAACGGATACGGCAACGGCGGTGGCAATGACGGCTACCATGGCAACTCTACCAAGCGCGCAGTAGTTGCCAAGCCCTTCCTCGCTTGAGTAGCCACGACTCGCACTTGACGAGCGTCACTTCACAATCTCTTTTTGTCTCTTTTTCATCATCTCATGAGATACCCCATAAACCGAAAAGAAAAAAAGGAACTTGACCAGAGGTGGTTGATGGTTTCCATTCCATCGCGGAGGCGTTATTTTGGCTGCTATTTTTTTTTCTTTCTTTTTTGTCATCCAAGCCCGGTCAAAGGTGCAGACCTCACGGTCCTGTCCCGGCTTCTTCCTCTCTTATGTCACCTTCTCTGTACATATATTGTAGCAATCTTGACTGCAGTGGCCGTGGGAGTCACCACGATGAGCCCGCAAAAGTACTTAGCAAACACGAATGACTTCAAAATCAACGCCTTGCGTCTGTGAATCTGATCTGGCCTGTTCAACGTGAGGTATGATTTTGGGGTTGTAAAGGGGAAGCAATCTCCACATGGGCAGAGGTCGTTGAGAAGGTTCTCCCCACCTTAGTCAGCCTCCATCTATGGTTGGGGATGTCATCGTGAGTGGGTTATGGGCGTTATGCTTGATCATCTCTTGCACATCCAATCTATGCAGACTCAAGACTCTGAAGACTTCAAACTACATGATTCAACATGTCACATCAGTAGATTCATATCATTTGATACAATTACTCTATCAATAATCAATAGACATAACAACCGTCCGATGACCCGTGACCCGATGACCCGACGCCGTGACGAGCTGAACCGGAGGCCGTTATGTCAAGCCAACATGGCTGCATATCCCCAAGCTAGGCATGGGCCCCGGTCCCATACACACAAAGACGCCCGACGATTATTAAACTAGACCTGATCTCCTCGGGCGAGTTTGGTAATTCTCCCAGATCAGCTCTCCTCGTTTCAACGTCTTGATAGATGCTATCCTCAACAATTTGAGCTCAGATCTAGATTCATTTACTTAAATTCAAGTGTGAATCTCTTGTTTGGCTTACAACTCTTCATCTCTCAGTATCTAATACATCCCCATCAAATACACATCACAAGCATCCTACTCTGCCCATCATGGAGTCCTTCCTCGGCTTTGACCTCTCCAGAAACTACTCCTTCTTTGCGGTACACCACCCCTATTAATCTTATGAATACCCTCACTTACACATCCCAGGTCCCAGCAGCATTCTTCGTCATCGCCTTCCCACACATCTACGGCGTCCGCATCTCAGCTGGAACCTACGACAACGCCAACCCACGCTGTCACAAAGAAAATGTCGAAAAGAGTGACAAGCTCGACAAACCCGCAAGTCTCTCTCCCCCTTTCCGCTAATCTTCCCTCTAACACACGCCAGAAGAAGCAGCTCATCCTCCGCGCCAAGGCTGCTACGGAAAACGGCTTCGAGACCATCGGGTACTTCGCTGCTGGTGTCGCTGCGGCCAACCACGCGGGTGTGCGCGCTCCCGCCCTCAACGCCCTGAGCTTCGGCTACGTCGCCTGCCGCGCGGTGTACAACGTCGCCTACGTCTGGCTTCAGGCGGACCGTCGGCTGTGCTGGGTGCGCAGTGTGGTGTGGACCGTGGGTATCGGGCTCATCACGACGTTGTGGGTGAAGGCTGGGAACAGCATGTTGGCAGCATAGAGTGTGTAAGAGTAAAAACTGGCACGTTGTTAGCAACTGAGTATATCATACGTACCATAGGAGCAATCCTCCTGTAGATAATGTAACCAATACTGACGAGTGCTGGCTCGTTACCTTTATCTTCGGCCGCCATCTCGGCAGTGTAACTCACTCGCGTTTTTCCACGACACTGTCCTACCTCGCTTCTTGCCTCGGGGATAAGAGCCTTATGCATTCATCTACCGATTCCTTGGCTCCTTTTCACTCGAGTGTTTGCCCTTGATGTTTGCTGTCTTTTGTTGCAAGTATACAGTCGTCGTGGCCAGGTGTTAGAGAGGTCGTCGTCTATTGATCGGGCAAATAAGCTCCAATCACTTGCGCCATTAGCAATCGTGAGTCTCTCTTATCGAATCAGTTAATATTTGACCGAGTGCTATAGAAGGGCTGTGAAAGCCTTCATTCGCCCACTGATATAAACCATAAAAGACTCACTCGCCGTCGTAGACCATCTACTCGTCAACAGCCAACCTCGTTCAATTACAAGAGAACATCACTAGCTCCCACATTAAAAATCATACAAAGTCGACGAGATGCATCCTCTCAACTACTTCATTCCACTCTTTGCGTCGGCAGCGCTCGCCCTCCCTGGGGATGTAGGGCCAATAACCACCACCACCACGACCATCAAGTGCGACTACAAATACTGCGACGAGAAAGGCACTTCATGGTGCTTCCACTTTATCCCCTTCACTACAATCGACCCTACTCTCGGTCCTCTACCAGGCGAAACAAGAACCTCTATCGGTCTCTGCGGGAGCAAGGCAACCAACCCTGCGGCGAATTAGCATAGTCATGGCACAATTCACAGTGTCTTAGGCAGGGCATCAGATGGGAAAGACACAGGCAAATGTGGCAATGTGGGACACGGTAGAATTGGAACAAATCGAATAGCAATCGAAGCTCAGACTGTATCACCGTCTAGGTGTACGGATGTGTTCCAAAATAGCCCAACATGATATTCAAACCCCAGTACCGATGAATATGAAATGCGGTGATCCTTGTGAAACCGTTCAACCCAATATTCTAGGAGAAAAAGATGGTCCAAAATGCTATCCCATGACCCCTTACCCAGCGCCGATTCCATGCGAGTCCAATATCCAAGAGTTCAATGTAACCTAGCTCATCTCCGCCCCGCCAAAGCTCTTGTTCCTCGTCAACGTGGCTCGGTCTTGGCTTGCCCTTGGAAGCTGCTCATAGCTAGACTTGCGCCTTGAAAGTGGCCTCGGCCGGTTTGCGTCCTCCAATCCACCGTGGCCCTGCTCGGCTTCGAGAACGGCGTCAGCAGGCAACGAGGTGTCATCCTTTATCTTGGCCACGAAGAACGACGACACCAATACACAGGCGCCACCGAGCGCTAGCACAATAGAGATGCTATGGTCCCCTGGCGTGCCACGTGGCTTCTGCCAGATCTTAAAGATGATACTGGAGCCAACTGTCGCAATGATTTGGGGTGCTGCAATCGCCATGTTGTGGATGCCGAGGATGACTCCCGCTTGATCCACCTCTTCCTCTTCCGCATCGTTGCTTGATGCTGCGCTGTCGTTCGAAGGGCTACGAGCGGCCGCTGACGAGGCTTCACCGCTAGTCCCAGGGGCAAGTGTCCGGAGTTTCTGGGCACGAATCATGGCATCTCGGCGGCTGATCTCGGCGCTGATGATGGCCCATGGAGCCCACAGTGTCATCGCCCACGTGATGCCGACAAGACCGATCAACGTGGTAGCCGCCGCGACGGTTCGTACAAGCACGGTGCAGAACATGGATCCAGCAAACAGAATAAGCGACAAGAACCAAGCCCGCTTCAGGGTGAAGCCGGGGATCCTCAGTTTGCTCAACCACGAGGGACGTTCGTCTTCTTCGTCATAAAGACTCACGGCGCTCGACTCTCCAGGGGCGGTTATGGGCCGACTGTCGTACGTCGGAGCAATGAAGAATGGGAGGAAGACGTTGGTGAGCAGGCTCACGATCGAGTTCACGAGAAGGGCAAAGGTACCGATACGTGTCGCCTGTTCATAAAGCTTGTCGAGCTCGGCCGGAGTCATGTGAGGGTTCTCATCGAGGTATGGTTCAACGTAGATCTCCCCGATGTACGACGACGTGTAGAACAGCAGCGGGAAGAAGCCGACCCAGGCAAAGAACTGAACCTCGCATACCCTCTTGATCTGAAGCGGGAGTCGCTTTATGGACGTGAAGATGGTGAAGAAGAACGAGATGACGTTGGGCCGGTCCTTCTTGGGTGGTCCCTCGAGCCTAGGGTCTCGCTCCTTGATGATGGTGGTGCTGATGAAGATGGTCAAGCTAAGGAGAACGCTCGCAATGGCGCAGAGGACCTGGAACTGTGTCTTTCCGAGGAAGCCAATATGCTTTGGTAGATCGATGTACCCAGCAATATATCCCACAATATTGCCAATGCCCGTGATCCGGCTAGCCATGGCATTGGCAGCCTCTTGTTGATGAGCAGGTGCGCAGTCGACGATAAAGGCGCGGATGGCTGCCTGGACGGTGTTGATGGCAAAGTCGAGAACATATACTCCAATCACAGCAACCACAATAGTCGTAATCTTTACTCCTTGGGACTCGGGATCCGCGCCAAAGATGCCAAGGGAGCCAGCAACAATTTCTTTCGCCCAGGCAAGAAACATGAGGGAAATGACGGTAGCGACAGTACCGCCCACCATAAAGGGCTTCCTCTTTCCCCATGGCAGCCGGCAGCTGTCACTCAGCATGCCGACATAGGGTTGAACCAGTGTTCCAGTCAAGGGGCCAGCAATCCAGACCAGAGCCATCAAGGACTTGCTAAGTCCCAGAGAGAGCAGATATGGTGATCCATTGGATAGCTCAACGGACCATGCGATCTGAAGACCACCAATACTGATGGTCAGTAATATCAGGTACCAGATGCTCTTGGTGCTCTGCCTATCATCTTCATCACCGCGGTTCGCATTCCTCCCTAGAAGAGCATCTCCATCGGCGCTACTGTTGCTGCTCAACAGAGGTGATTGCTCATTGAAGCCTTCAGCAAGTCGATCCAGCGACTGATGCCTGGAGTGGCTGCCGGCGTCGACAGGCGTTCGCATCGAGGGAGAAGCAGCTTGGCCGCTGTCGGGGGTGGCTTCGGATGCCAACGTCATTGTGGATAGAACCGAAAGGCCGTGGCGGCCACGATCTTGACTTGGTTTATCGAGTTGAATGTAATTCTGCGAGGCTGGAAGCTTGGGATGTCAAGCCGGGGTAGTCGGGTTCCGGGAGGCGGGGCGTCAACGGGGTTTCGGGTCTAGCAGTTGCTACGCGTCGCTATCTGCAATATCGCAGAGACAGCCGTGATGGATTCATGTCCCGGGGACAAGGGTTACGAATGGATACGAGAGCGGATAATTCTTCTATGCCAGCGATTTTCGAGCTCGAGTCAAGTAGATTCCATCATGTGGACGAGGGAAAACTCACGCGACCGTGGCTCGTCGTAGGCAGGCGTGGCAGCTGAAGAGAGGCCGGCGCATGAGCGTAAGAGTGCGTCACTGGCCGCCAATAGCTGGTGACGTGAGTGATCAGCTCCGTTCCTGATTGAGTCCTTCTGGGACTTGCGTGCTGGCCTGGTATTGGTCCAGAGGCTAGCGATCCATGCTGGGTTGACGGCTCAAGGCGGCTGACCCCTTGCGGAGTGGCAGGTTGTTTTCTCACGGGTCTCGGGATGGCTGAGCCCGGAGGCTTCGTGGCCGGTGACTTACCCTGTAGCGACACATCGAACCGGTTAATTGTGAAGAACGGGGTCAGCGAACGCCAGGAATCATTATTACGAGAGACATCCTTCCCGTGATTTCCACTGCCATGTAAGCACGCGTGACGATGCAACCTGGGGTAGATGCAAGGGGCAGTAAAGTGATGCTGCTAGACGCTCAGGACAACACCCCGGATCTGCCACTTGGACGAAGCAAGGACGCCCACGAAAATGCATGACCGTTTCTACGACCTCACAAGAGCAGGATGAAATACCTACTACGTAGTAGACCACGGTACAGTTCCCACTCATGACACCTCACCGCCAAGTCAGGGTCTCCTCTCATCTCCAAGTATTCCAATCAGTCCCGCAGATAGCTCGTCAACGAGATGAATACTCACTCGGGCTAGCCCACGCCGAGATGGGTAAACAACCACGCTCACGTCATGCATGATAACTGTAGCGAACTGGAACTGGAACTGGGACTGGAACTGGATGAGGGGCCGCAAGAGGCCGGGGTCATGTACTATCCGAACTCCGAGGGCATCCTTGGACCCTTGGAGATAACCACCTGTGACGACTCACATCATTCCAAAATGGACACTCATGATCGCCTCTTCCCAAACGCCGTGGAAAACCGGGGTAAAGCCGCCACGTCGGACTTACTCCGAGGAGACAGGTCGAGACCTCAGGATTGGGCTTGGCTGCTGTCACTGCACTCGATGCACTTGCCCTGCGCTGCACGGACTGGTTGACGGGTTCCCCCAAGATGCATTTGCCGACCGAGTCCCACTAGACGTAGACGCAGATGCATTGAGTCGGGTCCTGGCGCACTAAGCGATGTGTTGCATCAAGCCAACCTGCAAGATTGAAATTGCTTTCCACGTGTCCAGCCAGTTTTCATCCGGTTGTCAGTTTCCGCGGCGTGGCCTCTCTCTCAAGGAGTGGCCGAGTACGTACAGAGCAATAACAAAAGATGGTGCTGCCAAGGACGCCGAGTGCGGGTGGCAAAATAACGAGAACGGGAACCAACGGCGGGGGAAACAACAGGATTGGGAAAAACCTTGAGAAGCACCGGGCCGGTGTCTGCCGAACGCCCAGAGATGGTGGTTGCTAGAGACGGAAGGAAAAGGACAAAGAGGGAGCCGGAAAACAAAGACGTTGAACCTTCTAGAGGATGAGCTAGAAGGGATCCGACGTTGAAAAATTCCGCCCCGAAGCTGATGAGCAAGCAGCAACAGCTCAAGATTGGGCGGTTGTTGAGAATGCGGCTGACTGAAGACCGCTAAAACAGGCTCAGACGTCGGCTGTGCCGGGCATTTTGGATGGAGATCGAATACCCGTCCCCCCGTCAAAAGATTTACACGGGCTCCAGGGCTGACTTTGATTGTCACAACCACGCAAGGTGACTCCCCGGGCGTTTCAATGGATGAATTGGATGCAACAGTCAATCGGAATGGCCAACTTTTCCCTACCACACCCTTGAAGGCATCCGATTTTTTCTTCCGTTTTTTCTCCCTTTGGGGGTGGCAACCGGGAGACCAACGGAACCAGCTCGGCGTTACCTTTTTCACGATGACGCTGCCAATAGTCAGTCAGTCTACAGTAGCGCGTTCTTTACGGTGCAAGCACCCCATCGTTCGTCTTGCTAAACCCCAAGAAATCCCCAACAGACAAAGTGGATGAGATGGAGGCCATCAAGAAGAGGGGGGAGGCATCATGTGGATACTGTTATCTGCGGGACCAAGGAGGACTCTCGACTCTGTCGCTGACCCCGTTCCTGTTCCTGGGGAATTGCAAAAGGTGTCATCAATGGATGTCAAGAGACGGCCATTGTTACACCATCAACTGTGCTAGCTGTGAGCGTCCAGAGGCGGCAGAGTTATTCTACCAGCTTCTCAACCGTCCCAGGGACGTGTCAACGACTGATACACGAGGCGGAACCTTCATTTCAGAGGTGCGCGCGCCATGCTTTGGTCGTGCATGCATGCCTTCTGGAAACGCCTACGGACATGTTCGGGTAAGTGAAGGATGGATGACAGGAAGGAAGCCAAATCTGGATGCCTATTCCAAGACGAATCCCGCGACAGGGTCGGCATCCATACAGCACCCCCTGTCGGAAAAGAAAAATTGAAACTACAGAAATCCCTATCTGTGCAGTACGTACCAAAACAACCGGCTAAAAAAAACCATCATCGCCTCCTTGATCCTGCCTGCCCCTTTGAGGCTGATGGGTGGCGTGGCGACAAGGCTTCTCCTGGCTGCTAGAAAGCCGGCCAAGGGGTTGCAGGCTCGCATCGATAGCGAACAAAAGAGCGAGAGACACAAGGTACCGACGTGTACCAGCTGCAACTCCCCCGGTCCCAACCAGCAGGGTTTCTCCATAGTCGCTCTGGCTGGCTTTGGCCGGCGCTGACCTCATTGCGCGGGCAAGCCCCGTAATGCGCCGCCGAAACCTCCGCCATCCTCCGCCTCACACTCTGCCACCGTCTGCGTCTCCACTGAAAATCCTCGTCCCGCGCCTCTCAGGCTTCAGGATTTCTGCGGCTGTCCCACGGAGCACGAGTCCCACGGACCCAGCGAAACGGGGGCCGACAGATGTACCTCTTGTACCCGCGATCCCTCCATCCACGCACCGTGGAAGCCAGGATCCTAGGGAAACCCAGGGTCCACCTCCACAGCCCAGGCTTCCAGGCCGCGGCCGGGGGGGCCACTTGGATGCCCTGGTTCTCGCCGAAACGCCCGTGTTGAGGGGTTTTCTCTATCTCTTGGGATTCCCTTTAAAAGTCCGGGCTGCTGCACTCGTTGTCTCGTCGTTTGCATTTCGATAACGCCCATTCCATCTGCTGGTTTGCATTGCATGCTGAGAAGCTTGTCAATTCCTTGCTTACCACACTGAATCACCAAATCAATTCACCCCACACACTTACACGCCTATTCCCTTTCAACAACAAGAAGAACAACAACGCGCACTCACTCACTCTCTCATCCACTCTCGCCTACCTATTCCACTTACAACACTCACATCAACATCACATCCACAATGGCCATCCGAGAACACTTCCGCCGTGCTCTGCGTTCCGACGCTTCCGGCTCTCAACTCGATGCTACTACTCCTGGAAAGATCACTGCCACCATCACAAAATCCAGCCAGACCAGCGACAAGTCGTCCTCATCAAAGTCTTCCTTTACAGAGAAGCTGTCTCGTGGCTGGACGTGGGGGTCCAACAACCGGGAGATCAAGGCCCGCAAGCCAAAGAACAAGGGCAAGAAGAAGATCGTCCACCCCAGCGAGAAGCCCTTGACGGCCCAGAACCTCGAGCACCAGGAGATGCTCTCTCACTTCCAATGGAATTTTGGCGCCTCCCGACCCGAGCAGATTGAGGATGATGACTTTATCGGCATCAGCCCCTGCTGCACCCGCGCTCCTAGCGTCGTCGACTTTGCTCTTGACCGCGACAGCGACAGCGATGGCCGTTCCTCATCATCTTCGTCCTCTTCCATCAAGTCGGATTAACTGATTCCCTGAACCGGCATGGTCGGCTTTGATGGATGGGCGGGCAATGCAACCGGGCACGCCGGATCTCGATAGGGCGAACTGCCAGAGTTCTAGAACCACGTTCCAACGACCGCCACCCACAACGACATCAACGCTACGCTACGCAGCAAGGCACACGCACACCGCTCACTTCGGTGATTCAACTGGGGCTGATCTTCGACATTGGGCCCCTCAATTCGCTCATCTTCTTTGATCCCAACTGGGACTGACCCCCATGTCACCTCACGGTTTTCACCGATTGGGTGACACACTCCATCTCCAGATCAGCGTCCGTCCCAAACAGGGACAGCAACTGACGATCACGGGGACAGTCTCGCCTTTAGCGGGTACTCCTTTTCAACATCACTTCCTTCTTCCCAAGTTATGCCTTGGCAATGAATTACAAAATAAAGGCAGCCAAACAAAAGCAGTGCGCATTGGCTGTCTTTCATCGCTGGGACGATGAAATAATCCCTTATCCCCGGCTTCGGTGTCTCATCCACCGAGCCGCATGATTGACACAGAAACACCACAAGAGAGTGGTACGAATTGCATTTTTGGATTTAGCGATTGGCATTGGGAGGTTTTCTCTGCATAAGCATTTCGGTCATGGTTTGGGCAAAAAACATAGACCAGATATGAGGGCGTTCAAATTGAATAGACCTTGACAAAGGCTTTTACAATCTTTAACACATTGTTTCCAAGCTCATGTGAAGTCTCAAGTGAAATCTACAAGTGAGCGGCTCATACTGGATCCTTAACTAGGGAACGATGCAGCATAGCCTTGGATCTGCACCTGTAGCTGTGCACTCAGTCTGATCAGATATGCATTCATTCATTGGTCGCTGAACCTGTCGTGTCTGCCGTGAGGCTCAGCTGGACCCAGAACCCAATCAACAAAGAAGTGCACTTTACACTGCACGGTGTGTTGGCCCTACTCGTTCAAACGAAAAATGCCCAAGCCGTGGCCCAAAATGCATTTTTGAAGCCATGAATGGCCGAAATTCCCCCAAAAAATGAAGCTTTGATGCTCTCCCCTCTTTCGACTGCACCTGCGCAGAATTCGGCAGCCCCTCTGTGACCAGAGAATGCGGCTCTCGAACGTCACTTCCGTTTACATCACAGCCGTGCCGTGATTCAGCCAGATGCTTCTTACAATCGGCCTTGATTGACTGCCTCAGGAATAGGCAGTAGGCGATCTTGATTTCAACGCCGCCGCTTCCACCTTTGGCATCCTCACCTTCAACATGCACCAGCGCGCGCCCTCTCCTCTCCTCCGCCCCAACAACGTCGCGCAGCATCGTCATCTCTATCGTCGCAATGTCGAGCAAGTCTTGGTACGCTCTCAAGTCCAAGTCCGCGCACACGCGGTACGGCTTGTCCAAGAATATTCAGACACTTCTGCACGGCTTGGATAGGTATCATGAGGGCATCATCGACGCGAGGGAGCTTGGGAGCATGGTCCGTCTGAGCCCTAAACGGCGAGAATCGGTGGCCACCACCATTTCTAAATGCGCCAACATGATCAAGAAGGAACCTGAAGAGCTGAAAACATGCCTCGACATTATTGAAATGTGCACCGAGATTCTTGAGATCGCCGGTAGGTGCTTGCTGACCAGCAGTTCGCGCAACTCGCTGACCATGGTTGACTTCCAGACCGACCACCACCAATCGACGGATTCCCCTTTATGAAGCTGCCGCCCGAGATTCGAGAAGCTATCATCGACTTGATGGTCGACACAGTCTTCAAGTCTAAGGGAATCAGACCGGCCACCAAACGAGTGTCCTGCAATTGCCCGAGGCTCGAGCGAGAAAACAGTTCCTTCCAGAGTACGCAGATGAAAGCGCTACCATCTCTTCTCGGCCCTGCTCTAAGCAACGAGTTCTTCCGTATCTTCCTTCGCAAGAAGTCGGTCCGTTTCCGCTGCTGCTGCGAGCTCGAACACCACCTCACCCACAACCCCATGCTTGTCAAGAACGTCCGAGATATCAAAGTTCACTGGTGCGGGCCAAGGTCTGCGACAAGCTTCAAGAAGCTGGTCGAATGCGATAAACTTGACAGTTTGACCATCAATATTTCCAAATCGACATTGGCACATCTCAGCAAACGTTCCAACCTGATGAAGACCTACTTCCCCCTGTCCTACCGACATACCAGAATTACCGACGTTCTTGGGTTGGATGAACTGTTGACTCTCCGAGGTCTCAATGAGGTGGCCGTGGTCCATCTTCAGTCAAAGACGACCAACCTCGCCCAGGAGACGGACAGAGCTAGTCTTGCGGAACTTTTGGCGAGCCAACTCAAGCAAGACAAGGTGAGATCATGTACGCAGAGCAGGTCGAACCTGAGCTGACATGATAGGGGTACGATCCTTTTGAGGACATGTAACGAGCTAATCGAACACTGATGGACGAAACTGGTATTGACGACTATACGATCTTACGATGGACATTCACGAACTGGCATTTCTCACAATTGGCGTTGAGGAGGAATTAGAAGAGAACATGGCCCCTTTTCATGGACGATATGACTTTCACAAGTCTGGTAATTATGAGGGTCTAGCGAACATAGCGCTCAATAGGACAATCCACAGGATTATGGTTGAGATGTAACAACAGATAAATTACGGGAGGCTCCATTTGGTGAAAACACTAAAGACCCCGTACTCAAAAAACGTTGCTGGATTGTTCTTGTCTCATACCTACACAAGTGTGGGCATCCGGCTCAAGATCAGTCGTTGTGACTGGGCTGATCGAGCAATGGCAAAAGACGGCTGAACAGTTGGCTTGTAGCAAGCAATTGTAGCAAACCTACCGTTGAGAGATACGCAAGTCTCGAATAAGGGGCTCTAAATTGAGAGCCGTAGAGCTTGCCGAGCGAGTCTCGGTGCGCACATCATGGCGAACTTGTTTGCCAAAGTGTAAAGGAGGTCATGCCAGAGATGACCCAGTTGAAAATTTGAAGCGAGGTTTGACAGGGGGTTAAGCAGTGTAGCACTGTGTAAAGACCCACAGTCTTGTGCTGAGACGGGTTGCGATTTCAATGTCGACAGCATGAAAAGCTGATGTTTTCAATGCCTTGTGCGGTTTCGATAATGATGAGCATGTAGAATGGAACCACGACGGTCATATCTTTGCGTGTCGCTCGAGGATTGTAAATGTGCTGGGTGGTTGGCTCGCTCAGGCAAATAATCACGTGACTACTAAAACCGTTGTGAGCCTCTCGTCTAAGGCAGAAATACAGTGCATCAAGAAAAATGGAGATCACTGTGTGGACGCGTGATCTTTCACGTGCACACAACAACAGCAAGTTGTGCGCTCTTGCCCTAGCACGGTCCCCACAAGTGTGAATTTCTCGACCCCCATAAGCGAGGGCTTCCTACTCTTCTATCTTTCCACACCCGATCATCGAATTCAACGAGCAACGGCAACGACCGACAGAGTTGCCCATCATGTCGCTCGTCTCGGGAGAGAAGTCGAACTTCCAGTTCGTAAGTCATCCCTCTACCTCTCCAGCACTGCATCTTCGAAATCGACAACGTCGCTGCGCGCGCCTGCGCTGGCGCCATGGCCGGACGCTCATTTTGCATCGAAATCGATCACGACGGGAAGCATTTGACAGGATGCTAACAATGGGTAGATTCTCCGTCTTCTCAACACCAATGTCGACGGAAAGCAGAAGGTTATGTACGCCTTGACCAAGATCAAGGGTGTCGGCCGCCGATACTCCAACTTGGTCTGCAAGAAGGCCGATGTCGATCTGAACAAGCGGTACGACCATCCACACACACGCAAGCGAAAGGAGAATAAGCAGACTGACAATGCCTCACAGTGCTGGTGAGCTCACCTCTGAGGAGCTCGAGCGAATCGTCACCATCATCCAGAACCCCACCCAGTACAAGATCCCCACGTGGTTCCTCAACCGACAGCGCGATATCGTCGATGGCAAGGACTCCCACATTCTTGCCAACGGTGTCGACTCCAAGCTCCGTGAGGATCTCGAGCGCCTCAAGAAGATCCGCGCCCACCGCGGTCTCCGACACTACTGGGGTCTCCGTGTCCGTGGTCAGCACACCAAGACCACTGGTCGCCGTGGCCGGACCGTCGGTGTCTCCAAGAAGAAGGGTGGTTAAAGATATTATCGGTGTTGGTTACGGGTGGACAGGCGTGACGGCTGGTTTCTCCATCTTTCTGAGCATTTTGAGGGGATTGCTTTCCGGCATGCGCAGCTAGGGCTGTACTCTAGGTCAGAGTCACGAATCAAAAGCATTCAAGTAAAAATGTTCTCAAGGAAAGACGTGGAAGGGTTGCTTTCTGGCACATTGTGATATTTATGGTCAAACGAAGTCCACGACGACGAAAAAAAAAAGGCGTCTTGCCAGGGAAGGGGTACATATTGCAGGAGCAAAAGGGTATCACTGGTTTCTTCTTTCAACCTCTATTTAATCCTCGTGTGTGACGGCCATATCCAAAACCTCTACCCTTCCTTGTCCCTTTGTCTCATTTCCGATAAAGTCGGACAGGGCTTTGAAGGCTCCTGGCTCGACGAAGCCTACTACTTCCCATTCGGAGCCCATAACATCCTGGCTCTCTACTTGCTCGACGTAGCTTAGGATCTTGTCCTTGACTGTACCGACAGCCTTTTGCTCGCCGTCTTCGTCCTTGTTGCCTCCCTTGGGCCCCTTGACGGCTTGCTTGAGGACGCTGGTTGTGCATGCAATTCGTAGTCTCATGCGTGCTCTGGCCACGGGAATGGGCTGATGAGAAATGAGGGCTTTCATGGCATCCAGGGCCTGACTCTTTGCGCTCTTTGTTGTACTGACACCAGTCCAGTGGTGCTCCTTGGGCCTGGGCTTAGCCTCACCGTCGTCACCCGTCGCAGGCGTGCCGGTGGCGCTCTTGTCGGGGGTCGAGGTATGCGCCTGGGAACTCAGCATGTCGAGGGCTTTCTCGATCATGCCCGATGTGTAGACGCGCTTCGTCCGAGGGTCGACCAGCTTGCTAGCGACGATGCTAATGACCTCATTGTGGACACGCTCCAGCTGAGCGGCTCTCTCCTTCTCGCCGACCTGCATCTCTCCCTTTTTCAGAATCTCGAGGATGATGTCGTCGGTGGCCTTGCCCTTGCCAAAAGCCTTGTCGAGATCCTCGCGGGGCGCCGTCTGACCCTTGGAGACGTTGAGGAAGACGTTTGGAATCTGCAGGACATTGTCGAGGTCCGTCTCGATGCCGGAGCGCCACTCGAGGACCTTGTTCTTGTAGCAGGCGAGCTCGAAGCGCTTCTTGCCCTTCTTGAGTCGCACGAGCGAGACGTTGGTGAGCTTGATCTGGTTCGAGGGCTGGTTGATCTGGCGAGACATGGTGGGCGATCGTATGTGTAGTATTTAGATGGAAAGGAATATGCGATAGTGTAAAAGACAGGATGCCGGACGCTGCATAAAATGGCTTGGGGACGTTGGACGAGTTGCAAGTTTTATAAATGGGTTTGAACTGACTTTTTTTCTGCTCTGCTTGACCCCGCCATCAAGGCACAGCACAGACAGGATTTCTTGCTGCGTCACGCCCCGCATCAGGTGAAAGCCTGGGCTTTTCTTGTCATACTGAGTCACATCAGCAATATACAATTTGGTCGTTATGAGTCAACATAGAATTCGGTGACTTTTTTTTTACTGTTGCTCAGAATATTGAGATGTGTTCAGGATTCTTGACTTTTAGCTTTTCGCTTTTGTCGTGTATGCCTGGCGAGAAGTAAACTGAGGACGTGCATGTTATAGGTTTGGCTTCGGAAGAATTCAAACATATACATCTTGAGGATGCTATGCTGGTTAACCTTGGAGTAATGTAGTTCATGTTCCTTCAGCTAGGACTGGAATAGTAGATCGAATTGTACTTGACTGGCTGTTTGCATGTGAGATTGGATACTTGTCGGTGTACCCCGGTCTGCATATTCTCCATACCGCAAGTCTGCCCCATTCTCGACAACAACCTACGGACAGAAGTTAGGTATGTAACTTGAGAACCGTTCTTTTGATTAAAAGGTTCGATGACCTGGGAGCAGTTGAAGAGCAACCCAACAGAAATGCCTTGACAATATCGTGTCCCAGAGTTCTTGCCTGTCAGTTTGGGCTTGCCAACGGTGAAGAATTGAAGGTTACTAACACCAGTGGCTACCTACCTGAGATGCATACCGCCTTAGCCTGGCAACATAGGCTACGCAAGGTATAGAATCCTCTTCCGAGATTCGTATGCGATTCATGGATTCAAAGCCATGGGAAGCATGGGGTGTCGGATGAAACCATGGGAGTGTTGCAGGCAGCCTAGCTGTCGCAATGCACATGCAACAAGTGTAGCTCTCCCAATGAGGCAAAGTGAAACCGAACCCATGGTCATTACGAAGGCCAACCAAGAGTTGACGTGTCGCATCGACATGCGCCTCTACTGTGCTGTAGTTGGGGTAGCTTGTCAGCGGTACACCGTGGCTTCGCAGCCTTGTTCAGCCATTCGGCATCCAATCCGCATGATCCGAGTCTAATCGCGACTTATCAACCTCGACGCGACAAGTCAAGCTGTTGCTCTTAGCGAGAGGCGTCTAACCGTGCTGGAGCAGCCAACGCGCCCAGGACTAGAACCAGAGTCCCTTGCCGTGTCTAACAACATGCAAACACAATTCGGTACAATTTAATACTGAGAAAACCCTGTTTGAAACTGATTCCCATACAGAGTCAGTGACGAACTCAATATCTCACCCAGCCAAGGCGAACTCCGAGATCCTAGTCGCCCCTTGGCCCGCGCCGCGTGCTTAGTGCGTGCATTATCAGCGTGCCTGAGGCTGCGTATCAGCACTTACGTCATGTAACCGGTACCGGCTGGATGTCTGACTTGACAAGCCGCAACCGCCGAGATGCTGTGAGACAATGACTTGGAGGACTGGATAGACAGAACGATGCTCTCATCTACAGAGACGAACAAGTCGACTAATAGCTTCCAGGCCCGGAGAACAAGGCCCGTAGAGGTGTGCGCGCAATCGACGATTCATCAAGGTCACAGCACCAGCCTCAGATAGCGCACTCGAGTCACGTTATCAGCAGAGTGGGTCCTGAGTTGTCCGCTTTCCCCACTCGGGTAACAGTCCTGCCTGGAATGGCCCCTGCCGCTAGGGAAGCATAGCCGCTGCGCGGGGTGATTGGGTCACCTGCAGGTTGCTCTGGTGTCTCAGACTGTCGGAGCTTGCCCATGTTATTATGCTCGTTCCTCTCGCTCGCTCTTCCAACCTCTTTCATCTTTCAACATCTCCATCATCTATCTCATCACCATAACTCCCTCCGCCGGTCATCGTCATCATCAAACAGGGTCTCGTGTCACTGAGTCCATCCCCCAAAACAAACCATGCGTTTGTCCACCTCCGCCCTCGTCCTGGGCGCTGCGTCGTCGGCCGTCGCCTTCGACCAGAAGGTCCTCGGCGACCTGAAGAAGCCCGCCATTGATCTCGATCTGAGCTCATGGTTGAACTTTGGTGAGGAGATCACTGCCGAGGCCAAGGCCGTCTGGGAGGAGGTCTCTATGCTCGCTCCCGACGCTGTCGAGGCCTTCAAGAAGCAGGTTATCGGCACCAAGCCCAAGAAGGCCAACCGCCGCCCCGACAACCACTGGGATCACGTCGTCAAGGGCGCCGATGTCCAGTCCATCTGGGTTGACAAGAACAACGAGAAGCACCGCAAGGTTGGCGGAAGACTCGACAACTACAACCTCCGTGCCAAGAAGGTCGACCCTTCCAAGCTCGGTGTTGACAAGGTCAAGCAGTACAGTGGTTACCTCGATGACGAGGAGCAGGACAAGCACCTCTTCTACTGTAAGCTTTCAAATAGCCCAATCACACGTGAATCTCGCGCTAACTTTTCCAAGGGTTCTTCGAGTCGCGCAATGACCCCGAAAACGACCCTGTCGTCCTCTGGCTCAACGGCGGCCCCGGCTGCTCATCGCTGACCGGTCTCTTCCTCGAGCTCGGCCCTGCCTCCATCAACAAGAAGATTGAGATTGTCAACAACCCTTGGTCTTGGAACAACAACGCTTCCGTCATCTTCCTTGACCAGCCCGTCAACGTCGGTTACTCGTACAGTGGCGGCTCCGTGAGCAACACTGTTGCCGCCGGCAAGGACATTTATGCCCTTCTTACCCTTTTCTTCCACCAGTTCCCTGAGTATGCTAAGCAGGACTTCCACATTGCTGGAGAGTCTTATGCCGGTCACTACATCCCTGTCTTTGCCAACGAGATTCTCTCCCACGAGGACCGCAACATCAACCTGAAGAGTGTTCTGATTGGCAACGGTCTCACCGATGGCTACACCCAGTACGAATACTACCGCCCCATGGCCTGTGGCGAGGGTGGCTACCCCTCTGTCCTCAGCGAGAGCGAGTGCCAGTCCATGGACAACGCTCTCCCTCGCTGCCAGTCTCTGATCAAGGGCTGCTACGAGTCCGGCAGCGCCTGGTCTTGCGTGCCTGCCAGCATCTACTGCAACAACGCCATGATGGGTCCCTACCAGCGAACTGGCCGCAACGTCTATGATATCCGAGGCAACTGTGAGGATAGCTCCAACCTGTGCTACTCTGGTCTGGGCTACATCGCCGAGTACCTCAACCGCCAGGACGTTCAGGATGCTCTCGGTGCCGAGGTCAGCAGCTACGACAGCTGCAACATGGACATCAACCGAAACTTCCTCTTTGCTGGTGACTGGATGCAGCCTTACCACCAGGTCGTCCCCAACCTGCTTGAGAAGATCCCCGTTCTGATCTACGCTGGTGATGCCGACTTCATCTGCAACTGGCTGGGCAACCAGGCCTGGACCAACAAGCTCGAGTGGCCCGGTCACAAGGACTTCAAGAACGCCGACATCAAGAACCTTAAGGTCGAGGGCAAGGAGTACGGCAAGATCAAGACGAGCGGCAACTTTACCTTTATGCAGATCTACGGCGCCGGCCACATGGTCCCCATGGACCAGCCTGAGGCGTCTTCTGACTTCTTCAACCGCTGGCTCGGCGGAGAGTGGTTCTAAACTGGACCCGAGTTGTTGGGAAGTTTTAACTTAATACTTGAGTGATTAGATGTACACTGCGCGAGAGATTGCTAGGGCATGATTTGGATTACACGCGAGAAGTGGGCATTCGGTATTCGCAACGGCGGCTATTTGGCCGATTATCAGATACAGACATGAATTTAACACGCACATTATGAAACGACATATTGGAGACATCACCCATTATTTTGATGAGATTGAAGCCATTGCATGCCATTGCTTGACAGAATCCTTGACTGAAGCATGTGTACGGATGATGTAGGGAGCGGCCGAAACGGAATCGGAGTGTAAGAGTAGAAGCCGTTTCGAAGTCCGACGGTGGTTCAGGTCTCCACTCTCGGCCGAGCGGCGGCATGTGGAGGTGAAGACAAGGTGGAAGGAAGGTAAGATGCACTGAATATGACCTGTTTTTCTGTGAGTGATGCCAAAATGGTAAAAGGCGGCTACACGAGTAAGAAAGTTGGGCTCGAAAATGAGGATTTTTGGTCCTGAGTGGGCAATTCGTGCCAGAAGCTGAATTGAGTGAGGGCTTTCCCGTTTAGGAAGGAAGCTACCGTGCCGAGGGACGACGGGAGGTGGGTGGTGGATGGGCGGGATGCCGGTAAGGCAAGGTACTGTAGACCTCTGGTTGTCAAACACCACACCTTGTTCAGGCCCAGGTCGCGTGGGCTTTGCTGTGCCTTGTGCGGGTAACTTGGTACGTGTTGGATAAAGACGTCCCATCGGATGGATCAGATCCACTAGGTGCGAAACTGGCTGGGGCAGGGTGCAGGCCCGGGACTGGATCTTGGGAGGCGGAGGAGGCGCCGGGAAGAGGAGAAGATGCGCGGCCGAGAGGCAATGGGCAAGGAATTGTAGATTTGTTGAGGATCTTTGGGAGGGGAGGGGAGGGGCCGGTGAGAGCCGCGGCTCGGCGGAGAGACAGAGAAAAAGTCCTGACCTTTTTTGCGAGCGCAGAACGTTACAGAAGCATCCCTCCATTGTCTAAGAGAAGCGAGGAACGTGAGATCTGGGTAAAAAAAAAAAGGGGACAGGGCCGCCTTGCGAGACGCATGTGATTCTAGCTAGGTAATGATGGAGGTGAGGCAGGGATTGCATTGACGTTGGAACAAACTACAGATCACGCACACTCACACTCACAGCTACGAAGAACCAGAGTAAGTAAAGTTGCACCACGAAGCTCGCCATTATCAATCAGAGCGTGATGCGGCTGACGTCTGGTCTGAGCGCTGCGATTACGGCACATACACAATCAGCACATGCGCGTGGAACATTGCATTCTTGTTCTTTGTGTTTCTATTGTGATAGTCTCAGTTGTCGTCGACAACACTTTTTTCTGTGTCTACCGGATTCACACGACTACCGAGAAACGAGACAAGTTTCTTTCTAGTCGAGGTCCACAACGGACATTGCATTAGCGCCTCCCCAACAAAAAATGGCTGCGAGATGCCATGCTGTGTGTGTGCGCGCCTCTGTTTGGCCGCCGGACGGACAGACGCACACCTTGTTCACAGATTTGGGGCGCATCCCCGTGTGCGGTGCCCGCGAGGTCCCGGTCGATATCCAGCACCTTTCGGGGCGGGACCAGGACGGTGCGGAGCAGGTACATATTTTGGTGAGGGTATACAGAGAGGCAAGTAAAAGACACCGGTGTCGGAGTGGACAGAAGAAAGAGAACCCCCAATATCAATCAGTAGACATCAGATCAAGAACCAATTAATCGACCTTCTGGAAAATCAGTTGACGTCCTTCAGAGCTGAAGCTGAGTGCGAGCCGCGGTTCAATGGTAGCCCTCCAGGGTCCCCTTGCCTTGCCTGCGAACCCCACACACCCACAATCATCACCACCACGGAGCTCCGTCTTGTGCCACGCACCAATATCAGGCACGTCGTAGATATTCCATGAATGTTATGATATTGTCGAGAAACATAACAGAGAGTGAAAAGGAGTTTCGTACTGGTAAATGTGGCACAGCATAGTGTTTACAAGCGTCTTATCAACTTGAAAACGAGGAATAGATAAAGACTCCCCAACCTGTTTGCCATCATGACGACTACACTACAAAACCAGGCATGAGACAATTTATCCCAGCTGATCCAGATCTTTTTACCCCACGCCTTCCGTCACTCACTCACTCGTTCCTACGTCCGTATCCGTACAGCTCAGACAAGTTGACAGGCAGGCGTTTTATCCCCTCTAAAAACCACGGCTTTGATAGGCCCAATGGAGCCAGGCAAGCACCGCCGGAGCACCCTGGGTACCTCCTACCTCTTGGCTTGCCTTGTGCGCGGCCAGCAGCGGGTGCAAGGCGACACCGGCAGGTGCGAGCTTTGCCCATGTTCTTTTTTCTTTGCCCGGGGCCTCTAACAAGGTCCCTTTTTCCTTTTCCTAGACCCTTCCATTCCCACCCCCCGGCTCTTGAGCAGGGGTTCTTCAAAAAAGAGGCCTTCTTTCTTTGATCTTTAAAAGAAGAAAATCGGCCTCGTCTTCTTGTCCTCGACTTTCCTCGTCGAACTTGTTCTCATCCCTCGTCTTCTCTTGCCTCGAGTGTCACGGACCCTTTGTCGTTGTTTGCGACTTCTCTACTTTGGGTCTTGTTATAACCAAACCACCTCTTTTACTTCTCTTTTCCTCATCCTCGTCACCTACACTTCACGTTCCGCCGACAACGTTACCCCACGAGTTGGCTATTAGGACGTTGAAGGAACATATCCTCAACACGTCTCAACATTTCAGAGACTCAACGGGTGTGACATCATCTTGGTCACGACGCATAGTCGTCCTAGAAAAGCCACAGGCCTTGAACAGCTTGGCTACCTCTCCTGAAGGCATTGCCTATTAGGAGCTGTTAAGCAGTCCAACGACATCAATTGACGACTAGACGGCCGAATTTATTACTCTCGCCTACCAAAATCACCAGAACCACATCAGCCGTCACCATGGCCGAGTATCTTCACCTGATCGGCTCGGCGCCCGACTCCAGCCTCTTCAGCTTTCCTCCCACAAATGCGCCGGCCCCAATCCCTCCTGTCGACGTTGCCACATCCATCCTGCGCCCATTCAACATCCCTGGGCACATCTACACAGCTGCTCTCGACGCCAAGGTCCCCTTGACCATTGCTACCCTCTACGCTGTCACTGTCAAGAGCCTCAACATCTACAACAAGTCTCACGGCAAGAAGGCCTGGGCAATCAGCAAGACCGGTCCCTTCCGCGTCTTTGTCGTCCTCCACAACATCTTTCTCGCCGTCTACTCGGCATGGACTTTCTGGGGTATGCTCGGTGGTATGAGGAGGAGCATTCTGAACCCAACCGGTCCTCAGGGTCTTGCCGGCACCGCTGACAGCTTCTGCCGCCTTCACGGCTCTCAAGGTCTCGGAAACTCTGTTTACTACAACGAGACCTCGAGCACATTTGTTACTATTTCTGAGCATGCCCCCATTGTCAATGGCCTTCCCAGTGGCACAGAGGCGGGCCGTCTCTGGAACGAGGGCTTGGCTTACTATGGCTGGATCTTCTACCTCAGCAAGTTCTACGAGGTCCTTGACACCTTCATCATCCTTGCCAAGGGAAAGCTTAGCTCTACTCTGCAGACCTACCACCACGCCGGTGCTATGATGTGCATGTGGGCTGGCATGCGCTACATGTCTGCTCCCATCTGGATGTTTGTCCTGGTTAACTCGTTCATTCACTCTCTGATGGTACGTTGTCTCTCGCAATGCTCAAACTCATAAACTAACTTGGTTCCAGTACTTCTACTACACTCTGACTGCTTTCTCGATTCGGGTTCCTACCCCCATCAAGCGCACTCTCACCTCGATGCAAATTACTCAGTTCCTTGTTGGCGCCTCTTACGCCATGGCTCACTCCTTCGTCTCTTACACGGTTCCCATCACCATCACTCGCACGCAGACACACGGCGATGCGGCTACTGCTACTTCATCCGACTCGACTCTCGAGACTGTTGCTGCTAGCGCCATTGAGTCACTTAGGCAATTTATCTGGGGAGCTGCTGAGGCTGCTGGCGGTGAGCCCGTCGTCTCCCAAGCTGCCGGTGCCCACAGCACCGTGACCACCGAGACTCGGTATATCACTCAGCCTTGCGTCACCACGACCGGCGAGACCTTTGCCATCTGGCTCAATGTGTTGTACCTCGCCCCCCTGACGTATCTTTTCGTCAGCTTTTTCATTGCCAGCTATGTCAAGCGCAGCAACGCTGCAGGCAAGATCTCTCGAAAGGGTGCTGCCCCTGATGTTAATGCCAACGTCGCCCTCGCCGAGAAGGCTGGCTGGGATGCTGCCAAGGGCCTCGAGAAGGAGATCTACAATGGCGAGAGCATGGTCAACGGCTCTTCTGATGAGGCCTCGCGGGCTTCAACTCCCAAGAAGTCCAATGGCAAGTCTCGAAGAAAGGCTTAAAGGTGCTATCTACAGGATAGCGAGTAAGCCATGATGGAACGCGGTAAAAGAATATGACGGGCTTGGAATGCCCTTTTGGATGGACACGACGTGCTCTCTTGGCCTGTTTTCCTAGCGTATAGACGGAAAAAGCGTGGATGTTTGTGTGTTTATTTATGAGCGTTATAGGATTTATGGTGAAAAGAGAGATGAGAAGAGAAGAGAGAAAGGCGTTATATCACATGTCCACCGGTTTCCTCTTATATATAGATCTCCAATCCTTGGACCAATCTCACATGGAAAGACTTGCTCCATATTGCCATGCCCTGAACAACTACACCCGGCTCATGTAGACTAGGTTCTGCTATATGTCTGAAACTCTATGGAATGTGCTTGAGAATGGGTAAATGTTTAACCAAGAAGGTGATGCTGCCTCAGGGCATGGATGTCGGTTATCCCCAGAACTACCCTTTTCCTTATCATTCACGTCACAAAACACATGCTGGGAATGAACCAAGTTTAGGGAATGTTATGATTAACTACTAGTCGTAACGACAAAGTCCAGCCGAAAGAGGCCAATTGACCATCTAGATTCATCAACATCGTCAATTCCCTCCAAAGTGTGTGTGCCACGCGTGGCATGCATGCAAATCGGTATCCTATCCTCGCTCATCTATAACTGCTGCTTGTGCAGACCCTTGCCTTTGACGCCATCCAGAAAAAAACAAATCATTAACTATGTGACTATGCAAAGTCAGGCATTCACTCTTGCTCGCAAGAGGACCAATCGCCAACAAGGAGGCTCATGCATGGCCTAAGGCTCGGAAATAGAATTCCAGGAACAAAAACCGCAAAAGAGCAGGTCGGGTGACCGTGCTTTCCAAGACGCCTCGCTTTGAATAATAACAATTAAAAAAAAGGGCAACGGAGCAGAAACAGGGACGCGCCAGAGGAACCAAGGCTCAAAGAACGGCCGACGGGCCGTCCCCAGGCACTCAGGGGTGGTTGTGTGTGGGGTGATTGGGAGACCACCCAAAGGGCGGGCGGTAGGATGGGGTGATTGGCGGGTTCTGACTGGGAACTGAGTCGCTCGTCGTTTGATTTCTATCAATCTATCGTCGTTCTGTCATGGCTTCGTGAAGCTGACGGGCTTCGGGTATCTCATTCTGCCATTTGGGGCAGGGGTGGTGGTAATGTTAGGGTAGTGGGTGAACGTGGTGCGATCGAGTATGATCGGAGGCTTTGTAGACCGCAGTCCAGCCAAGGACACTCCATCCCTCGATGGCCAGCCGTTCCGTAATTGTGTGTCGGGGTTGCGAGTTCTTAGAAGGTGCTCCAGTTCCAATCCCTAGGTACACTGGCAGCAACCTCAGGTCCTCGGGGAAGCCCGGAGGCATCACCCTGTCCGCCAGCGGCAATGGGAGTGGACTTGACGGGGTTGGGGGCATCCGAAGAAGCGGCGCTGGAAGCTCGGCTGCTGTTACGGCTGTACCAGTTCTTAAACTCCTCGAAGCAGTGACGACAGGTACGGGAAAGGGGGGCCCGAGGGTTGAACTGAGCGTCCTGGTCGAGAGGAGCAGCAAAGGTTGAGTGGAAGTCGCAGAAGATGTTGCCACACTTTCGGCAGTGGTGGCGGCGAGTAAAGTAGCTGAAGGTGCGCTTGCAAGTCGGATCGTCGCAGACGGAGGATTGAGAGTCGGGCTGAAGGGCACATGTTAGCCCAGTCCGGGCACGAAATCGGAATTGAAGCAAGTGATGGGCGTCCGGGGAAGTGAGACAAAGGCCTTGTGTCGCACAAGACGGGAACGTTGAATTCACTTGAGACAGTGGCGCCTCAAGGGGGATGCTGTGCGAGGGATGCCGCGTAACAAGTCGCGGGTGGTTGAACTCACCTTCCAGTGTTTCCGGCTGGGCAGAGCCGTAACCTCGGGGAACATTTCGAGATCGAAGTCGCCGTCGAGGCTGCTTCGGGTGCTGTCGCCGGTAGAGACGCGGGAAAGTCGGTTGTTGAAAACAGACATGCCAGGGAGGTTCATGATGCTGCTGTTGGTGCGTCGCAATGTGGTGTCGGACTCGGTGCTCGAAGCGGAAGCGGCATCATCCATAGACTTGTTCTGAGCTTTCTTGGAAGGGAACAGGTTGGGACGGAGAGCTGCAGGCATGTACATGGGGCGGACTTGACGCGCTTGTTGATAAGCTCTCGGCGAGGCGGGGTTTGAAGAAATGGAGTCGGGGCTTGTAGATTCGTGCGTGTTGATGGGCGAAATCTGAGGGCCGACTGAGATTTGATACGACTGGTTGTGCTGAGAGCGCTGCTGAGGGAAGAAATGACGGGATTGCTGGTCGCCCGGGATAGTGGGCATGATGAGGTCGGCGGCCATTATGGCGGTTGATGTCGAGGATCGAATACGTAAGGTGTAGTGTCGGCTTGTGATGGTAGATGTTGTATCGACGATGGTGTGGTTGGTCGCAGTAGACAGACAAGGAAACAAGATGCTGTTTGGGGGGAGGCTCTGTTATTGTAGGTCGTCCAGAGGAACGGGTGAGGTCGGTACGGTAAGCAGGTAGGGGTGGGGAGACGAGTGGCGGATAGAGGGGATATATGATGAGCCTTTCTTTGATGGATGGCAGATGTACTGCGTAGGTACTCTGTGTACTGTGGCTCGAGCAGAGGGTGAGGGAAGAATGAAGGGCGGGCCAAGCCAGAGTTTAAACCAAACCAACCAAGGAGGGAGCAGATCTTGGGCGCGGGCGTCGCCGTCGCGTGGGAGGGATGGGGGGGAGGGATGCGCCGGAGCTGGGAATGGAGATGGGATGGGGATGGAGACCGGGGGTGGATGGTACGTACCTCGACTCCGTCTGCAAGTATTCCGGAGAGTCGCAGCAGAACTGACTGGGGATCCTAATTTTTAGCGCGAGACCGGGATGTGCCCTCTTGGATGGAGGCGGTGGAGAGGGACCCATCCCATCCCATCGCTCGCTCGTGCTTAGGCTTGGGCTTGGACGGAAGTCGGTCACTGTCGTAGAGGTGGCTTGGGCTCTGAGGCCATTTTGCTTGAGACTGGGGTCCGCCCTGACCTGGCCTGGCCTCTCTATCCGTCCTCTGCCTGTCGCGCTCGGGACTGTCTCAGCACCTGCTCGAGACCCCCCCCTGCTGACCTATCTCCCCCTTGTGGTGTCAGATTGGCCTTGTCTTTCTTGTTGTCGCTTTCAACCAAGACATGTCATGGGTGCGGTGCAGAATCCCGTAACTAATCGACATGGATGGCGCTCAAGATTTCCGGCCTTGATGTAATTCAGGGTTTCTCACACCGAGCCAAATCCCTAGGCATCCGGATGGGGATAAGGGTCTTGAGAGATAAACAGAACCGCTGCTCGATATTGTACCAATGCACAAAACTGTGGATGAGTTGTTTTCTATCCCATTGCCCTGGTTGGACAACCACCGGGTCCGATGGAGACAGATCCAATCCGATGGGATGGCCGATCGAGGACATGTTCCCCTGTCTGGCCAGCGTTTACGTACGTTGCAATGAGATGTCACAACGAGCAGGCACTGTCGGTTTAGCTCGAATTGTGATGGACACGACGAGGAACATGCCGAGAGTTGATGCGCGGTCCTAGACCGGCGAAGCAAGCAAGCAATCCACCCAGTCTAAGTCCAGCGGGGAGGGATGGATGGGCGGACATGGTCAATTTTGGACACGACCAACGATGGATGGATGGCGATGGCAAAAATGCCGATGCCGATGCTGCATCGTGTTGGATGCCGGTTGTTGTCAAGTCCGTACCTATGTGTGTTGCGTCGCATACGCAAGTCGGATGCCTCGATCGTCTCCTAGGTCTCAAAGACGGAGCGGTCTCGGCGAAGCGCGGTCCGCTCGAGTCAGGCAGGCTCCTCGGAATCACATCTGCACGACCTGGGTTCTGACCTCCCAAACGGTGCTGCGTTGCGCAAAAGCCATGCCCGACCACCAGAATGCCCACTGCTGGGTGCGAGTGTGGGAGTGGAAGGCTTCAAGCGGTCAGGGGTGATTTGATCTGTAGCCCTCTGCACGAGGGAAAACCAGTCTACCAGTCCCCCAAGTCCCCTCTCCTCCCCAAGCAACGAGATGTGGCCAAGACTTGTGCGGCCCGCGGGGCTGACTATCGTAGGGCGGCAATTGGACAAGCGCGCTTTTAAACCCAGACGGTGGTCCCGCTTGGTAGCGAAAGCGCAATACAGGGTTCAAGGGTTGGGCACTGAATGATGTATGTTGATTGATTGGGCAGCTTGCTTGAAGCTGGCTCGCCCTAGCGAGCGTTGGTCCGTTGTGTCTCTCGCTCATGGTTTTGCTGCGTGCACTCTGGTTCTAGGCCGGCAGCGGAGACGCTGCACCGCGGTCTCGCGACACATAGAAACTCGTGACGGCAAGAGTAACGAAGAAGGAGTTAGTGGCCGGCTTGTCCGAGAGTGAGAAATAGAAAGAGACAGATAGAATTGCGGCCTCCCCTTCACTGCCTAGTGTTTCCATAAGGTAGTGATGCTGCAAGAGGTGTGAGATTTTCAACTCGAGTTGTCGAGATGCACGATAGAGGATAGAGTAACCGAGCTACTACGTTGTAGGGAAAGAGGGGAGGACCAATAGTGGGATGGATGAGCGATTTGGCAAGTGCAGCCTGACGGGTCCTGCCGTCAGTAACTCATCACCTCAAGGTCAGTCTGGATAAGGTAGACGCCTGCTTTCCTATCCGATGTTGTATCAACTGCAATGCCACGCACCCTTCCCACTTCATCTCAATCTTCAAATTTTCATCGTCACTGTCAAGTAAGGGAAGTCTTCGGGATGTGTTGATACCCCTGTCAATGACGGAGGAGAGTGTCCTATATCGGTGCCCCTCCTCTACAATGATTTGACAGAACAACCCAGCCATGTCCAACACGACAACACCATACGGATACGCGCAGCACAAAGTCGCGCTTACCATGTCATGATTGCCTGTGCACAGTACAGGACATGAGCATGAGTTCATGCCTGAGCTGAGTTAACCCCCGTTTCTCCGATCCGATCGTGTTGTGGTGCCTGCCCATCGCGATCTAGGTCTGAATGCTGTCGGGGGTATGGCATCGCTTTCGTCATGATCTTCCTGACCAGAACACCAACAACTTCCACCATGATCGTCTCCTATCTTCGTTCCATTGAGAGCGGCAGTGAACAAAGAGACAGCGCACTTATTACAGCGCACTTGCAAACATGTGGTGCTGCACAACACCGGCTGTCATCCCGACCCTCCTCAATACCGTTTTTTAACCTTCCACACACACTATCCGCTGGGCTTGGCCTCACTCAACATGACTAGTTGGTTCTCTAGCAAACCCAACCCGCTCACTGCAACTCTCTCGTTGCTTTCATCGTCTACAGGTCGCCTCTGGTTGGACTGTCCTGTCCCGCCGGTAACCCTCCCACCATATCCACTCGTGTATCCCCACTCACACTTTAAGATTGCTCCACATGGGCAGGATTCAGAGGATCGCCAACGAGCTTCATTTGGCCAGGGACAGTCAACATCCCGAGCGAGTAATCTAGCCGGGGGCGGCGAGCTATCATCATGGAGAGAGAAGAGTGAGCAAAAGACAAGCTCCATGAAACCCACTGACCGGCCCGGGATCTGTTGTTAGGCCCAGCAAAGATTCCCTGTCTTCGCTTTCTTCCAGAACCCCAGAACGTCCGAACCCATCCATCATCCCTGTCACGCCGATGCACCCGTCGTGGCGACCTGGTCTCGTGACCGTTCACCTTCCCAGTCAAGTCTCAGGTCTGGTCTCAATTTCGCAGGCCTCACATCTCACTCCGCCCCAATGCCAGGCCCGCCTTAGTCCGAGTCCCTCGGCCGGAACGGGTCTTACTCTTCGGGCGACTTTCTGTGATATCCGGAACTTCTTGTTGGCTGGCGGCTTGGCTCGGGACAAAACTCTTTTGTTGGAGGTGCTTGAGACGGGACGGCATCCGCCGAATCTGACAAGTACTACGTGCGTTAGAATGGTGATAACACGGAGCCAGGCAGAAGAAAAGAAGGATCACAACTTCTGCGGCTCGGTTCCGGGAATAAGTTTCCACGAGGCGCCACCGTCAACGTCAAACCCTCGTCGTTCATTCCAGTGCTTGAATCTTGATTGCCGCCGTCGACCTGTCCTCTGCAGCCTTCACCCGGCCGGGCTTGTTGCCCGTCTTGGCAATCACTGTCGGGCACCTGCTCCGACTTCTGAAGAACAACGAGCCGCGGCCCCTCGGCGCTTCATCGCTGCCCCTCGGGCACTTTTGCCTGCTACGGCGAGCTTCTCGAATTATTAGAAGCTCTTGGGTCTGGAGAAGGGTTCAATTTACCCGCCACCTAGACGTTGCAACTTGGCCTGTGCCCCTTGGCCACTCCACAAGAAGACTATTACGGGATGGTATCACTGGGCAGTGGGAGATGGAGACACTGAAAGTCCAACATGACGGCCCACTGGACCTGAACTGGCTTCCTCTTACCGCAGGGCGCTCCGCTGGTGGTCCTTGCTTAGCGGAGCCGATCCAGCGTCTTGAACTAGGCGCTCCCGAGGTTTTGTGGGACGGCTATTTCCTGCTTTCTTCGCCACAGCCACGTTTTCTCCATCTCCGGGAACCCAAAGTCGTGGCGTCGCCGAGGGCCTCCTCTGTTGCCGTGGGGAGTGGAACCGGCGGCGTTTCCTCTAACAGCTCAATCGACCAATAGCCGCCGCGTTAGTCCGTCGAGTCCGTCACCGACTCTTTGTTTAGCAGATCCAACGTTGTGTGGGTTGGCCTCAGACATTCAGAGGCCAGAGAAGCTGCGCGGGATGCGGTCCCAATGGGAGGGCTCGGTCTGATCGACAGCGCCCAGAGACCCGATCGACGCGTTCGAGATGATAGGATCGTCGAGCGTTACATGGTTCGATGGAGACTGGCATTTGCATCTTGCATCACAGCATCAGAAATTCAGGGTCCAGGCCAAAATGACCCAAGCTGCGCGCCATAGGACGGGACGACGTAAGCTCGCACCTCGAGCTCAGGTCAGGAGCCGCCGGAGTGTTCTGTTCTTGCAAGCACCAGGTCGTGAGCAGGTGAGGATTCCCAAGGTGAGAAGTGAGAGGTCAGATTCACGGACAATGCGGAGGTGGATGCCCGTACCACATGTCCCAGCCAGCTCTCGGATGTCGTACAGCATCGGCCAAGGCAACATCGGATGCTGTGCGTCAGACAAGACGATTGCCAGGCCAGGAAGCGAAGCGAGCGAGCGAGCCGGAGCCTGGCCTGCCTGGTGATGGCAAATTCGAGGTTACAGACGAATCCACCCGTGACCGTTGAAGATGCCGACTCCAGCCGCGACCGTGTGCAAGCCATCAAGCGCCACAAAGCAGGTGTTCAGATGAATGAGACGCGTGCCTGGTGGATGAGGCTGGCAATTACAATTGGGCAAGTATTCCCGGTCGACTTGACGCAACAACTGACCCAGGGGCCAAAGCTAAAGAATCGCTTGCCCCATCATGAGGTCCCTTGGTCAAGGTCTCTGGAGCCTCTTGGCTTACACGATTGGCATCCGCAGTGCGAACGACAGCAAATACCAGCATCACGACTGGCTGACACGCGACCTGGCTAGGATCATCTGGATCCAGAATCCAGAACTTGCTAGTCGCCCCTCATCTGGGGCATCACCATGTTGGCCTTCTTCTCAGCTCGCACCCCAGCGAGAAAGCCCCGAGATTTCCAGTCGAGAACTCCAGACCGGGAGGCGACAGGCACCAGGATCCAAACCCGAGCCTCCTCAGCGAGTTCCAAGCCCATGTTCATGTTGGTTTTCAAGTTAGGTATGGGAGAGAGCCGCCAAGACTCCCAAGTGGAGGCTGCACTTTACCTGTATCGGAAGTCCACCTTCAACACACCCATGCAGCTTTGCGGCTCCCCAGGTTCCTTATCATCGGACTCTTATTGGTTGTGACACACATGCACACCCTTCTGCAGACCTGACAGGGCTTCTGAGTGGAAGCTTGAGAAACGCCCAGGAGAATGCCTCTTTATGCCTGAGGCATTAAGCGTTAAGATGGGTCATGTCGATGCAGCATCTGCCCAATCGCAGCTTTGGCTTTGGAGGGCGAGAGGATGAACTTGCAGCCACATATCAGCAAGTCATTAATTACATATTCGAAATGGAGCAAAACTGGACTTCTTGCCTGCATGGATTGTCGCATGTATCCTCCACCGCCTTTTCTGTTTCCCCAGGAGGTGTTCATCTCCAGCGGCTCACGCGGGTCATGTGCCACAGGTCACCACCACCACCTTTGCCCTTCTGTGTTGTCCACAGACAGATCTCATCGGTCAGCGCCTCTCGGACTTGAACGGCTCCGAGCCCTCACGCTCACTCCTCCCCCGCCTTCGATCGGGAGTCACGTCCGGGGGGCGGCCGGGCGGCTCCGTGGGTCACATCTGCACCCGACCCGGCGGTGTTGACCCAAGGACGGACAGGACCCTGACATGTCTCGGCTGCCCATGGTTGCTTTTTCTCGCCTCTTGTCGTATTGCAGAAGCTTCCGCGGGCGTCGTTTGATTCATCTCGCGATTTCCGCTGCATCTAATCTCTGATTGTACAGGGCCAGACGCAGATGAGAGGTGATCAAAAGAGGGTCTCCTGCGCTGTGGCTAAAACGATAGGATCTAACATGACCGACTAGACTCCACCTCCCACTCATTGCTTTTCTTTTCTCGTGAGAGAACAAGACCATTGTCCCAGCTATGCGCTGGTGTCGTTTGGCTAGTTAGTGTAGTCTCAAGTGGGATATGGCCCAGACCTGCTTCCAGCCTTCACGTTTTCCCATCTCTCTGTCCCTCAGCCACCTGGGCCTGGATCTGAGACTACAGAAAGGACTATCAGATGAAGACAATAGCTCGTGGACCCTGCAAGTCTCATCAGCCTGTTTAATTCGAGACAGGGTGGTTCTGCAAGGGCAGGTTGTTGTAGTATCGCAGTGTTGTTGTTATTGTTGTTGATACTATCCCTACTCCATACTGACGTCGCTGGTCTGAATCCCTCACTCCATCTCCCACCTCCCGCTCTTCCCGCCGTCCTTGAGCACAACCCTCAGCCCCTCAATCACCATGCCCTTGTCGACCGCCTTGCACATATCATAAACGGTCAAGGCCGCCGTAGACGCCGCCGTCAGGGCCTCCATCTCCACACCAGTCTTCCCCTCGCACGTGACCGTAGCAGCGATCTCGATCCTGTTGTCACCCCTGACGTCGAGATCAACGACGGCCTTGGAGAGGGCGATCGGGTGGCACAGAGGGATCAGATCGGGCGTCCGCTTCGAGGCCATGATGCCCGCGACACGCGCCACCCCGAGGACATCCCCCTTGCGCATCTGGTTGTCCCTGATGAGCGAGACGGCCGTCTTGGTTGAGAATCGGACGGTGCAGACAGCTTTGGCGATGCGTGATGTCACGGTCTTGTCTGATATCGACACCATCCGTGCTGCTCCCGAGTCGGAGACGTGGGTCAGCTTCGGCCTTGGGGGATCGTCCTCGTCCTTTTGAACATGGCGAGTCTGAGAAAAGAGTCGCCGTTGGCGAACTGTCGATGAGCCCCTAGGGGTGAATATGCCATCACGTAACAGGGATTGGATCCGAGGCGGCATGGTGCGAGATAGAGAAGGCTTCATGGCATCTACAACAATTTCATTCAGCATATCCGTCTTCATGAGGGTATGATATCCAGGCCCAGTAAACTTCATGACAAGAAACCCCCTCAACGCCCCTAAGATAGTTGCCCCGCGAACAATCTCAGAGCAAATACTAACAGAATAGATCCCATACATCCATATCAAAGTATCGGCAAGTGAGCAAGAGATGGGTAAAAGAGTGCCGTTACCCACCTATCAAGATCATGGGCCTGTTCTTCATGTGCTCCAGCTCACCGATTCCCGCGTGCTTGGCCTTCTTCCTCTTGACGGCAGCGCCAATGACCTCTAGCAGCTCCATCTCGTTGGGCGCCAGGCCGAGAGGTGTCTGGTTCGACGCCGCTAGGTCCCTCCGGCGGTCCATCTCGATCTGCTTCATGGCTTCAAACGCCTGCTCGTCGATGGGCTCGCCGCCGTTGGACTTGCGGAGTATATCCCGCAGCGACACCTCGGCGTTTCCAAACAGGCAGACCTTGAGGTTACCGTCGCCCGTGATGCGCAGTCGGTTGCAGGTGCCGCAAAAGTTGTGCGTCATGCTTGTGATGAAGCCGATGCGGCCAGCGAACCCGGGTATGTGCCATGTCTTGCTCGTGTCGTTCCTGTGATCTTGGACCTTTTGCAGGGTTGGATACTTTGTCCTGATAAGATCTAGCATCTCTGAGTAACTAAACATCTTGTTCTTGCTCCATTTGTTGCCGTCAAACGGCATGTACTCGATGAAGCGAACTTCAATGTCCTTCTCCTCAGTCAAGTCCACAAAAGGGAGCACCTCTCTGTCATTGACGCCTCTCATGACGACGCAGTTGATCTTGAGTTTGATACCGGCACCGAGCTTGTTGAGCTCCAGGATACGATCAATGCTTTTCTGCACGGCTTCGAAGCCCTTCCTCCGTGTCATGATTTGAAACTGCCAAGGGTCGAGAGTGTCGAGGCTGAGGTTGACACCCGTCAGCCCGCTCTCAATCATGCTGTCGAGCTTTCGATACAGCGAGATGCCGTTGGTCGTGATGCAGATTTCCTTGAGCCCGTGCCGCCGCAGCTCTCCGATCTGGCGCATCAGAGGTAAGATGTCTCGCCGGACCGTCGGCTCTCCTCCCGTCAGGCGGATCTTTGAGACCCCCTGGGATACAAAGACGGACGATAGGAGAACGATCTCAGGCGTGGTCAGAAGCCCCCGGTTTGGCGAGAGCGGTACGCCCTCCTCGGGCATGCAGTAGACGCATCGGAGATTACATCTCTCCGTGACAGATATGCGGAGGTAGTCATGCTGCCGGTGGAAGGTGTCTGTAAGGAAGTCGGAAAAGGGCCTTGCCTCGCTAATGCGGCGACGCCGGGGTTGTAAGAGCTCTGGATTTGGTGTCGAAGAGGGTGTTGTTTCAGGGAGCCTCTCCGGTGATGCTGCCGACGCTGCCGCAGTGGCTACGGTCCTCGAGGTGGGAGGGAGGACGCGTATTTGAGCTGTCGCCCCCAGGCATCGCACGAGGGAAGTTGGGGTAGCACGTGAGAATCGAGCTGACGCGCTGGCGCCCAAGCTGCAGAGAGGTAGCATCATGAGTACCTCTTTCTGCTCGTCAAAGGGAGAAGAATTAGAGATTAGAGTGGGCAAAGCTCGGTGATTACTTGTCACGGAGCCATATTCCCCTCAAGACCAAAGAGAAGGATAAATTGGGAGAGAAAACGCTCAGGCACAAACTCCAAAACAATACGTATTTGGGTTGTCAGCGTTTTCAAACAGTCACGAGCGACGAGCGAGGTACGCAACTATGAAGACATCCAATCTTATCGTTTCTCCCACTTGCCACCCACTTTCCCCGCGCTGATTAATTAGCTTCCATTTCAGGCAAGTGCGGCCCGCATGAACTACGACAAGTTATAAAATCAAACTCATTGTGATAGTGGAATTGTAGGAGATGAGACGCTATCACGACTTGTCCGAGGAGATGGGCATGTCGTGGTTGGTGTTACAAATATTCGTTACTTAACTGGGGATAACGACCTACTTGGAGAGATACAGAGATACCCTACACCTGAAAACATCGTAATCTAGTGCAACTGCTCTTGATAGAGATAAGTGGTTGTAATTGTTGGTTCCTAATCGATGTTTTCTTCTATCAACACTATGCCGTGCTCTATTCGGGACAGCAACGCCTGCGCGACAAGATCGACATGGTACCATTATGCAACCTCCCTTACGGTGTGATTCTAGAAGGCAGTTCCCCCGGCTTTGTACCCAAACGGCGACCGTTCTGAGTCATCCTGATTGTATCAAACGGGAAGAGACGGCTCCATGCATTTTCACTCTATAGCAAACAGACTAGTGACGCTGTGTGCTATGTTTCTTAACCGAACAGGTTTGTTTGTATGGGCTCTTTGGCCTCAATCCTTGTTTGCATCCCGGTTCGCTGGCGTTTGGCGCTGCAGCAAACCGAATAGGAGACAATAGTTTTGAAAATACAAGTAAAGCCATTAGCTGATGCTGATGTACTCGATTCAAACGCCCTCAGACTTACCCTACCCCTTCTGTGATTGCCTGTCTACTAGGAACGATGATTCCTTGTCGGCAGCTGTTATGAAAAGGCTTCTCCAGCACATCTCGTGCTTGCCTCACCTCCTCCCAACACACGATTAATCTTAATTCAATATCGCGACGCTGCGAAACTCGAAAGCTCATCTTATTCCCGGAAGCTGCTCTCCTGATCATCTTCAAAACATCTGCCTCCGTTGGTGTCGCCGCATCGCTTCTCGGTGGTTATTGCCCGCTTCACTCACGTTTCGGTCGCTTGGAAACTGCCAAAGTTAGGAGTTCATTCCCATTCAGCTACCTGATCAGAAATAAGTTCCACATGTGAGTATCCTGTCATTATCCCTGCATAATACTTCTTCTCACTTCTTAGTTGTATTGACGGGAGTAACTTCTAACCGCCTATCACAGACAACACATCATGTCAGCTATACCACCCCCGGGACGGGCCGAGTCGGTTCCCAACTGGATAATGGGGCTTTACTCTGAAACATTTCTTAAGTGCAGAGGCGTCCATCCGTTTCATGCATCGCCTCCCCAAGCACAAACTCCAGATTCGACTGCTCGAGTACTGCCTCAATTTGACGAAAAATCGCAGACGTTCATACCCGCTGAACAAGAGTGTGTTATTGTTGCGCTGGATTTTCGGGATCTCTGTCGCTGGAAGATAGCTCTGAACCACCTGGGACAGCAAAATCACAGCTACAAACCAATCACGGAGGCTGGATGGGCGTACATTGACGCCAGAAACATCCTCCGCAAGGGAATCGCCCCCGGGGACCGTGGGCAAAAGCTACAGACTTTGATGGAACAACACCACTGGCTCGTGGAGGAATTTCGAGGACACTGGGGCGAAACTTGCTTTGATAGGGAGCACAAGCCGGCGCCCTACTCGTTTGCGTTCGGCAAGTCTGAGCTGGTTCCAGAATCCAAACTCGGACACAGACTCAACAACGTTTTCATGTACCTCTGCAAGCTCAACAGGACCGCCGAGGAGAAGGAGCAGAACAAGTTGCGCAAGGTAATCTTTCTCACCTGGGACTCTAGGCTGGTGGAGATGACTATAGAGCGTCTTGGTCTCAAGTGGTTCAGCCAACCTAACGTCGAGATATGGGACATGCAGCAACGTTTCGTGTGTCCTGGGCCAAGACTCGAGTTTGCCTTGCATCACCTGGGGATTCGGTTTGTCGATCAGTTCTTCGGCAACCTCGCACGCAACTCTGGCAACGTCTCAATGTTTCTCTTGCAGATGTTCTTGTCCACCTTTTACATGGCAGACGGTATGCGGAATGCCTTTGTCAGGGGTCAGAACCTCCCATGCCTACCCTATTCCTGGGCGGGTGTTGATCTCGGCCAGGTCAACGTGCCTCCTGGCCAGCTTCCCACACATCGGCCTCCTGAGTGCAAAAACGACAACAACGTTCCTCAAAAGAGTGATCCCAAGATTTGGCCATGAAGGAGGAGTTTAAGGGAGTTGATCATGGATAGGCATGTACTTAAGTAGTCAATCTTAAGCTGTCGTTTTGCTGCGTATAATTCGTCCATTTGAATGCATAGGTCGTCGTTAAAATGACCATTGACGCTAAACCTCAGTGGGTATTATGTAAACAGCGACTACAGGTCAACAACCCCCACCATCCTCGCATGTTCTTGAACTTGAACAACTCGGTATCAGCTTGAAGAATTTTTCACGGTAAAGGAGTAAGGCAACAAAGCTCGATTCTACTGAAGCTGCTGGGTCCCCGAGTTCTTTTCCCTTATCAGTGGTTCTCGTCACCCAATTTTCGGTTCCTGCCCAACTATCATCAACCTCAACTTCAGGCTTTCAACAACGTGCGGGGAGAGGCAGTCACGATGCATCCCTCACGTGTTTTCAAATGTATGTCTCTAGTCCCAAATTCCATGTCTTCTCCTCTCTCTCCTCCTCTCTCTTCTCTCACCCTCCGTCGTCTCTCCCCGCACCACTCATCAAGGATGGCGCTAACTAGCCTCGTCCATCCGTATAGCCTCGCCACATTGCACCGCTAGTCCAGACGGGAGGCTTGTTGCTACCCTGTCCTCGCAGAGCATCACTGTGCGTTCAACCCTGTCGCTCTCGATCGTGCACCAGGTAAAGCTCCCTTCGGATCTGCCAACCCCTGTGTCCACGCTAGCATGGGCACCATCTTCTTCCCGGATCCTCGTCGCAAGTGCTGACCAGATCCACGTCTTTTCGATAACCGACTCGTCGTTTCGTGCCACGATTCGAAACCCTGCGCCTGGTGGTGGAAAGCAAGCCCTGGTTCAGTTTGGCGCCCACGAAACTGAGATCTTCGCCTGTGCTGCATTTGGACTCAAGTTTATCATTTTCGATCTGTCTACTTCCAAGGCGATCGAGATCGCAAACCCCAAGTTCTATCTGCCCTCCTCTGCCTCGCGGGGTTACTCTGTACGCCCGCATACCTCGCATCTTGCCATCCTGACGCGGACGAGTGGTCGAGACGTCGTCAGCATCCACCACCCTGGGACCAGGCAGGTCTTGAGATCCTGGTATCCAGACACGGCCGACGCTCATGGCTTGACATGGACCCCTGACGGACGATGGCTACTGCTGTGGGAGTCCCCGGCGCATGGCCACAAGCTCTTGCTCTACACGCCTGACGGAGAACTCTTTCGCTCCATTGGGGCTTCGAGCATCGTGGGAGGACAAGATGCTGACCTGGAAACCGGAATCAAGCTTTGCCGTCTCAGCCCCGATGCATCCCTCTGCGCTGTAGGTGATCACAGCAGGACTGTGGGTGTCCTCAACACGCAGACGTGGAGAGACGGTTTAAAGCTCGTCCACCCCACCACCATCGTCCCAAAAGATACGCTCCAGGTGAGAGATTTGAAATTGGCGCCAAGATGTATTCCTGACAAAGTTTATTCTAGGTCTGGCAGGAACAGCTTAATCCCTCTTCTCTGGGTGGTCCCTCTCACACGTTTCTTCGAGCTACTCAGATGATTTCTCCCCCGAGCCGATTGGTAGATGGCAAGCCCTCTCCTGATGTGAAGCCGGGTTGTTCCTCGCTAGCATTTGACGCATCCTCGAGCCTACTGGCCACGAGGCTTGACGATACACCCACTACTCTGTGGATTTGGGATGTCACCTCAGCCGAACTCCGGGCGGTATTGTTGTTCCATTCAAGTGTTGACTTTCAATGGCACCCGGACGCTCGTGAGGTGCTCCTGATAACATGCCAGGATGACAAGTACCGTGGGATATCGTTTGTCTGGGATCCATTGTCCGAAGGGCCCAAGCAGGTCTCATTACAGGCTCACCTCCCAAATGGAAAGATGGTGGGAAAGACTCGAACTGCTTGGATCAACGGGGAAACCGAGTTCCCGGTTCTGCTCCTATCTGATGCACAACACTATGTGTTGATGTCGTGCGCAGATGCGGAGCAGTGCCCAACTCCATGGGGCGAAGCGTCTGGTGACAGGACTTTTGGGTCGATGCAGGATATTGGAGACACGGTCGATGTGTCTGCTCTGATGCCGGACGACACATCCACATTGGATGACACCTTTTCTTTCAAGCATGTGTGAGAGAATCGGTAGGCTGGCGGTTGGGACCCATGCTTTGATCTGATTGAATTGATACGCGTGGGAAAGGTTGCATCTTGGCATGCGCCGTGAGATACGATGACTGGGCTGGGCCGGACCTTTGTCGAGATGTGATGTTTCGAGCAGAGCTGGGCTGGCTGCCAGGGCCGTAGACACACGGGTGGCGCTGCTTTGATGCTTCTGATGACGATGTGTCAGGCATGACCGCATAATGAGCTTGGTATAAGAAGGCGTCTAGTTCCCTCTTTTCTCGCGCGAGCGTTGTCTGCATCCTTGGCCTCCAATGGGAGATTAGGGCATGCTGTGCTGGCGCCGCGGAAGCGACTTGACAGCCCAGATGAAGGAAGGGTTGGGGGCTGCATTAGACGACGACGACACCCCCCAGGCCAGGCCAAGCCCCTCGTGGTTCTCAGAAGAAAAACACGCGCCGGCGCTTCGAGCCCGGTTCGATGATGGTCGTCCTACCTCTCTGGGCATCTGTCACGACCGACATCTCAGTGGGAAACTGATAGCGGTGGAGCACTGATCTCAATATGATGTGTCAGGCTGCAAGGCGGGACAAAGCTGGCGTTCTGCAGATGGACCAGGAGGGCAACCGGCGTGGGCACTAGGCTAGGGCCTGTGGCTTGGACCCGATCAATTTGATGGGCATGGGGCCGAGGTGATCAACGTTGTCGCAGACTGCAGCATCTCTCTCTCATGGGAATGAGATGAGTCCCCTGCGCGACCCCTAGCTAACCCCGGAGATGTTGGCTTTCCCCCATATGTACAGTGCCAGACCAGTACCAACTAGGCCCGGCGGTTCTCGACAGTTCTCGATTAGTTGGGCCCCCACATGCTGAGGCTGAGGATGGATGTGTGCGTATCGAAAACGCCAGACAAGGATCTCGGGTTACACAGCGCTGCTAATCATCCAGGAGACGACGAGCTTCCCAAATGCGGTCGTGTTAGTGTCGAGGTCGGCGAGGGGGGCACAGAGAGTGAAGAGACTTGAGACGACAGCAGTTCTGCGGTGTTGAGCAGTACTGGACATGTATGGATACCTCTGGACCCTCTCTTGCGTGTCTGTTTTACTCCCTCATTCTCTGGATATGCACTATCCCTGGACCCGTAGGACCCCAGGCCAGGGGCTTGGAGGACTGGGATCAGATGCACTCGAATCCAGAGCTGGAAAGGGACGGTTCTCGCGATGTTTGGCATGGCAGATGGGAGGGACAGGCTGTCCCCGTCCCCGTCCCCGTCCCTTAATCACCCACTTGTCGACGTTTTGTCAGCGGGCGTGAGAAGCGAACTATAAAGCAGACGTGATTTGATGTTTGCATTGGGGATGAATCACGACGTGCGTGACTGAGCACCTCTTTCACTGCTAGCAAGAGGAGACGGCTGGGTATAAAACAAACTACTCAACACCCTGGACTACACTCTGCAGCAAGCAAGCAAGCAAGCAAGCAATACAACTCAAACACATCGGACCAGATTGCAACCAACATCACATCACATAACATCACATCACATCGTACTGCACTGCACTGCACTACACTACGCTGTACCTACTGTACCGACTGTGGCACGGTCTCTCATCTCTTACCGAACCCGTTGTAACATCGCACAAGCGTCATATCTGAGATCTGAGCGCCTCGGCTGTGTGCAGCTTACCGTTGATCCATGTCGGCCGAAAAGTCTGTCAATGTGCATGTCCGGCCGGGCAATGAGACGGGCATCTACTACATCCTCCTCGGTTATGTCTGTTTCACCTTTCAAGGACCCTGTTCATGTCATGTCATGAAGGATGAGGCTAACTGTGAAGTACAGCTAGCTCCAAATGTATTTTGGCGGCCACTCAAGAGTTGGATAAGCCGAGAGGCCAAGTGCAAGGTCGACAAGGTCGAAGTCTTTCTCGACACCCGTTCGGGATGGGTCCGCCTTGTGGGCAGGGACAATTTTGAGAGAGCATGGGGTAAGCGAGCTACTTTCGAGAATAGTTGGATACAGATGCTGACGAGACAACATAATAGCGAAACTTAAGCTCGCCCCTGAGTATCAGGGAAGCCCCATCGTAGCTACTATTGGAAACCTCAACCAATCATGCACCATCGCGAGCAAGGTTGACCAGCCAGATTCTCAGAAGGAGGAGCAGCAGCAACAACCACAACGGCAGCAGCAACAACAGCAGCAACAACAGCAGCAACAACAGCAGCAACAACAGCAGCAACAACAGCAGCAACAACAGCCCCAGCAATACCCCCAGCAACAGCAGCAGAATCTGCCTCCGCCTGTGGTGGCCTATTCGCAAACCCCAGGTTACCCCCCTGCTGCTCAAGGTCACCAAGCCGCTGCATCGTCAACTACGTCTCCCCAGTATTCTTCGACATCTGGACAGGTAAGAGAGCTGTTTGGCGTCACGAAGATGGAGAGCATCTATTCTAACTCGGGGTTTCCCTAGTACTACGCGGCTGGCTATAACCAGGCTGGAGGCTCGAGTTACTCGGGTCAATCTATGCCGATGCAAGGCTACCCTCTCCAGCCGACAGGAACGACAGACTATTACGGCTACGGCGGTTCCAATGCTGGCCCTTCGTCAGGCGTTGGATACTCTTCCGGTTACCAATATGACGGCAATCAGTTTGCCCTGCCCTACCGTGACCAACAAGATGCATCGGCGTACTATGCCGGGGGAAGTGTCCCAGGAGCACCAGGAGCACCAGGACAGGAGCCAGCGTACCAGACAGAGACAGGGGCAGAATTTGTCACGACAGAAGCCCGGAAGATACATGTGTCGCCGTTTCCTCAGAAAGAATCCCGTAAAGACGTCGAGAGGTGGATCCGACAGAGGATCTATGAGAAGCAGACGATCGACAGTATCGAAGTTCCCATGAACGGGACCAAAAAATACCTCCGAGGCCACGCCTTGGTCATTTTTGACAGCGCCTCGTCAGCAGCCAAGGCCATGGAACAGCTAAACAAGACAAGCTACCAAGGACGCAAAATCAAAGCGCGGACCGCAGCGGAGGGCGTCGCGGTGGGTGAGGGTAGCACCCAAAAGGGACCCCGAAACGATCGCAATAAGGGAGACAAGCCACAGAGACCAAGGCATAGAGAGCCCGACAGGAAGTGGTCATCGTCTGACAAGAAGTCGTCTTCGTCTGCTAAGAAGAGTTCCAAGACGTCTTCATTGCCGGACAAGGACAAGAAGGGTAGCAGCAGCACTAGGGATCTGCCTCCCCCTCTCGTGGTTGACGGCAGCAACCGCAGGCATGACAAGCCCCCTCTCGTGGTTGACGGCACCAGCCGCAGGCATGACAAGCGTTGATGATGGTGTACTGCACCACATTGCACTATGGCACAGTATAGTGCAGAATCTTGGCCTCAACGAGGTCTAGTTCAGTTCCTCTGGACCTGACGCGTGTCATACACACTTGTCATTGGACACAGGAGGCTAGCTGAGCAAGAAACAGGCACAGCAGTAACAGGTGAGGAGAGTGTGCTTTCAAGACTAACCAGAGCTACTAGGCTGCATCAACTAGTTAACGGGCAGGATAATGGGAATACTAGAGTTGCATATGATACGACCTGCACAGAGAGCTTCTTTGCTTTTTTCGATGCAGCGCATCTGGCGTCCAAGGGGGTAGTATAATTGAAGAAACTGGCATTAATGGGAATAGAGAGAGGGAGAGGGAGAGAGACAGTTGGATAGGTAGTCTGATAGGAAAGCTTCTAGTTATTCTCAAGCCGTTTCTCGATACGAGCTTGACAGCCGTGGCGTCTGACATGATCGATCTGCAGCGGCTGGCTTGTGGTACATGACAACGTTTCCGACAGATCAAAGGCCCTTTATCCCTGTGCATGCTGTGTACCCCCATTTCTGTATCTCCAGCGGAACGGCTAACCAACAAGACGACCAACTGGAGGGGGAAAACGACATGGAAGAGAAAATATCCGCCCAAGAGACAACATTGGCGCCCACAGAGACAAGTCAGACACAACCAACAAGCCCTAAGCCCCCCCTTTTCCCCACTGTGACATGTCGTTGGCCATCTTGGGCCATTGATTGCATGCGTGGTCGTGCGTGTACGTCAATGCTGTGTTTCCTTCAACCCAAAGGCCCGTTTCGTTTGGTGGAACGAACCCCTGGCTGGTGCATCGCAGCCAGCCTCATCTTGGACATGGACATGGGCTCGGGCAGGCAAGGAGACGGAAAGATCCGGCATGATCGTTACAGTTCATAGTTGTTTCAACGTCTTTGGTGCCATCTACGGCGCCTGTCTCGGGATATTCTTCTGGACGGCGTCCTCCCGTTGTCGGGACTATTCCATGCACGTCTATTGGTCCCATACATAAGATATGGCACTACGTAAAAAGGCGCGCCATAGGGCTATCGCGGCTGGAGCTCCCTGTTACCTGATCACCCACTAGCAGGGGGCAGAAGAGAGAGAGAGAGAAAAGACTCGATCGAGGCTGAGAGATGATGAGACAAAACATCATGTCAGTATCAACTGAAAGACATAGATCCCTTCTTGGGTGCCTTCTATTCAAAAACTATGCTGTCATGATGCTATATGCTATGTGCTCTCCAAGATAACACCTGTTCTCCCATTGACATCTCTTCTCTCCGTGTTGTACAGAGACGACTCTCCAACATACATACGTAGCACAGCTTTGCCCCCAGCATACAACTATGCATGGTACCGTACCCGTCCTCTCGGCATCGACAGCCAAAGCCACTCTGCTGTAGTAGTTAGTCTGCCCCCTCTCCCACATACCCGACCATGCATGTCCAAGAATCACCCAAACGAGGCAGGCTGGCGATCCTTTGTGTAACCTGACAGGCCCACCGACCAAGTAGCCTGGGGACACCGGCTTCGTTCGTCCCCCAATCGTACCATGGCTGCAAGCGGGTATGTCTGTACCCGCTGTCACCCCCTGTCTGTCCTGTCCATCGACCACACTAGCTTCTGCTTCTGAGCGCCCACCCCCATGCCCTTCTCTCATCCCCTCTCCCCTCTCCTCTCCCTCCTCTCCCTACCCCTGTCACGCCCACTGTCGACAACTCGCACATCGTCATTCCTCGTAATGGGCTTGCATATCGAAACTGAGCCTGGAACTAGGCATGGATAGGCATGGGGCATGGGGCACGGGGCCCGACCTGCCAAGAGCCGCTGCATGAGGCTTGTTGATTGCTCTCTCTACCCTCATACGTGTTGAACCTTTGCTGTTGATGCTGTCCTTTCTCTGCCTCTGCCTCTATCCCTCCCCAGGTCAACACAACACGTGAGTATGCTGCTGGTTCAGCCGCCAAAATCCATCTTTAGCGCAATAGTCGGTTGCCCAGAAGATCCCGAGGCCGCCTTGTCCGCTTGACCTGTGTTTGCCCGTCCGAAGCGGATAACCTCTTCCAGGAATGCCTTCTGCCCGTCACTCATGCCGCCGACTACCGCTCTAAACGTCTCCTGGTCTATTGCTGCAAGTTCCAATAGTCGCGCACTCGTCTCCCTGTACACCTCGTCACCCTCAGCCGTTGCTCGGGCCATGAGGGTCGGAATCACCACCGTCATGGCCGCCAGGCGTCGGGCCTTGTCCACTGTACCCACGTACTGGCATAGCGTATGCGCGATCAGGGCCCTGGCGTTCTCAGGATCTTCAGGGTCCGTGTCCGTCACAAAGGCTATCAGACGCGGGAACAGGTACCGAGCAATGCTGAGGTCGGCGCTGGTTGGCGCTGGCTGGAGCAGCAAGGACCTGATACAGTTTGCTGCAATCTTGGCAGTCTAGTAGTATCCATCATGGTTAGCATTTGGTCTTCTTTCAAGGGGATGCAGCGCCAGCTCATAGCTGGCTCAGCTGAGGCATAACAACATACCATTCGGTCCGTAAGGCAGTCCAGCAACTCATCCAGATAGCGCGCTACCAGGGCTTCTGTAGCCGGCAGGTGATTTCGCCCACCTGTGAAGAGGATGGTAGTGGCCAACAGACAGTTCTTGACACACGCAAGGGACTGCGGATACTCTCGCTTCTGCGCATTTAGGTAGATTGATAGGAAGCGGCGTAGGCAGCCCTGCATCTGGATGTCTGTAGCCGACGGTTCACCACCGCCGGGGCTCCTCCGCGAGTTAGACATGCTGCCCACGAAGCGCTTTAGCGTGGGCAGCGACTGTGGAACTATCAGCTCCTGGCAGCCGGGTGTGGCCAAGGTGGTGGCAAAGATGTGGATGATGCATGCATGAAGATCAGTCTTGATGATGGCCGGGAACACCTCTGCAGCATCCACGAGCGCGTTCAAAGACGACCGTATTAGCAGGATCGCCTCCTCGTTCATCTGATGCCTGGCCGGCTGATTTCCCTCCGAGAGGTTGGGCAGGAGCCCCGTCAGCACCAGCACGATGATTCGTGTGAGCTCAAAGAGCTGGTCGATATCGTCAGATAGGTCGCCTTCTTCGGTCGCATGCCTCCTTGCAGAGGGGTGCGCAATGCAGAGCACACTAGCAATTTCCACAATCACACCTTGGACGTCCAGACCTTCAGTCAGCACCAGGCGGTCTAGCAGATCCATAGTCTCGGAGAATACGTCCGGCCTGTAAATGGCATGACCAGAAACGCTAGGGTGCAGGATCTTCTTGAGCGCCTGGAGGATGGCCAACGTCTGCTCGTGTGTCGCCAGAGAATCGCTCTGCCCGGACCGAGTGGCGAGGGCCTCGAACGCAAGCCCAAACAGGACGAAGAAGAATGCAACAGGCTCATCTCGGTAATTGATGTCTGAGCTCTTGCCTCTGCCGTTGGTCGATGGGCCATCCGACTCTTTTCCGTCCAGGGCATCAAACACGAACTCGCTGTCCTGCTCGATCAGGCTAGCAATGGCATCCACCAGCTTCAACCAAGCATCCTGGTAGAAACGCAGCAGTGTCTCGCGGTTAAGAGCTGCATAGATCGTGTCCAGGCTTCCAGACAGCGAGGGGGGTCCCAGTGTCATTGAGATGTCGGGCTCGAACCGGAGACGCGCGAATTCACGCAGAGACTCTAGCCAAAGAGGCGTCAACGTGCCGATATGCGGTCTCAGCACATCCAATAGGTACTTCTGTTCCGAGCTGGCAACCTGCAGCTCTGCCCAGGCGGAAAACACCGATATCTTGACCATGACTTGGGCATTGGAGCTCAGCCCTTTCAGGTCGCCAATGGCCGCGTTCTCGTTGTCCTTGGAAAAGTTTTCGAGCGCACTGACGAGTGTTTTCAAGATCCTGCCCATGCGGTCCACATCAGTGACGATGCCGATCGAGATGAAGCTTGCGCAGACGTTGACAGCTTCTGACGCAAGCTCAGGCGAAGAGTCTGCGGCGAACGCTGGAGTGAGCGCCGAGCTAATCTGGGCTTGGTACTGCTCCAGGAGCATTGCCTCCTCAAAATCTGGGTCAGGCGTCTTTCCAAACATCTTGAGCACGTCTCCAATGATTTTGAGGCCCCAGATCCGAAGCTCCAGCACGCTCGAGGTGGACGCAGAAAAGGCCATGCGAACAACATCCGCAACCTTACTCTGTAGGTCACTCTGGGCCTTGGAGTCTCCATTGGCCGTCACGTCCTTTGCAATGAACAAGAACATCTCATCGATGCAGCTCATGGCAAAGGTTGTCACTTGCCATCGCAGAGGCTCGACTTCGGATGTTCCCTTGTTTTCCTTCTCGTCCTTAGCAGCGCCCGCAGCAGCAGCAAAACCGGCCACCTCTTCATCCTGGAGATCGAGTTGACCACCGCTCTTGGAGCCAGATGAAGCATCCTCCGTCTTGGGCCGCGCCCTCGTCATTTTGAGCACCGCCTGGAATCGCTGAAGCCAGGCGTTGGTCTCGGCGAGACAACTGTGGTGCATCCAGTTTCGAATAATGTTACGGATTCCATCATGGGATGGGACAGTATCAAGGACAAGCCAGAGCTGTTCTTCGAATCCTGTCTCTGCTTCCCGGAGAACATCCTGTGGGTTCCTCTTCATCATGTTGTGAATGCCATCCACCGCAACATCCCGCAGTGTAGTAGACTCGGAAGAGAGGTACTTTTGGAGAAGCTTCACGTAGTCAGCGAAGTGCATGTGTCCGGGGGCGTAGAGAGACAGATGCTCTAGGCACCCAAGCGCTGCTCTTTGCACAAGCAAGTCTGGTTCTTCTCGGAACTGATTGACCAACGTGAAGATGAGTTCCCGTGACTTGGTGGCATCTTGCAAGTCAGGACCAAGCACGTTGATGAGCGAGTCAACGCAACGAGCAATGGCAGATGTTGTAGAAAGCTCCATCTCGAGGTTCATGGTGATTGCTGAAGATATCTCGGCATGATGTGTCTCAGACAGATAGAGCTGGACTAGCATGCCGAGCGTGCTAGGCACGTATCCAGCAAAGCTAAGCCCCGATGCGTCTGAGGCTAATGACAGTGCCTCCAGCGCCCAATAGTGCACTACCGGGTGAGGATCATTGCAAAGAGACATGAGAATGCCGAGGATAGTCTTGAGATGGTATCCAGCAGCCATTCCGCCGACCTGGGTTTGGATGGACCCGAGCGCCATGGCGCAACCCGCTCGCGCACTAGGTTCACGGTTGCCGACGATGGTGTCCACCAGGTACTTGATTTCGTTGTTCGTAAAGCCATTTCCATAGACGTTGCAGAGGCGAGCCACAGCGGCGTACCCAAGGCTTCTGACATGCTCATCAGGATCAAGCACGAAGTCACGAACAATGTCCTGTAGTAGCGCCTCCACTGCATGGTTAGAGATGTCGCCGGCAGGGGATTTTGTCTCCTTCACCGCCACTCTCATTGTTGCTAGAATGGCTGTAGCGAGGTTGACATTGATGGCAGCCTTGCGGCCGGGGTCTCTTTGCAGCGAACCTGCCGATGCAAAAGTTCGAATTTGTTCCAGGATACTCTCTTGAACCTTGGCTGGAGTGAGGGGGAAGGCGAACGCAAACAGCTGAATTGCGGCGTTGATAACCTCTGTGGCAGGAGGATCAGGGGTCACCGACGAGGGATCCATGTTGCCAATGTACAAGACAGAGGCATCATGCTCCAAGCTTCCACAGATAGGAGACCGAAGCAAGTTGTTAATCGCATCCTCAGTGCTGTCAAGTTCATCATAGTTCTCAACTGAGTTCTCCTGCTGTCCAGGAAGCTTCCTGACCAGAGATCCAGAGACAAGGCCGGTGATACCGAAGCCAGAGTTGTCACCAACCTCCCAGATAGACTCGAAAGTGGCCGCGGCATTTGCGATCGAGGCACTGAGTGAATTTGGTGCGTAGTTTTCCGGATCCGCAAAGAGAGAAATGGCCAGGGTCAACAAATTAGATTGCAGCAAGGCCTCGCTTCCACCAGCGGGACTAAGATTGACGAGCTTGACATAACATTGTAGGACTCTGCGTTGAACCATCATGTCAAGATCTTGAAGCTGCAAGGCAGGGGCCAGTCTCTGGCTGATATCATCAGTTGTCTTCTTTGAGGGTAGAGTTCTCAGAAACGCTGTCGTATTCTGAAGCATGGTGGCGATCCTTTTGGACACATCAACTGTGAGGAGACGGCTGTTAAACTGGAGGAAGGCCAGGATTGATCCCAAGGCACACTCTCTCACATGAGCCAGGAAGGATGCTTCAAGCAGACTTCGTGCTGATGTGTTGTCTTTGGCAAGCGGCTTCGGGAGCGCATTCTTCCAAAGGAGGAGTAGTTGTGACAAGTGAATCTTGACAAAGTTCGGACCAAGAGACATCAAGCCGCCTATCAAAATCCAGGCGACTTGGATCTGCGTGCTCGCAGCACGAAGTTCTGATTTACTGCTCGATTTCAACATGTTGGTTGCCATAGTCAACACTCGACTGTTGATTTCGACCGATCCGTGGAGGGGACGAGAGGGACTCGCGCTCAACGTGGCGGCGAGCCCATGTGCAGCACCAATACATCGTCTTGGTGAGTTTCGGGGGCCCCCTAGCAGAGAGAGCTCGCGGTTCAGGCTGTTCATGCAGACTGAAAGACAAGGAAGTAGTTGCTGAGGACATGCAAGAACTAGTGTCTTCATGCAGTGGGATGCAAAGACCTGGACAGTATAACTGGGATGTTGCAGCACCTGCAAAAGACCATCTCTGCACGACTCTGCAAAGGTGTTGGCTGCCGAGCCGAGTGAGTCCACCAGTGAAGAGACAGCACTCAGCGTCGCGATCAAAGTGTGCTTAGAAGGCTCGGGCCGCTCCGCCAAGGCTTGGGGGTAATTCTTGAAGACGTTGTTGATGAGTGACCTGGCCGCCGATATCTGACCAGACTCTCCCAAGATCTTGCGTCCAATAATGTCCTGAATGATAACATCAACGATTTTTCTTGAGATTAAGAGGCGGTATCGATTGTTGATGATGGTTGGTGCCCCGAGCAAGTCGATCGCAAGACTTTCGACAATTCTTAGATAGTTGGTTTCAACTAGCTTCTCCCCAAGTCGTCGAAATAGCTTGCCATAGCAGATACCGATGGCTGCCCGGGTCCTGTTGGAGGTTGAGGCTTTGACGTATTGAGTAGCCAGGTTCTTCAGCATATCAGCCAGTGACAATGCCAGCACTTGACTTCGCTTGCCAGACGGCGCGGGACTAGCTGAACGAGACGGAATCTCATCCTCGTCGGCTACGATATTGGGGATTGTAGATTGCCGTTTCAACGCCTTCTTGGTCTTTTTGCCCTTGGGAGATGCCACCTCGGAAGGCCCGCCTTCTGAGTGGCCTTGATAAAAGGCTTCGGCGAAGCATTCTGCTGCGGCTTGCCGAACCTGGACAGATGATGAATCAAACGCCTTCAGTACGGCCGACTCCAGTTTGTCGAAGTCGTTGGAATTGAGAAAATAGGGGGTGTGCTTGACGAGCGCCTTGAGAGTCCGGCAGGCGGAAGCAACAACGAGATGCCCCTTGTCGGATGAGGCGTGGTTCCGTGCTTGTTTCCAAATGTCTCGCGCAATGACCTCGTCCATGCTCCCTTCCACCATCCGAATGATCTTTCCCAGGGCGGTTGTGCATGCGGCGCGAAGACCAGCATTGCTGGAGGAGGACTTGAGCAGCTTGATCAAAGTTGTGCAGGCGAGTTGGTGAAGACCAATCGCGCTGTCTCCAGCAGAAGCGAACACATCGCCCAAGGAGACCACCGCTGCATGCTTGGTCCGTATCTCAGCATCCGTCTTGAGCTTGCCGCTCGACACAATCGCAATCAAGTCGTTGATGGTTTCGAACAGTAACTTCCTGTCTCCATGTCCAAAAATGTGCGCCAGACACTTCCCCAGGTTGTTCCGTATAACTCGAGACGGCTGTGGCGAGGACAGGTTGATGATCTGGAAGATTTCCTTCTTGAGATAGAACTGCTGCGCCGTGCAGTCGTCGGCCTCTAGCTGCAGGACGTGCTTGGTCAAGCTCGAGACGAATGTGAGCAGGAATAGCTCTTGCTGTTCGGCCGGTAGGGATTGGAGCTTGGGGAGGTCAAGCTCTGGGTTCGCAGTCGCCGAGTCGGGGGAAGCTTGCGCCTCGCTGGTGCGGGCTGGAGCCTCGGGCTCCTGTGTCGACGACATGGCGCAAAGATGTAGACGCCGTCAACGATGCCCAAGCTCGATGGAAAATATCGTAAAATATGGTATTCGACAAAACGTTGTTTCTTGTTTGTTTCAAAGGGTAAAAGGTGGTAACCTGGATGCTCCCCATGCCACATGCCACCTGCTTCCAGGGGAATGGCAGGTACCACCCTTACAAGCAATCGATGTGGGGCATGGTTCTTATCCGTCTCCGGAGTTCGCCCGGCGCATCCCGGCATGGATCTCAAATTGGACTCGGACTCGACTATTCGAGGATAGAGGTTTGAAGTCGATTGACACTACGAGGTCAATCTTGAGAGACGGATCTGAATCTAGGTCTTTCTGCTTCTTCATAAGCAAAATGTCTACTGGGCAGGGCTTGCGCTCACTTGCAAAGGCGTCTACTTTGCTCACTTCCGCTCAGCCAGCAAATTCAATCATCTGCCGACAGTGTCAAAGATCCTTTGCAACGACGCCGGCTCAATGGGCCGGTCACAACAAGTGGTCCAAGACGAAACATATCAAGGCGGTCACGGATAAGAAGAAGATGACTGAGCGGGCTGGGTTTACTAAGACGATTGCCATGTATTCAAGGAGTAAGCCATCAGTCTACCGTCTCATCGTAGTAGTAATTCTAATAGAGGAGCAGTGTACGGTGATGATCTCAAGTTTAACCCTCAATTGGCCAGTGCCATAGCTGCTGCAACAAAAGGTACATCCCAAAACCCTCCTCCAACTGCTTTGGGTTCTAAATCCATTGGTAGCGAGCATTCCGAAAAACTTGATCGAGGGCGCCATTGCACGAGGTCAAGGTCGTTCAGCCTCTGGAGCCCAGCTTGAATCCATGTCCCTCGAAGTCTTGATGCCCCCCACCATTGCCATGATTGTTGACGCCGAGACGGACAACAAGATCCGTACTCTCCACGACCTGCGACTTGTGGTCAAGAAGGCCGGCGGCGTCGTCGGATCGACCACCTTTTACTTCACCAGGCGTGGACGTGCCGTCTTCAAGACGAAAGAAGGCGGCCCCTCACTGTCTGACGTTCTGGACGAAGCACTTGAGCACGACGGGCTAGAAGATGTTGAGGAGCTGCCGGAAGGCGATTTCCTAGTTTGGACCCAGCCCAACACACTGGCCGCCATCACCGAAGCCCTGTCCAAGAAGTTTGAGCTCGAGGTATTGGATTCCGACATTGTCTGGGCCCCGAACGAGGACACAATGGTCAGCGTTGATAAGTCTGCTGAAGTCGAGAGCCTCGATCTTCTCTTCAACGGGCTCAAGGAGTACCCCGAGGTCAAGGCCATCTACGCCAACGTGCGCCAGGGAACCATCGAGGACGAGGAGTGGGACAGAGTCGAAAGGAACCTGGATGTATAAAACATGTATGCTGCCGTACAACATGTAGAATAGCGTTTTTGTGTCAATTTTTGTACAAGTGCCTTTGTTCCCTCCCAAATTGAGATGCGAGATTTCTCCAATGCCCAGTTCCAAACGCCGTGATTACACTGTCATGCCGCCCGCAAAACATCCTCTCCAAGTCATAATGTACACGTTCGGGTCATGGTCTCGAAAGCTGTGTCGGCTCGATAAATCGTTTACGACTCGTGGTGCTCCTGCTCTGGCTGCTGCGCCGCTCTTTGGCGTTCCTCCTCGAGCTTCTTGGCCTGTCGCAGCTTCTGTCGTGCGACAATGCGGTCGTACTCGGCCTTGATCTCGTCTCGGTCCTTGGGGATCTTGTTGCACTCTTCGGGCTTGGGCCAGAAGCCGGGGACGGCGAAGCGGTTGTCGAGGTTCGTTCCGAAATAGTACATGATTCCAATCGGGAACATGAGATATGTGCCGAACTAATGCGCCAAGTTGTGGTTAGCATCTGCAGCGGCGAAGCGGGTGGTGAGGCCATCCAGACGAGGTCCTTAAATCAGGCAATTGAATCATTTCGCCGGATCTTCGGAACCTGCAAAATGAGGGCAGAGGGGGCTTACCTTGAACACTTCGAGATTGAGACCACCCATTTTGAATATCTGATCTTTGAACGCTTACACTCGTAACTCGGAATGGCGATGGAGCAGGTGAAGGCGAAATGTTTGAGAGGACGAGGTGATGATGCCTTTAGATGGATAGCCCCGGTAGAGAGGTACTAGTGCCCACCACCACTCAGAAATCAGTCTATCATGATTGGGTGATTGGCCATCTGAGACAACAAACGCACATTGTAAGCCTCAGCAACTCAAAAAGAGGTCGACAACGTCATGTGGGCAAGTGAGCTTCTTAGTTTCTAGGTAGCATGTACGGGTTCAACTACAACGCCCATAAATACCATCGTCAATCGGTGGCATCATTCCTTTCCAAAAGACCCCAGAGCCAGCGTACAACACCAAACCTTCATCCCCCCCAACCACGTATATATAAAACTCCATATCCTCGCATAGTTAATTCAACGCCCACATCGTGTTTGTTTGTTTGTCCCAGTTCCCAGGCGTTTAGCCACAAGTATATGCACAAGATCCCCCGAACTCCCTGGTCATGACCAAAACACCTTCATTAGGGCAGCCTCGCACCGCCCGCCCTGGCCTTTTGGGCCTCCTCCATCATCAGGCGCTCCGTAAAGCTGCGAGGAGTGCCGGAGAAGCCAGTATTGGCCACACTGGCGCGGAAGCTGTTGAGGTCTCCCTCGTCCATTCCGCTGCGGCCGTCTAGCCCTCCTACAAACGTATTGAAGTTCCCGAGAGAAGCAGCTTGAGCGTGCACCTCGGGGTTGCGAACGACCGGCATGATGACTGGTCGTCCTTTGTAAGACCCCAAAGAGCCAACTTGGAAGCGTGTTGCTGTTGGCGTCGTTGGGCCAGATGAAACATCTCGTTTGGTGATATGCACTGCTGGTGATGTCGCATAAAGTGACTGCTCAGACTCTGGCACATCCGGTAACTCAACCTCGGGTTCCTCTTCCTGTACAACCAGGGGCTTTGGTCGCGGCTTTGGCGGCGCAGACAAACCCCCGGCCTCAAAATGGAATAAGTCGTCTTCCTCTGCGTCGGAGTCGTCATGAGGAGTCGTTTGTCTGTTTCCGCTAGAAACTTGAGGTTTCACTGGCGACTTGGGGCTCGGAATAGGCTCGCTGGGTTTGGATTCCTCGGGACTCTTCGCTAGAGAGGGCGAGCCAGGAGGCTTCTTATTCGTAAAGGACTTGGGCTTCGCCATGGAAAGGAACTCTTCATCCGAAGAGTTATCCTGCTCTGTGTCGGGCTCTGGCTCTTCACTAACGCTTCCGAGGGTGCGCTCTATCCGAACAGACTCGGGGATATAAATTGCTGATGGAGGTTCCGGTGCGATAAACATTGGGCTGCTTCTCTCTTCTGGTTGTGCGTCTTGCGAGGTTGTAGTAGTGTCCCGTTGCTCAACGGTAGTTTGATCTGTAGTCGAGTTCACCACAGTCCACACAGTACCGTCTTCCAATGGTGTTCTTGACAATGCCCTCAATGCTTCCGAGGATGAGATCTTGCGGGGCGGCATTCGTTCCTCAAATTCGTCATACAACATCGAGTTTGTGCCGGGTTCATCGATCGGGGGAGCCGGAACTGCTGGCGGAATCATGAAATCGGTCGGTTGTGGTGAAGCTGTGGGCAAGACCTCGGCGCCCATGACATCAAAACGAACACGCCTAGGACTATGCGGAGGCCTCGATGCGCTGGAGGAGCGTCGCAAGGCACTCCGTGGTGTTTTGGAGTCGCTTCGATCCGAATGGCCCGACGAGGTTGTGTCATCAGTTGCTCGACGGACATGGCCTGGCCGGGCAGGCGATTGAGGCAATGCCGACAGGCCACTCTGCAATTCGTCGAGACCCGGTTGGTGACCCATGTCTGCGCCTTGCTGCTGTTCTTCCTCCGCTCGGATGCCTGGCTCAGGCAGCAGCATCGCAAGAGGAGGACTTGGGAGGTTGGGGATGGGAGGAGAGGTGGGCAGCATGGGAGAGCTCTCCAGCAGAGGTAGGTAGCTGGGAGTGAAGAGGCCGTGCAACTCCTGATGTCGATCGCGGGGGCTGCCTGGAGGCTCTGCGGCTCCCGATCCGGAGGTAGTAGAGGCAGCGGTCGGCGGGGAGAGGCGGCGTTGGCCCGATCCGGGGTGGGCGAATGCTCGTGAGTCAGCCTCAAGGTCCAGACTGGTGAGGGCCGAGGTCAGGTCTGGATAGTTGGGCAATGACTTGGCAAGGGATTGCCGAATACTCGAGGCAACGTCGGGGTGGATGTCTCGGAGCAGATCGTGGTAGTAGCGCAGAAAATCGGCGGCCACCTCGTGGCGAAAGGTCTGAACCTTGTGCTCGAGCTCCGAGAGCCTCTGCGAGAGGTCATCGACAAGCCTCGCCTCCTCCATGGCGCTTAACAGGCTCCTGCAAGCGGACTGGGCAATGGCAGGTGTCTCGGTATGCGCATGACGCAACAAGGTCCGGGTAGATGCGTGCCAAAAGTCTGCGGGTGACGGCACGCGAGGGTTTGTGGGATTGAGTGCCCGCGTGAGCCAGAGATGGGGATGGGAACTTGGTGGGATTTTGATGGGCGCCGCCGTGGTTCAGCACAGTAACCTACTCCATCCCACGAGTTAGCGGCCCTTGTTCTAACTCTGGCTAGACCATACGAGTTTTTTAAACGAGGGCTCAACCATTTCATTTTCGTTCTGTTCCTCCGAAGTACGATAAACAGGTCAATACTCATCATGAGCCTTCACCTCACCTCGTGTCCATCCATCTCAGCCCCAGCTTCCGTACCGCAAATCATCCCGCGGCCAAGCAGACGAGTCTTTGTTCTGACTGGCCGGTTGCGGAGAATGGCGATCACTCTGCCGAGTTGCGGCTTGTCTCCAACAGTCTGATAGCTCCCCCTGGACACTCTTGGCTGATTCGATTGGGCGCCTGGTGGCTCAACCCCGCGGGCTAAGGTCATGAGCAAGACAGGCAGCCCACGCAGCTCTGCGGACTTTGTTGAAGAGGGAGGGCGGGAACCGTCTTTGTCTTGTCCGTTATTTCCACATTCTTAGATGACCAAGCATTTGAATCACCATCTATTAATGGATTGGATCGCAAAGCATTTGCTCAAGTTGGTCGTCTGCTTCTTGTACAGTCCAGAGCAAGCAGTTCTTGCGGAGAAAGAAAACCTTGTTCTCAACGGCTGCATCCTCTTACCCATGTGGGCAGGTGAATGTGACAGACCAAGCTGAACGACATGGCACCCACGTGTGCGCGGCTTCTGTTTTCCGCAAGTCTCCTGCCAGACTGTGTCATGACGAAGGGCTGAGACATTCACGGGGTTGGAAAGGATGAAGATATTGGATGCTGTGGTGAGTACTTATTGGCCAACATCCAACTTGAAGCATCTCATACTTGAAAGTATGCGGCAACTGGGGCGTTTCATAGGTTTTGTGCCTGGCTTAAGAATCAGGCTGACGTTGGAAGTGACGTTGAGGCTCATAGAGTTACATGTACTGAAAGACGGGGGAACACGACCACGTAGTACTCCGTATGCATCCTCGATTTAAGCCGCGAGGAGTCCATCCTTGCCGAAGCTACGCGTATTGGCTCCGCAGCCTACAGTAGCTACTGAACTCTCATTCAATGTTCGGTCACATTGGATACCACATTGCTTGAAAGAAGGTAGAGCGATTCCGGCTCTCCGAGCTCCTATGGGTCCAACACCAGATACTGGCTGTTAAAGACGATAGGTAGGTCTCTTGCGCAATCGACAACATCATGACCACCACAACGAAAGGTGAGCCGCAGAAATCGCGGGGCTCATGCGTCCAACGGTCTTCCGATACTGACCTACCAATGAATTTCATCCTCCTCCATCAAAGATAAATGGAAGGCTGATATTAGCAAGGTCTAGCTCTGGGTGCCCGCATGCGCCAGAGCTTGTGCGCCTCACCGCCTTCCATCCTTGGCGTCCAAGGCTGATAATTCTGCCGCAAATTGTCCATCCTCCAGACGGGAAGCTCTAGAAGCACTGACCTCCCCACATCCGTTGCCGTTGCCATCCAATATCCTCAGTACCACCGCGTTCTATCCCGGTAGATTGCGCTCACCAGCTCATTCCCTAGAGAGCTCGCTGGCGCCACGGATGCCTCCCTCTTTAATCTATTATCCCAGCCTTCTTTCCTAGTCCGCCATGTCCACGATCACCCCCGACGCGCACCAGTCGGGAAACCCGCCCATCATCCCGCTGTCCTTCAATGGCCACCAACCCGAAAAAGTGACACTCTACCCTCTGTCCAACTACACATTCGGCGTCAAGGAAACGCAGCTTGAAGAGGATCCGTCGGTCATCGCCCGGTTGAAGCGCCTCGAAGAGCATTATACCGAACATGGCATGCGCCGCACGTGCGAAGGCATCCTCGTATGCCACGAGCACAACCACCCTCATATCCTGATGCTTCAGATCGCGAATGCTTTCTTCAAGCTTCCGGGCGACTACCTAAAGCCGGAAGATGACGAGATCGAGGGTTTCAAGTCCCGGCTAGACGAACGGTTGGCGCCTGTCGGCCGCTTGGGAGAGGGAGAGGAAGCCGGCGACTGGCAAGTAGGCGACTGCTTGGCCCAGTGGTGGAGGCCCAACTTTGAGACGTTCATGTATCCTTTTGTTCCTGCGCATGTAACGCGGCCGAAGGAGTGCAAGAAGCTTTATTTTATTCAATTGCCCAAGACTAGTAGGTTGGCTCACCATTGTCATGAAGCTTGCCGCTGACCCAGCTTTCAGAGGTCCTGAGCGTTCCAAAGAACATGAAGCTCCTCGCTGTTCCTCTATTCGAACTCTACGACAACACAGCCCGGTATGGTCCGCAGCTCTCTGCCATACCCCATCTTCTTAGCCGGTACAATTTCGAGTTCGTCGACGAGAAGGGCAACGTTGTCGCTGCCACGCCAGGGTCCAGCGCCCCCGATGGCTATGTTCCGCAAACAAAAGTCTTGGCAGGAGACGACATGGAGATGAAGGAAGAGAACGGTACAAGCTAATCTCCTAGGATATCAGTTTGGAGACATGGCGAAGGTGTTTGGCGTTGTCGGTGTATGCGTATATGGAATGAATGGTCTAGAATCAATCTTGAACTTTTGGCATCCATGTTCGTGCGCTTTGTTCTAAGCCTTTTCTCCCTGGATGGTTGCGACAACTCGGCGTTGGTGACGAGCCGCGCGGAACTCGAGATACCAGATTCCCTGCCATGTTCCCGTAGCCTGTGAACCAAGTTTAGCGATTGTCTGTCCATTCAATGGGGTGCTGAAACTCACCAGTTTTCCGTCCTTGATGGGAATTGTAACGCTTGCCCCGATCAGGGCCGACTTGATGTGCGCAGGCATATCATCAGGTCCCTCGGCGCTGACATTATCAGTATATATCAGCCATGGTGGGAGCAAAGACACTCACTCGTGTCGGTACAAGGCCTCTCCCTTTGGTCCCTCTGCAGGCGCAATTCGATCGAGAGCATCACTCATATCCTCGCGGACATCAGAATCCCCTATAAGAGTTATCAAGTCAATATCGAACCGTATCATGAAATGAGTCTCGATACTCACAGTTCTCATTCAAGCTCAAGGCACAGCTTGTGTGCTGCACGAAAAGATTCAAGAGACCGACTTTGTAGTCTTTAATCTCAGGGAGAGCAGACACAACCTGATCGGTGATCAGGTAGGATCCCCGGGACTTGGCCGTCAGAGTAAACTGCTTCTGAAACCAGCTCATGGTTGTTGAGTGATCTAGGGCTGGATGGGTTGTTGGGCGGGGTGGATGAGAAGATCCTGTTAAGCCAAGGAGACTGAACGGCAGAGTCCAGACGTAGTGAAAAGCACTGGGGAACAACGACAGCACAAGAAGGAGGCACAGCAGGACTGGAGTAGTGGTAGAATTAAAACGCGAGGTTTGCGGTTGAGGCATAGTTAGTATCGTGGTTGAGCAAGCAAATGCCCGTCATAGTGGGGCTGGAGTTGGAGTCGGACTGGGGTTTTTGAGCCTGTCAGCTATCGAGAACCGTGAGCCAATCACAGAGTATCATTTCATAATCCCGCCCTTGAAGGTGCGAATCGCACCATGAGACGTGATAAGAGCTCGATGCCTGTTGTTTGAGAAGTGAAGTATATCTTGCCGGTGCCTAGGCGAATTGTATAGTAGGTCTGAAGGGCGTATTGACCCATACCTACTTGGGTTGATCAATGAACAATCGTCAATGTCAAAATCACATCCTTGCTGTAGCTGGCTGTTTTGCTCATTCGTTGTATTGGCGTAGTATTTACAGAACTTCCCTTCTTCATTTCAGTCAGAGCTCAGTAGGCGAGCCTGATACCTTCCCTCTCATACCTCTAGCGATCTAGATGTTTTCCCAACCAATTCAAACCAAAATGCTCGAAGCCGATCATGACAGGGGGTAGGAGGTCGCGGGGAGGGATTCGAGGTGCTCGCGGTGGTGCTCGTTGGCCTGGAGGCATATCAGCATTGGTTATAGCATTGGGGACCTATCAGAAGAGAATCGTACGTAGGGCAGGCCACAGTAGTTGCAAGTGGAAATCTCGGGCTTGTCGGTGTTGATATAGATCTTGGGGTGGCCGTTGGGACCGCCGCCGCCGTCACAGGCAACCATTCGATCGTGAGTCCATCGGACGGGCTGCTGGTGAATCAACTCGATCGCAGACTTGGGTTGGGGCTATCAAGCAGTTAGCCGACCTGGGTTCCCTTCCTAGCTCGCAAGTGCCGGTTATACCTGGACAGAGAAGTCGGTCTGCTCGAATCGGGGACCAGTCATGGCCTGGGCACGAGGGCGCTGGCTGCGGGACCAAACACCAACACGGTTGGGAGCCTGGCTAATCTCGACAGGCTTGGACTCGTCGACGGGGGCGGGGGACGTCTCGGTGGTCTTCGCGGAAACGGCGGCCTCGAGTTGCCGAGCAGAGGTGGTGAAGGCGCGCTGGGAGAGTCGCGCGCTGCGCGCCAGGACACCAATTGCCCTCAATTGAGATGTGGCCATCGTGATTGCGTCGGATACCGGGTGTGCGGGTCGATTCGACGTTGTCGGCTCGGGATGGGCAGTAGGAGGTCGTGAGGCATTGAACTTGTCGGCCGGGATGAGTGAAGCCGGGGGTTCAGTTTATCCGGATCCGAAATATTTTCTGGTTGATCGCGGTCCTTTGGGTTGGGTTGCTGCAGATTGCGCCTGGACAAAGAATCTTGTCTCGCGACAACCCAATTTTCTACGTTACGGACGACTTCGAGATAAACCTTTTTTTTTCCGATCCCATACTCGAAATTCTTTGTTTTCTACGGAGCGTGTCGATATTTTCCCCTGTGCGCGCAACTGTGCTTCACCCATAACCTTTCGACGACATCGTCAACCCTTCA